CTATACTGGGGCATTAGGACCCACATGGACTACAGGGTGAGCACCCCCTGCTGGCCCCACTAACGCCTCTTCCAGCAGCAACCTTAGTTTTCCCCAGGAGGTCTCCCATCCAGGTACTGACCAGGCTCACACCTGCTTAGCTTCAGTGGGTTGCCAGTTGTGAGTTGCAGGGTGATATGGCTGCAGTTCGGAGTGGAAAATGGCCTTCAATGGTCTTTATTTATAGTCAGGATCGACCAATAAGAATATCTGTTGAACATAGCCTCCCAAGAGTGGACCAAGTGGGTTTTTTACAGTTGCTATGAAGATGCAGCAGTCTCATCAGTAGCCTCAGCAGCCCCATGACTGCTGCTGTAATGGAAAGGTTGTGGCTATTTTTACTTGTACTTTGGTAATATGTGTACTTCTGTCTGTGTTGGTTCAAAGCCTAACAAGACTGCTTAACATTCAGAAGATGATGACCCCTGTGGCTCGTGCTGATATGCAGAATTTGGCTTTGCTCAAAGGTTGAATTCTTTCTTGGTCCCATATGTACGGGCCTACAGCTGGCAGTGTCCTTTATCATTGAATGTTGCTCTTTAAACCTTATACCCCAGAGTTAAATTTTCATGCTTCATATTGAAGCGTTTTAAAACTTCTCTCTCTCAAGTTATTGATATTACACTGATCACCTCCCTGTGTGTAGTCACTAGTGGTGAAGCTGGTTATCATTTGTTTTGGTAATCTGAGAGAACAGCATTTTTTTCCAAAAACCTCCAAGTAAACTAGATTGCAGTCTAAGGTCCCTGGGATGATAAGGTGGCTCTTTGTGAGGGATTTGAGGTATGCGTACACTACTTTTGTACCGTCGGTGCGTGAATAAATCCTGCTTAATGAATCCAAAGATACAGGTGTCGGCGCAAGGAGTAATGCAGGGGAAAAAATACAATCATTGTTTGTATATTGTGACCCAGTTCTGTTGTCCAGCTGCGTAGGTCTGAGACTCAAGAGTGCCTTTCCCAGCAAGGTCACACAGCCAGTGGTGACTGAGCAGAGCTCAGAGCCCTGGATACAGCTTGGCTCTTGGCCATCAGCTTTAATCATTTCTGCAGACTACCACATTCCTGCACAGCCCAGTCCTACATCCCTTAAACTACTGACGTTCCCTCCACCCTCTCAATGACTTGATTTGAATCTATTGTTGACTTAATTGGTCTGTATTATCACTGTTTCCAGGTCTTCCCACATTGAAGTTTATAAGTTGCCTGTAAGCCCTGGTGGGCTGTGGCGCTCCCTGACCAATGAAGAAATGTTGCTGTCTAGCTGTTGGAGTTGTGGTGTATTGTATGTTTCGTGTTGGCTCTTTAGGGGGAGGTTGGATAGGCAGCACTGAGCACTCAGGTGGCCTCCAGGCGGACGAGATGCACATGACAAGAACTGAAAAGAATTCTGCTGTTAGCACACAATAGAGAAGCTGCCGTAGTGACAGTGTTGATTGATTATGTTCAGAAAAGACACTTCCTTTGCAATGAGAGGTATGAATTGATCGCTGGCCAGAAAGAAGCAGCTTCCAGCCTCTGAATTGCTTCTTTAGAGGAGAAGAGACCAGTGTTGCTTCAGGAAGAGAGGTGATCTGACTCATCTAGCATGTTTGATTGCTACTAGCTAATTGAACTGAAGACTTCATTCGGCCGTTGGCCCTGACAACACGGCGTTCGCCCGACTGACCTCTCTTCTTCCTCTCTGTCGGGTGTGCAGGCAGCAGCACCGCCTGCATAGTGGTCCTGGACCGGCGGAGCCACCGGCTGCACACGGCCAACCTGGGCGACTCGGGCTTCCTGGTGGTGCGGGGCGGCGAGGTGGTCCACCGCTCTGACGAGCAGCAGCACTACTTCAACACCCCCTTCCAGCTCTCCATCGCCCCCCCCGAGGCCGAGGGAGTCGTGCTCAGCGACAGGTGGGGCCGGCGTCTTGCACGGACCTTAGAAGCCCGTCGTACAGCTGTTTGTGGCTGGGCTGGGCTGCGGAAATGATTTTTATTTTTTGCACAGACAGATCAGTGCAGTGTTTACAAGAGCCAGAGTGTGTCAAAGCCGCACTTGGGTCAAACTGCTATGCACGGGGTTGCTAGGCTTTTTTCCATCCTTGTTGCTGGATCCCAGAGCTTATACTTCTGTGCTTTCTAGGAGTACGCCTTCTGCCTTCAGCAGAAAAAAAGTCTTCCTTCTCAAATGGGCAAAATAACATTTCTAACAATACAAAGCAAGTCATCTCATTTGATTTTCCATTTCTGGGTTCATTTGCACTTAAAAACTAAATTGCCAGCTTTGCAGTTGTTTTCAAAGAAATTGGGAACCATGTGGTTTTCCTTAATATGCAAAGGTGCTTTTCCACTGCTGTTCCCCTGAAGTAAGTTGGAACACACCCTTACAAAGAGATCAGGACTGTCCTGTGGTTTGTCTGCTGGGACTGCATGGAGCTGAAACTCCAGACCCGCGGGTGTACACTAAAAATTGGCTGTGCCTCTGTGCCCTGTATGAGCTGGAGCCGGGTTGTAGTCCAGATCTGTGATGTCACATGCTTTTCCTCTGAGGGCTGGCCAGTTTCATGTGGCACTGCTGTGATGACACGCGCCTGTGCAGAATGCCAGAAGCACAGTATGTTCGGTCTCCAGGGCAGCGACTGGGGTCCGGCAGACCTCCAGGAACACTGAGAGGAGAACCTGTGACTGGGAGCTAATAATGGAGATGGGTAGGCAAGAGGCCTTCCTCGCAACAGCCAATAGTCGTCACGGGGGGGGGTTTATCTTGAGGTGCAGAGGATATGAGCTGCTTGCGTGTTTCTAAATTTGTATCGGACCTTTCAAATAACATTTTATAGCTTTGGCTTCAGCACTAAGCATCCTGCATTGTTGATAGTTACACGATAGCAACGTTGATTAAGTGCTGGAAGAGAACTTGTTTCTTCTTAGAAAAGAGGAGGATGTCCTGTTAATGACCTGAGTTTTGTGACATTTAGCAGCGGTCTGAGGACCTGCTGCCTCTGAAGTGGCACGGATTGCAGTGTTCTTGGTGTGCCCTGTCATTACAGGAACCTGTGGGTGTCAGTGGCTAGTGGGTCTTGTGGGCTGCTCAATAGACAGATTACCCATTTCTTTCTTTATAATTTCAAATAAATAATTGAGTCTGCATGTGGGGCTTTAATTAAATGCTTTTCTGTAAAACAATGGAATCTGCTTCAATCGTGATTTTTTTAGTTATTCTGTTTTGCAAAAGCAGTATGCACAGGGGTGCGTGTGGCAGATTGTTTTAAAATGTTTTTGAAACAATTGAGACTTTTCGGGAGGTGGTTCCCTTGTGGTTTTGAATAGTACACAGTCTGATCTGTCATGTGTTGGAGGGCTTTTTTCAAAAAAGGACCCATTATGCCCGTAATCATCTCCATCTGCTGGCAGTGTGCATGAGGGTGCAGCAGTCGTGTCTGTAGAGTCTGTGACCGCAGGCCACCAGTGTCTTGTCTCAGGGCACTGCTTCTCACTTCATGGAGTCCAAAAAAAGTTAGAATCAATGTACTTACATTCATGATTTCTGATCTTTAAAGTAAGATTCCAGTGTTAGAAAGCTGTAATCTTTCTATAGTGCCTTATTGAGCTTATGTTATTATATATAAGCAATATTACTTATTGCACATGTAAGGAAACACCACCTTGATCCTGTTTGATTCAAATTGGAATATGAACATAAAACCTAATTCATTACAGCAAATCATTCACTTTGTTTTAAACCTGTTGACCTCCAGTTGTCCTCTGTTAGTGTGATGAATGGTAATTTAACAGCTGAAGGACACACTGCTTTGTTGAAAGTGTTGGAGTTTGGAGTCACTGGAGTTTCTGATTTAAATGCACTGACCCAATTTGCCTTGCTGGATTCAGATGTTTTCTGTAACTTGATGCACTGTTCACACCTGGTGTTATTTAATTGGATTTTGTTAAATGTGGCGGTGAACAACAAATAAACAAAGAATTCTGAGCCTCCGTTTCTTTCTTGAGGTATGTGGTGAAGTTCCCTGTGCCTTTAGAGTGGTTTAATTAATTCAGATGAGCACAGAGGTCCTTATGCATGCCAGAGGAGTTCCCTCTCTAATGCGCGTTGTTCTCTCTCCTGGCAGCCCTGAAGCTGCAGACAGCACCTCTTTTGATGTCCAGCTGGGCGACATCATCCTAACGGCAACCGATGGCCTTTTTGACAACATGCCAGATTACATGATCCTGCAGGAACTTAAAAAACTTAAGGTGGGGTTTTGCTTAATCACAGAACTATACATATGCACTATTTCTAGGGATAATCGGCGTAATGCACTGACATCTGTTTTTTCTTGATTTAATGTCCTGGCAGTAACAGTTCAACTCAGATTCTCGAACACAAGATACTCAAGAATGTCAATGGAGTTTCTGATTTAAATGCACTGACCCAATTTGCCTTACTAGATTCAGATGTTTTCTGTAACTTGATGCATACATGTGGGTTTTAGTAGTTCGATCATGTTTCTGACCCTTCTTTCTGTTGTTGTAGAACACCAATTATGAGAGTATACAACAGACAGCAAGGAGCATTGCAGAGCAGGCCCATGAGCTGGCATATGATCCAAATTACATGTCGCCTTTTGCACAGTTTGCGTGTGACAATGGACTGAATGTAAGAGGTAAGCCCTGAAAAAGCATAGACTGCATGTCTGTGCGTGCACTGCGCCTTGTGGTGGCGGAGCTGGAAAGAGTTATTTAACAAAAAGGAGGGGAGTTTACACACTAGACATTCCCCTCCTGAGACTTCAGCTGGTGTTTGCTGGTTACCAGGCAACCATTCCAGGTTGTCAAGAACTCTTTAGAGAGCTTGTTGAAAGCCAGACTAGTGCCAAGCTTTTGCGTTCTCCCCCGCCCCCCGATTTTGTTCAGCTTTCAAGCAGCTAACTTGCACTGTCAAAACAAAGGGATGCATGTTAGGGTAAAAGGAAGTGTTTTAGCAAGGATTCTTAACTGCCTTTTTGTGTGTTCTGCAGGGGGGAAGCCAGATGACATCACAGTTCTCCTGTCAATAGTAGCGGAGTACACAGACTAGTGTCTGACTGAGGCCTCCATTCTGCTGTCTTCCTCCTGTGTTCTACTGGACTGTTTCCTGCTGGCAGGATCGGGGACTTGCCCATTTGCAGCCAAAATCGCCTCCCTCCCATCCACTCCTCCACCGCCCTCGGATCCGTTATTCATGTAGCCTCCAACCTTTCGTTCCCCGGCTCGGCTTCATCTTTCTCTCTGCGCCCTAACCACTGCGAAAGCCCTGCGTTCCAGCAAGGGGGACTTTCTGTCAGACGTGACAGGCCATCCTGGCTTTAGGGGTTCACTTTACAGAGAAAACTCTGTTGCCCTGCAACAGGGCCACCTGCAGCTTTCTTCTGAAATCCACTCTGAATCGGCCCTGCTTGATCTAGGCGTGCTCCTGGAGGAAAGCACTCTGTGTGCAGTAGGAGTAACACCTAACTACGAACCTTTAACCCGTCCAGTTAGAGAGACATGAGAAGCAATGAATTCCTGTTCGCATCCTTTCCACTTGCTGAAAAAAATCTTCTGGATCTTTTAATTAATCTGTTTCTTTGTCTCATTTCAAAGCTGTTCGTCCCCGTGTCGATTTCACTGGCTCCGAAGTATCACCTGTGGTTCAACAAGAAGGCGTGTCCTCAAACGTTCTATATGTTATAAAACCCCAAACCACCACCACCCCTAAACAGGCTGAAACGTCTATTTGAGTAACTTCCCCTTCTAAAACCAGAGCAAGAATGTGGTGTCACTGCTGTGCTCAAGCCTGACGCATACAGTCCTATCCGAGTTTGAAATTGTGACCTTTAAGAAAGATACTGCAGGTTGTTACGGTGGTGGTGGTGGGGTATCCACTCTAACATGTCGGTGAATGATCTATCTGTATAAAACGTCTCTCTGTTTTCATGTCATAGATGCCGTCAGTTTTAAAGTCCATGTTTTAGAGGAGAGGTAACTTGTGCCAGCAAGGGCTCCTAGTGGGCTGGAAGTTGAGCTGATTACAGCAGTCATAGGGCTCGGAAAGGCTCCTTAATCTTTAAACTCCAGAAGGTGTGAGGATGTTAAGAGAGAGCAGTAAGGTCAAGTGATTCTAATTAAATTAGGAAAGAAACATCAGGGAGCAGTAGGTGTTACAGAAGGCTGCCACTCCAGCTTCATATCCTCCTTCCTCCATTGGCGGATTAACAGGGTTAATACTCCTGTTCCTTTTTTTAACAATGAGGGGTTGGGCTCATTAACGGTAACTGTGTTGTCAAGTTCAGTAACGGTAGCTATGTTTAATTGGCATATGTTAAGAGTGTAGAAGAGTAGTGTGTGACTTTGTTTTTGGCAAATGGAATATATTTAAAAAAAAAGGTGTAAAACTGATACAATGTTATAATTACAGAGTTGGATATATGCAGGTTGTTTTGGCACAACGACAAAGGCAAAGGTTTTCTGAGCAAGAGCAGGCAAACCTGAATTCTGCGTTCACATTTCAGTGGGTAGGTTAAAAATAGGAAAAATGTTGAAATGCCCATTTCTTTTTCAGGTTCTCCTTTGGTAGTGAGCTAAATGAGGCCTTGTTTGTTGTGCAAGTGACTAGGACTTCTTGATGTCAATAATCTTCCCTGTCCACTGTTGAAATTGTTGATACGGTCTCTCTTGAGTGTGTGTGCATATATATATATATGAAGCGTCTGGATTTCAATGTCTGTTGGGTGATCTGTTCTTATAATCTTTAAGAAAAGTACAATTAACGCACAAGAATAATCCTAGCATCTGTGAATGCTTACATCGGAGATATGTTAGGTCATATGAATTAATAAAGGTTTATTTTTATAACATTTTGTTATAGAAACTGAATTGATTCCACAGTTCAACAGTACAGCAATGTGAAGAGACATGAATGCCTCTTGTACATATGTTGTTCCACCCAGATATAAAGCATACAATGTGTCCCTGATATGAAATTTCCTAAAGCCATCTTTTATAAACAAACCTCTCTGTATAATTCAGGTAACATGTTTGTGAAAGGTTGTCTAACATTTTTTTTTTAGTGTTACTCTTACTTTCACATGTCAGGCATCAGGATTATTGAATTGTTTTTTTGTGCTATAGATTTGTACTGTGTATTTGCATAACGTTCCGTGCAGCTTTTGATTTTGTAATTTAAACAAATTCAACGTTTACATGTACTATGTACATGTCAATTTTACTTTATTTAAATTGCTCGTCATGCTTGTAACAGGCATTATTTTTATCTTTTTTGTTGTTCTTAAGCTTTTTACTAGTGAAACCAAGAAAATTATTTCATTGACTATTCCTGTACTGGCATTGCCATTTGTTCTTGCCTTCTGAAACTGTGTGCTACCCAGTTAAACTACAGACTGCTTCTCTTAGAGAAGACTGACCACCAGTAAATTCTAGCCCCTAGGTTAAAAACAATTAAATTGCTGGAGATATCCGAACGTCCTATCAAGTCTACTGTAACTGATCTTCATTTAGTGAAAATGTCATATTGTCAGAATATATGGAATAGTAAAAGAATTGTTTCCAAACTCGTCCTGAAGAGGGGTTCGGTCATATAGATTGGAACAAGTCATATGCTTTTATCTCAGACCTTAGAAATATGAAGACGATGTAGAAGCAGTCACACAAAACATCCTTTACATGGATTTATTAGATAGCGTAGTGAGATCAGATCGTTTTGAACATTATGCTGTTTGGAAAAGGGTGGCTTGTAGTGGTGGAGCAGAAATATAATTGAGCAACACGGATTCTAAACATTCATTTTTTGTAGATCAGTCAGTGCTTTGGTTGTAAACGGTGATCGTGAGAAAAGGAATCTCCACACCAGTATTGCTAACCATGGAATTTTACAAAGGGACCTTTTAAAATGATGGCCATTAATGCCATGTAGCCTTAAGCTGATATTTTAACACACCCTACTTTTGATCCACTGACACAAAGCTCCAGTCCTACTTGAAGTGGAAGAGGACTCATCTCGTCTTGCGGTGCTGCTCCCTTTAGGCGGTGATGATCCTCTTTGTGTCTGTAGATTCAGTTCAATTGATGACGAGCTGCCAGGATGGTGAGGTGCGTGTCCAATTAACCCAATCCTCTCTTTATATGAAGATCCTCTAGAAAATGTCAAACCTAATCAAAGAGACCATAATGCTGCCATAAGTAAATAGGATAGATGCATTGGCAAATTCTGGCTGGGAACTGGGCGGCGGACTGAGACACCCTCTTCCTCCTGTACCTCTGTGTGGTGTTTGAGATGCAGGCGCACCAAAGATGTGCTTTGCCCTCACTTCTTCACATCTGACGTTTCATCGTTTTTCTAATATACAGCAATACTGTACTATAAAGAAACCTGCTTTACTTATTTAATGCATAGTTTGTTGCCTGTTTCTTTGTTCTGAACATATCTGGTAGCTCTCTGCTTTCTTCTTTCTATAATGCTGTCTGCGCACAAACTTTAACCAAGGGGCCCAGAGCCGCTGACGGATCAGTTCATTCATAAGCGGCTGTGGTGACTGGGAGCTGCGGTACTCCTGTCTGTTGTGGCCGAGATGAGCACATGGGAGTCTTGAGTTTGCTTTCTCTTTTCTAGAATGAAACCAAAGTAGGTAAGGTAAGCCATAATTAAGTGTGAATGGCACGCTCCTTCTAATTATGCTGACTGCAGTGCATTTTAAAGTTGGTCATGCCCATCAGAAAACTGATGTACCCAAATACAAAGAACAGAGAAAAGAAGATGGTGTTTTAACCTGAAGCGGTTTCCATCAAAGTAAAATGCAGTGTTTTAAAGCTTGTGTTCACTTTAAGTATGTGCTGCATTGTTGTTGGGTTTTTTTTCTGTATTTTCCTTGAACTGCAAAAAAAAGTTCTGGGTAAGAGTTCTGCAGCTAGGTGACCACGTTCATACCCGTATCAAGTCTCTCTGCATGAGCAGCTGTCTTTGTTAGTGTGGTGTCTCCTTCTGCGGTTTGCTTTTCTGCAAACTGGTGCTCAGGCTGGGGATTGCTTTCTGCCCTCTGTAGTAGTTCTGTGAAATAGCTGAACTATACAACTGGGTTTGGGCTGGAAGAGAAAGTTAAGCCAAGCCCCTGAATGTTTTAGTGTAAATACTTTTTAAAATATGGACTGGAGAAGTTCCATAATCCTGTAACTCTGATTTCATATCTAGAAGCATTTATTCCCAAGGGGGTTGTGAGTCAATGATGTTTTAAGATGAGAGAAGCCATACAAAACATAAGGTGGGAGGATCTGCAGTTCTTAGTAGTTTAATCTGAAAACCCAATGTGGGCATTTTAATACTGGGGGGTGACTAATTTAATATTTAAGCAACGTTAACTTACCAAATCAAGAATAGGAACATCAATTGAAATACCTCCCAGAAGCATTAAGCATGCAGTGATAGAGAGTATAAAAATACTATATAAAATTATATTAGATATAAAGATTATCTTGCCCCTGTTGTTACACACCCCTTCTCCCTGGGTTTTGTGTTTTCACCCCTCCATCTAAAACCAGTTCGGTTTGATGTGGTGGATAAGAAATGTTGGAGGAGCTTGGCATGCACCATATCAGCCTTAAGACCTACCTTATTCTATCTTTCAAGCAGCCTCCTTGGCAAAACTGTCCTGTCCTCGTCTCCCGTGGCAGAATGTCATGCCGTTTCTCAGACTCTGTGTGTGACTTCCAGAGGGCGCTTCTGCGATGGAGATGTTTCTTACTCTCTTCTGGAGGCAGTGTTGTAGGAGAACGGCACATGCTTTTCGTTCTGTACAATGCAATAATGCAGGAATAGTTTTCTGTAAATGTTTAAAGAGCTGTAAAATATTTAAATAAAAAATATAGTATTTATACTAAATGCCGTTGAAGCTTTTTGTTTCTGTCCACTGCAAATTTTTTCCCAATTTCATGAGGGTACATTACAGAAAAAAAAGCAGTTTTCCAGTGGTTTTTCTGGAAACGTAGGACACAAGGCAGGAGGACTCCCTGGACAGAATACCAGTCCATCCCATGGCAGAGTGGTGAGCTGTGAGATTGTTTTGGTCTTCTGCTTTGTACTGTGCTTATGTTTTGAGCATTTGCAGTACAGTCCATATGCATAAAAATACAGTGATATATTACTGCATAACAGAAACTATATACCCATCTGAAATTTAATACTAATTATCCCATGTTTCAAGGTGTTTGTTCTGCTAACAAATCCTGAATGTTAGCGCCACAGATGAGCTATTCCCGTTGCAGGCTCAGCTGTCGGATTCCCATGTTTTCACTTGGTTTTCAACGTGTTATGCTTGTCCCTGGGATTTTCACATCTATTAAACACAGAGCTAAAGGAAAGCTTTTTGTCCCCCTTGCTATAATAATCAGCAATAACTGGAATGAGAGATTTACTGAATTGTTTTTGTAAGAAAAACCACTGCTCTAGATCTAGGCAGACATTGGCTACAGCATGTGTTCTCACACCTGTAATTAATTTTTAGCTGTCTCAATGTAGTGTCGTAGCTCATCAAGTTAATTACATGCAGAAAGGTGTCCCTTTTAAATGTGCTTTACAGTTTTGATCCAACTGCAAGTCAACAAATACACATTTACCACTCATGATGAGACCAGTTCATGGAAATCTAACAAGAATATAAGTAGGAAAAATAGTACAAATCACTGAAAATCTGGTGAACTACTCATGCAGTGAGATCAAGCAATTCCACCCTAACTTGGTGGTACGTTACTTCTTGACTGTTTTATAGGGTACAAAGGAACCTTTGGGGGGTATTTTTCACAAAGCAGATAACGTGTTGACCAGGGATTGTCTATTCCGGTACTCTGGTGCAGTACTAGCTATCTGCAGCTGGGCATGCTCACTCTTTCAGCACATTATTTTATTTTGAACACTTTGAGCCAATCCTTTGTGGTCAGCTGCTGCACATTCCTCAATTTTACTGACAGTATGTGCCAGGCAACACAAATACCTGGTTGCAGTGCCTACAGCCAGAAATCTTTCAGTAACAGCTGGGTACTTTAATGCAGTGCTGTGTATTAAAACTGCCTGCATTCTAAGCCTTTAGCTCTGCGTAAAAGTCATGCAGAACATGGGGCCGGTATTAAAATGTTCTCCTTTCAAATACCTGAAGGTTACAGCAGCATGAAGCCTCGAAACACGTCACACTTGAAGGAAAAGGTCAGTGAGAGACAACCGCAAAATGCTAGTGACGATTTCAAGACTTTATGTAAGTTCTACACAAGGGTTGAACTGACAGAACCTACAGAATTTCTCTTGCAATTGTGAACTACCTTGGGTGTAAGTCTTCTGAAACACAAAGTACTGTGTTCAAGCAAACACTTCTGTCGGTGGGCTGAACCATTCATTTAGCTGAACCTTCATGAATTTGCCACAATTTTTAAGAGTCATCGGATAATGCTCATATTCAAAATTTATTTTAACTGATAAATTATTTTTTTAAATTGCATGCTGTTGGTACAACAGAAGTAACAGAAACAACAACATAAACAACACTATTAGTTGAGAAAATTGGAAGACGTTTTCGCAGGCAACAGCTCCTTTCTGCAGATGGTTGCCATTTTGGCCATGTTGTTAACACAAAAGTGAGAAATCATCGTGGTCTAGACTATCGCTTCAGAGGTTAGAAACTGGATTTGGTTGGAAACAGGCAATTATGACTCTGTCTAAGAATTAATTACAATGTCTGCCAATATACTCACCTAATGGTGTGGTGCTTAATTACAGAGCTATGTATAGAGAGCTTGTTTCTATCCCCGGAGGGACCAGGCCAAGAAAGTGATATATATATATATAAAAGTACACTGCAGACAATGTTTGTCAATAGCAACTAGTGTTTGTGCCAATAGTTCTTGTCAAGATGTTTAACAAGGGGATTATTTTAGTGCAATCACTTGTGTCTCTTACACATTTAGCTTTGCCACCAAGAATGTTTACAAGTCACTGACCTGGAAACTACCAGCTTTCGTACAACAAAGCACAGTCTTGGTTTCATTAACACTGAACCATTTGTGCGGAACTTTTCAAAAGGAAAGCCATTTCTGCCCAAGACTGTAACTGTAACTGAGCCTCTCTGGGAACTGGTGTGCTCTATTTTATAATGCCAGCCAATAAAAACAGTAACAAAAATCTCCAGCACTACTGGTTTCGGAAAACTCCAGCCGAGACCCACAGAGTTTTCCAAAAGATTTCCTAGCACATCATAGTTTAACTTTGTCAGAAATGTCAGCCTTTGTCTTCTGGCCCAGAACTGGATTTGCAGACACAGCTTTCAGCAAAAAGAAGAGTGTTGTGACTTAAATCTGAAAGACCCTTCCCAGCCTGACCAGTAATGTACCAGCAGCCCACCAAAAACCCAATGCATCAACAAGATGCGAGATGTACAGTCCTGTGTCACTCAGCCAGTGTGGACTGCTTGAGGCGCGCGTGCTGTCAGGATGGACAGGGGGCTGGGTCTTGTCCTCTGCTGGCTATTCCTCGTGGTCACTGGCGTACACCAGAGGAGGTGGCTCTGCCGCGGAGGTCTCCTTCGGTTGACCCAACAGCGCCCCGAAGAGCAGGGAGGAGAACTGCAGCATGAAACAGCACCGGCGTTAACAAGCACAGACTCAACACGGGGAAACAGGAAACGTCACACTCTGCTTTTCTTCATCTTATCTTTCAGTTTATTCACAATGTATGTACTTTTGGCATCATTTAGAGTTTCCCTTTTTATAGTTTTCCCTCTTGTTTTCCGAGACATTTTACTGGTTCCATAAAACCAAAGCAACTTTAAGAAAAGATGCACAAAAAATTGTGCAAGATTTTCGGAGAGTTTTTTTTCATTCTTAATATTTTTGGAATTTAAATCAACTTATACATATGAACTCTTATTACCTTGCATTATTATGACTTTATTAAGGTAAGCAACAAGGAAATATGGAAAAACTGCAGAAGATAAAGGTGAAAATCTATTATCAGTGTGGTGACTAGCAGTTTTTTCTTTCTGAAAGCTGTTAAGAAAAAAGGGAGAGGACCTGTTTTTTGCTTTGAGACATTTTCCCTGTTTTTATTTTTCATCCTTGAAAATTATCTGTGGGAAACACTAAGTCAATATTACTATATGCCCTCAACAGAAGTCCAAAAGTGCAGAACAGAATGAGTGGGGAAAATAGGGTCAGAGGTCAGCAAGAGATGTTATCTATTACAGCACGTGGGTAATTGGCAGCTACAGTTCAGTTCTGTCACACTGGGACTTAACTTAGGTTTAAACAGCACAGCCTAGCCGGCACTCACTGATAATCTAAGAAAACCTGCATCAGCTACCTTGAGAAATGTTCGATTTCAAGGTCAATTAAACCAACATTAAGCTTTGGTTCCTAAGCACTGTTTTTATCCTTTGATCTTCAGGAAAAAAAAAAATTAAAACTGAGAGCTACTATCCAAATATTTAATAGTCACATTTAGGAATAGTTTGTATCTGCACATAGAATTCTGGAGTCTAAAATAGAATATAAGTCAAAACACCTCGAGAAATATATAAAAGAAGGCAAAGGAAAGAAAACCGAACCCCAACAGATAGTGAAGTGCACTGAGGCTGTGGGGAAGGGACAGAGATACAGAACGAGCACAATGCTAGATTAGTGCTGTAATCCATACCCTATCTAAACACGTATCACCTCCCAAAGCAGAAAGTGTACCTGTAACACCTTCAACATGCCAAAAGACCTTGGGCAGAAATTCCAGGATGGAGGAAAATGAGAAATTGAAAACAGACCTGCACTGCAAAGAATACCATTCAAGATCATGATGTAAGATACTGTACACTGTGTTCCTGGCTAAACGCTTAATCACAGCCTTAGATCACACAGTGCTGCTTTATGTGTATCTCACAGGATTATGTCCAACAGCAAGTTTACAAAAACCTGTAGGCTAAAATATGCAGATGTTCTAAAAAAATAAAACTAGATTACAGTGAGTATTCTGATGACTCATTTGAGATTAAGGATTAACAAGGAGTATCAAGGAATATTTGGCAACAGGAGATTAAATTGGTAAAGATTTCGTTTATAAAACCCTGCCTTTTCTGCAGCACGTTCTGGAGGGTTGGGGGATTTGTGTGCTCATTTTGATATGCTGAAGCTCTGTGACTGAAAAATTATGGGAAGGCTCCCTTCACAAAAACACCTGAATGAAACTGTTTGGTGCCAAGAAAGTGCTGGAGATGCACTCCTGAAAACCTTGTTGCAGGTGCTGTGTTGCAGGAACTTCTCTTCTGGCTTTGTCTTGTATTGATGTTTAATAATATCCAGAATATTGAGTAGCCCAGTCTGCTGTCTCACTCCTGCTCTTGTGGCCAGGCTTCTTTTCAAAGTTCCTATCTGCCTGTGAAATGAACTAACATGCAAAAGTGCTCATTACTGGTGCTGGAGGTAGTCAGCACAGGTTTGGAAGGTGACGTTATCGGAGAAGATGCCGTCTCGAGTTGTTGCTGTCCTACCGTTTTTCCCTGCTCTGTGACTCATTCCTAATTTTTCCCCAGGCAACCAGCTGTTTACAGCTCTGAACAATCAGTGAGACAAAAGGGCGCAGAAAGGAAGAGGCAATTAACTCACGGAGGACACTAGTCATGTTAAAATAGACTCCAGCTGAGGCAAACAGGAAGGCAGGTGCTCTCGGGGACACTGGTTCACACTCCACTTGGTGCTCTTCGACTGAGAAGGCAGCTGACACGAGCGCTTCTTGACTTGCCTCGGGAAGCTGCCACTCTTGACAAGTAGTTGTAAACATCAGAGAGGGCAATTATGAGGTAGCTAAGGTTCATACTGTATGTGTGAAGTGTGTGGTAGATCTGATCCGCTGTCTCTGGTACCTCTGGTAACACTCATCTCCCCCTCTACACTCTGCATCGGCACATCGGTCTCACTGATCTGAGTCACGGCATCAGTGTAACGTGTCTGGGACGTGGGCCGGCCAGGTGCTTGGAGACGTCAGAGAAGAGAGTTGTCTGCGGTGTGGATTTATGCTCATGGGTATTTTACTGTATGTTTCCTTTCAGCTACAAAGACACAATGTGTGGGTGTCTCTCAAGACACTTCAATCAACTCTTTTGCATTTGCATAAAAACTCAAACTTCAGTGTCAATGCAACCCTAAACCGGCCTGCCAGTGAGCAGACGTCTCATATTTAATGCAAATTTAAATAGAGAGTGACACTGAAACAAGTCATTTTCATCACAGTGCTTATTATTCATTAGATCGCCGGTTTTATCTATCTTAGTACTGAAGCCGACAGAAGAATAAATTACAATTTTCTCCTCGAAGCGCATATAAAAATTGATCTTGGAGTGAAGGGACATTCCGTTTTCTAAATGTGTGTGCCTTATGACAACTTGAAAATAAAACAATCAATATTAAATCATCTCCAGTCTATAGATATACTACTCGGAATATATCCAGAAGAAGAAGTTTAGCAAATTCTATATATTCTTTGACTTCTACAGTATATATTTTATATTGACTTTCCATTTACAGAATTTTGTTATGCCTTAAATTTGGGGAATAAATCCTGTATCCTCTATAACCAAAAATACAGCTGAAAAAACACAAAATAATTTGATTTGCGAATCCTGGCTTCTTCACTTCTACTGAAGACTATGTGACGGCAACACACAAATATTAACCACGATAAGAGCCCTGGAATATGAGCGAGGAGGGAAAACTGCTTCTGAAGGCAAACCCATAGGACTGGGCCTGGCAGTTAACTCTAAGGTCTCCAAGCCGTCCCACACCCTGTGTGAGGAGCACAGCAGGCCTCTGCAACTGCTGCAGTCTGTTCCCTCTCCTGTCCTGCACGGTTATTACTGCTCCCTTCCAATCTTTGAAATTTACAACCCCTTGGTTGTTGTTTTTCATACAACGGAACAAAACTAATTTTGACGAGGCTCGTGTCGCATTGGGAATTTCAATGAGTAAATAGGGGCAGCGTGGTGTCGAAGCGGGTTAGCACTGCTGCCTCACACCACGGGGGCCCTGGGTTCAATTCAATTCCTGGGGTGCTGTCTGTGCGGGGTTTGTATGTCCCCCCCGTGTTCACGAGGGCTTTCGCCAGGCGCGCCGGTTTCCTCCCCCCAGTCCAGAAACACACCTGTATGTTAACTGACTTGGCCCTGGTCTGAATGTGTGTGTCTGTGTTTGTGCCTGCCTGCCCTGTGATGGACTGGCGTTTCGTCCAGGGGGGATCCTGCCTTGCACCTGTCGCTGGCAGGAGTAGACTCTGGCTCCACCATAACCCTGAAGCGGGAGACGCAGTTAGAAAATGAGTGGATGATTAAATATATGCAGGACATATTTAATTGTGCAATGCAATACATCACTATGTATAAAGTGCATTTCTGTGTATGTGGGGGGCTTCCCAGCCAACCATGGCTTTCAGGCGTGTCCCATCTGTGCCAGCTGTTTTTCTCTCCTACTCCAAGGACACATTGTCCCCCTGGATCCCCCCGGATTCAACATGGACCTTCCCGCGTCCAGAAACTACGTGGCAGCAGCAGAATGGAAGGCCGAGCAGGTGGCAGATTCTCACCTTGGCGGCGGCCGAATCCTCCTGTATCTCTGGGGCACCTTCTCCGCGGCCGGCCAGGTCTCTCGGCCACACCCTCCCGGTCGGGACGGGGCTGCCCTGGCTCGAGGGGACCAGCTCGGGCTCGTTCCCCGGCGGAGCAGGGGCCGGCGCGCTCGTGTCCACCGCCACCAGGCCCTGGCCAGCGGTGGTGCCCACCCAGCCGCCCTGCCCCTCTGCAGCAGGGGGGTCACAACAGCTGTAAAGCAATGAGATCAGTAAGGGCCCGGGCACACATGGCCTACATGGTGGCGGCGCCTCTCACTGTAAGCTGATCATTCAGCTTGCTGCCTTACTGAACTTTCATGCTGGCCACAACGCTGCAGGAAAGACTGCTTGGGATTACCCGGCGTTTCATTCCGACTTTTGTCTTTTTCCTGGCAGCTGGAGTGTAATCGCAAAGGTTAGGAAGCAAAGTCGAACTGAATTTTTTTGCGTTACTGAGTAACTGAGTCATTCAGATTCCTTTTGTGTTTTCTAAGCTGAAATTAGATCTGAGCAACTTTATGAAAAGGAAACCTGGAAGAACATTTTGTGCAATTATGCACGCGGGCACAGGCTGTAATTGCTCTGCGAGGCTCTGTGGAAAGAGATGCACGCTCGTTTAACCAGAGGTCTGATAACCCCTGGCTTTTCATTGTTTTGTTTTAAACAAGGATAGAATCTTCTGGGCTGTGCCCGATACAAGGAATGCTGCCTTATCGTGTACCACTTGTCTGGACAAACAACTCAGAGTGTTCCATCTGTGTGTTTCAGGGCTGTATTTTTGCCATGAGGAACACAGCATAAAGAATTTTTAAAAAGGTAAAAGATAATCTATATTGTCTTTTGTACAAAAGCAGAGCTAAACAAAATAATGACTGATAATTTCTGAATGGTGGCATGGGAGGCAAATATTTTCCAAATCAAAATGTGTTTTGTTACTAATCTGATTTTGTTTTTTTATGTATATACAAATCCTGTTTAGGGACTAGGACACAAGGTTGCAAAGGGAAACAGAGAGAAAGTGCATTAACATTTGATAACAGGAAGCCCCTCTTCACAAGAAGAGTTGCAGGGTGTTCGAAACAGAGCTATCCCAATGACAGCCTGTAATCTTTCAGAAAATGACTTGACGATTGCAATCAATTCTCTGCTTGAAGCCAAAGCAGTATGATGTGCCCATGGTCCCCTGTCACTTGTAAGCGTTTTGTCTCCTCACATTTATGCAGCTGCCTGGAAGTTTGGGGTTTTTTGTGTGGCAGTGTCTGTGTGCGACTCTGACGGGACATGTGAGATTCAGCGTCTGAGAGAGTGCCAGCCCAAATGTGTGTATAATGTGTAAGATACTCCTCCTCTCTGGAACCACCCCAGAGCCCTGTGCTGTAGCTGGCCTAATTCCAAGACTGCATGGCTGCAATTACTTATCCTTCTGTTAAATGACACAGCCTGCTGTCACACAGCCAGAGTCCTCACCTGTACTATACTGAAGCTATTATTTCTGTATGTCTGCCCTCTTGTTTACATTGTTTATATCTTGTTATACAACAATGGAGAGGAAGAGAAGCCTCAGGTCCATAGTATTTAGAAAAGGAAGGGAATCATTGTGAACAACAATGACTGTGCAAGTCTTAACAATCAGTGATTATATTATCTCATAATCCACATGGCTTTATTCAGACCAGTACTGTCTGCCACAAGTTGAAGAGCATCAGAGTATTTGATGTTATGCAAGGTATTTTGAGGAGCTGACCAAAGCTTGCCTTGGCACCTGGAATTTTGATTTCTAATTTTTCGAGAACACACTTTTTTTGCTGCCCTGCTCTATAAAACACATTTTCTTTTCATTCACCGTGAGGTTTCACAATAAGCAGTCATAATACCGTTCTATTTGGATATTTTTGTTATTTGGTTTGTGTGTTTAATATGTACATATATTCTATATGGTTTGCATGTGGCCTGCTCTACCAAAACCAGTCCTCTCTTTATTATTTATCAATAAACTTTAAAAGATTTTTTAAGGAGCAATATTCAGTGTATTTGTGTTTTACATCAACTTTTTAATGTATAATATTTATTATGTGCAAATATTTTAAATCTCTCTTAAAATGTCTGTTACACAGTTGAGGCATTTGCAAGACCAAATCTGCAAAATCATACCAATAAGCTGAAACTTAGTATACACATGATCTCCCCCCCTACACTGCCATCCATTAATTTAGACATTTTCCATTGGTGGCTAGAGATCAGGAAAAAAGGACTAAATTCAGCCAATGTTTGATCCAGGAAAACCAGAAGAAGTACCCTACAGTTGACTCTGATGGGTTAGAAACAGCTGATCACTGTACTAATAGAGATCAAGCAGGCTGTACCTGTACAAGCCTTCAGCCTGACTGTGGACTCCAGTGCTCTGGGAGCCAGTTCTGCTCCTGGCATCGGTCAGAGTTGCCAGCACCACGGTCGCCTCCAGCACCATGTCCTCAATTCTGAAGGCCACGGGTCTGCAAGGAAGGCAAGACACACAGGTCACCAACACTCCTTCCGTATGGAGCAGCTGTGGGTGCTTTTGTCATGACGTCAAGTCTGGTGAAGTTCCAGGCTCATTCGAGCTGGAGCGAGCCTCAGTAGAAATGAGAGTTGAGTCCGCCACTAGGCTGACACCGCTGCAGCAGTAAGGGAATCGGAGGGCGAGGTGAACAGTTTGGGGAGGTGCTGTCCCGGCAATGAAGACAAATTAAGAAAGGTTCTGCCCTGGTTTACTGAAGCAATGCAAGCTCTTGCCATCACTAAATTGGGCGGAGGATTGCCATATTCAGGAATTTGTTTCATATTTCATACGTGCATTGTTGTTCATTCTCAATAAAAAATAAATACACTTGAATTAGCCCGGCAATGGACTGGTGGCACCAACTTTGCCCCACACATTGGGAATCCCAGGCATAGCTGGCCAATGCAATAGCTCAGAAAGCTCTGGAACGCAGTGCAAAATCTGCATTCCTTAAGGACTGATTACTGTAAAACCCTTTTGAAGGGCTGTTTTAATTCCTGTGAAATTCTACACTGTCTCTGTATTCACTATCTCTGACTTTAGACACGGCCTCATATGCAGACTCAGTGACTTGTACAAAGCACACAAGACTCGGCAAGGTCCTTCAGAGTGACACGCTGCCAGCCTGTGCCCACACTGGGAACTGATAAGGCAGAAACAGGCTCTACCACAAAGCTGGCACACCCAGGACACACTAGTGGAGGTCTGACAGTATAGCCCACTGTGTGGTGGTGGAAGTGCACTTATGTTTTTCTACTTCCTTCATAGCTATAACTCAAGAAGACTATGCAGTGCCCTACTTTCCCGATGTTCCAAAGTGGATGGACACGGATAAGGCATGGGACTCTGCAAATGCCAGCAAGCCCTAGAAAAACAGAGACATGTCATTATTACAGCACAGGGAAGGGGCAGAAAGAGAGAAAGACCAACAGGATACATTTGCTCTCCAAAATCCAAGTTAATTTCGGAGTATCGAGGCTTTGGTTCCCCAAAAAAAATCACTTTAGGAAATACGGTCTTGCAGAAAATATGAAAATATTGTAGTTCGCTCCTTTAAATACTTCAGAGCTTATTAGTAAGATTAATATGGTTTAAAACTATTCCGGAACAGCTTGGTTTTGGTAGAGATGGATCTATTTGGAAAACAAATATTGTGCTTTAGCCTACTGAAAGTTGATCATAATAATAGTGTGGAGTAGTGGTAAGAGCTCAAGAGTTCAAACTGGAGAGTGCTGGGTTCATAGGTAAGTACATGTCAGTAAAGTAGTGTACCCAGACTGGTCCAGCATGCCTGGGGATATAAAGAGGAAACAAAAGTATATGTAAGACAATTTGTAATATAAACCTCTGTAGGTTACTGTGGATAAACGTATCAGTGTCAATTTAAATTCTAAAGACTGGATTATGCTGTTACATGGAGTGGCACAAAAGAGAAGCATCTGGGTGCTATTAGCAAAGAATTACACAGTGTTGATGTAAGTCTCAGAGAATATCATTAAGAGCTGGCATTGACACAAAAAGAAAATTCATTCTAATTCATTCCTTCGATTCCTTCATGAGCCTGCTCTGATCTGTTCTGTTCTCGTTTCCTGGGCCTGAGCTCAGAAAGCCGTTGATTGGCCTTGCATGGTGTCATGGTATGGTGAGTGCACACGAAGAGCCCAGCCTTGTGCAATGTGCCATGGCTACTCTTCAGACTTAAAAGTATTGGCAGTGTGTAGCCCTTTACAGGCCCTGTAACTCACTCTGACAGCTGAGTTATATAAAGGCAGCTTGCCTGACAGTATCTTAGCTGCCTCCCACTCCAGTCATTTTAATCTATGGGTTGTGCAAAGTGAGCTTTTTCCAGTCTACATAACACCTATTCTGTGGAATGAACGTGCTGTCCTGGTACACTCTGTATTGTCAGGTCATGCAAACTGATGCAAACTGTTTAACTGGAAGTCATTAAGAATTAAGATCTGAGTAACAAAGTTTTTTAACTTTAAAAAACAGAATAATATAAAAAGATAACAGCTATAAAATATAGAATCACCAATTATTTTTTCTGCTTTCTCCCTAACCATGTGGATTTTCCAGTTTCTCTCTGGCTGCTCGGCCCATGATTCATTGCTTCTTCCAGGATGACTAAAGTGTCAGTACCACAAGGCCTAGGCCTTGTGCCACTCGTCCATCATTTTGGTGGAGCCACTTGGCCCAAATAACACCCTAACGTTAATTTGAAATAAGAATCTGTTTAGATAAAAACTCACTTAGCAAAAAGTTTGGAATTAACGGGACTAAAATTAAGAGAAGTTTTGTGTCAGGCTTCGCAGTGCTTCTGCAAAGACCTTGGGTGGAAGATTGTGGTCAGTTCTGGCTACCATACCACAAAAAATATCAAATTAGAAAAAAAAGAATGACTCCAGTACACATATGGACTCGTTAATGGATCTAAATCTCTGCAGTCTAGAAACAATAACACTCACAGAGGAGTTGTTTTTCCTTTATGTTATTGTAGACCTTATCTGTTCTAGCTTGTTTGTTGTCATTGTGTGATTTGCACAGTATGTTTTATACAGTTGACTTAATATTCTTCGTGTACGTTTGACATGTTTTTGTACTCGATTAGAAATAAGAAATCAAAATAAATCTTAAAAAAGCAAAACCAGGACACAGGATCGCAACCGGAAACTGAAACGGAAGGCATTTAGAAGGGTGGAAATGACCCATCCCATCCAGGTGTTTAAAACACAAACTCTTCAAGAAGCAGATGGATGGAATTTAAGTTTGACTCAGTTGCTTAGCTGCCACATGAGCAAGATGGGCCCAATTGTATGCGGCCTTCTGTTCTTACCTACTAACTTGTTAATTACACCATGGGAACATTCAGACCATCCTTTCACAGCTGAGATTTCAACATTCCCAGAAATGAGGGGTTAACAAAAAGTTCAGCCCCACAGCTCTTTAATACAGCTTCTTGTTGGGCTTGAGGCCGTTTGCTACATGATAGGACACAGCTTGTACTGAACACTCAGGTCTAGTTCCGCGAATAAACCCCAGTAAAAACCCCACACCACCGTGCAAATCATTTGACTTGACAGCTGGCAGCCATGCCAAAATATCGTCTCACCCTCAGCTCCTTCAGGCAAAAGGTTATTTCTGAGTCCATGCTGACCTGGAAGTAGTCAAACTCATCTGGGTGAAGAGACACTTCGGTGTGCATCACCTTGAGTCTGTCTGCAGCCCAAAGAAAACACCCGACACTAGTCTGTACAGCTAAAGAAAGACTCCTACACAGATCTTTCAAACTTTTATATCACTCAAAGAAAACGATGCTTTTAAACTTGTCTAGAATACACAATATGAAAATCAGGAGTTTTAAAAATTGGATAATACTTCGTATTATAGACATGTATTACACTGTCCTTTCTTTCTCTTAGCAATTTAAATGGTTTTCCTTATTCATACGGTGTCTTAAAGTGATATGGATGAGACACTATCAAGACCATAACTTAAGAGTGAAGCACAGACAAGCCCGTGATCAAAAGCTCTACTGAATTTCCTGGTTTGAAAAGAAGATTCAGGGAGATTCTCACCCATCTCCTCTTCATAGTAATTTTTGACGTTCACCTTCTCGGCAGTCACCGTCAAAGTAATTTCTTCTTGAGAAACTGGAAAATGCGTCACAATGCCACCAAGAAGTCTAATGAAATCAGTAAGGACAGAGGCTTGGGTCAGCTTTTTATGTAGCTGTAACTCGGTGAACTGGTAACACTGTCATTTGTGTCTGTTTACACACAACTTTTGTTTCACATTTTATTCTGAAACTCACTGAGGGATGGAAGCTGTCAATTAAAAGTGATATTCAAATACTGTATAACCACCCTTCAAATACTTAGAGCTTAAAATACGGAGGAGCCTATTAAGAAGTTGTTATTTGCAAAATTGGGTTGCCTGCCTTCACCCATCTGTACATCTGAGAATTTCTGTAAATATTTATTTTTTATTTACATTTAATTATGTAAATCTTAAATGATGGCTCTATAAAAATATTGTGCATACACACTCCGTATAAAGACTTGATTTAGCCCTTGCTTCTCCCTGTGCAGACGGAAGACAGGTGTTTAATTTGTACCTGGACTGTGCCTTCAGCACATTCGGACAGAGATGCGTGGGAAACACAGCCTGAAGAGACTCGCACTCCTGGTAACCCAGATTGTAAGTTTTGGTAATACCTGCAACACAATTCATAAGCATGCAAAGTTATTGAGTCTGCAAATGGTAAACTGCATAGCAGCCAGATGGGACTTTCCAAATGTATGTTAATAGTATAGTAAACCTTAAATGGGCTCGGGTTGCAAATGGCTCTATTCTGAGAACAGTGTGGCCCAGCAGTCAGCTTTGACTGGAATAGCCTAAGTGTCTTTGGACAGTGGGAGGAAACTGGACCACCATGAACACAGGAAGAACAGCATCCCATGTCTAGAACTGAACCCAGGGTCCCAGTGCTGCAAGGCAGCAATGCAAACTAATGCACCACTGTGCCGCCCTATAGCCTAATGGATGATGGGGTATCTGCAGTGTTGAGCTTGTCGTCATCTCTGGTATGCTAGATGCTAGACAGCTAACAGTACCCCCTGTGGTTTGCTGGGAGCCTGTGAGAGCATCACTATGAACAGAACGCTGCTCTGGGATGCAAGGAGCTCAGGGTGAGGAGTCTTCAATGTGACAAGAAATGGCAAATGGTTTGACAGGACATGTTTTAATTAACATACATGTTCCCAAAAAGATTAATAATCAGAAATTCAAAATCTGGGATTACAAAAAAAAAAAACTTATAATCTTAAGGGGTGGGGATATCCAAAAATAAATGTGTTTCTTCCCAAATAATAGGCATTTGTTCTTCCCTATCTACACTGTTTTTATTTTGTTTAATATAAGGCCAACAGAGAAAACACCACAACAAATGAAACTGTGTGATGTAAATACAATTACAGCAAAGGACACACTGCCCCCTAATGTTTGTATCTTAAAATAAAATAAAATAAAATAAAATAAAATAAAATAAAAACATCTAGGATGTTTTTAGGGATTTTGGCCCCTATAAAGTTTATTTTATAGTTTATATAAAAAGTCTTGAATCCACATTGCTATTTGGTAGAACCCATAGTTTTTGTGGGAAATAGGAACTCACATCAGAGATTCTATTCTGACTTTCTCTTCTGTTTACAAACTCCACCTACCATGCTTGCAGAAAAACTGGAACATCACTCGGGTGCCAGGACAGTTAATGGAAATGTTGCACCTCTCCACATTTCTTTCGATGGTGGCCAAGCACCGGAAGATAGGCAGTACTGTCTGAAATGAAAGAAAACCAGCTGGCCTTCACAAGACATAGCACTGCACTGGACAGTCTGCAGTCTCACACATACTAGATGTGTCAATGGGTGCTGATGTACATCTTTATGTACTAAGGATATCTACTAAAGAAGTCTGATAAATGTTAATTATGAAGTCCTTTTCTTGATATCAAATTTTGTAATGTTTTATATAGATGAATTGGCAATACAATAATGGGAATATTATCAGTATGACCCTTTTATAATTCAAAATTATGAAAGGAGAACATCGTGTATACCTTTGAAAAGTAGGGTCAGTAGGATATACTGTATACAATAGCAACTCAATGCAATTATAGCAATCTAACAGAGATTCCCTGTGATATGAGACTGAAAATATATTTTAAAGAGATGAGTGACTGAAGTCAGACTGAGTAGATGACTGAATGGGACAAGTAATAGGTTTATTCCATGCTGAAAAAAAGAAGAAAGAGAACACAACGTTTCGGCCGTGGAGCCTTCTTCAGGTGTGTCTCCACCTGAACTAGATGACTGAATGCTTTATGTTTTTGTATGAAACGGTGCATAAAACCAGCTATTTATTTTGCAGTTCAGTTAAAACAATATCACCTACACAAGCATTGTAGCTTGTTTTAAAAAAAAGTGTTGTATATAAGTCTTACACCAAAAGAAAATCATAGTGTTTGTGTTACTGAATATTTGAGTTCTGCGTTTCACACTTCAAGCCCCACTGTAAAGACTTATAAATGTTTACAAAATGTTTGAAAACAATGTTTGCTGTGTTGCAAACAAAATATTTTTCCCACTTCTTCCAGATTTTCTAAAAAACACGTTTGGATGCCTGCACAAAGAAGAGCCCAGTGCAAGAATAATTAGTGAATCAGTCTTTCTCCTAGCCCTCCTGACCCCTGCTGCAGCCCATCATATATCTACTATTTATTTAACAATTCAGAGCTGCCTGGTCACCAACTGTCCATGTTCAGACTGAACCTGATCTGTTCAGATTCACTGACTGTTAACCTGGAGATCAAACAAGCCTTTTTGTACACATCTTGTCAATTTTCTTTTTCTTTTTAAACTTTTTTTATTCAACAACGACCAAGACATCATGACATCATGCTGTGGCAGCCTGAGCCCACTCTGAGAGCAGGACCTCCTCTTTCAGAGCAGCACCATCACCTGTGGCTCTCTGCTGAAACTGGCTTCACCTATACAGTATGTGTCGTAATGTCTTCCTGTCTTTTGCAAGGGGACCTCAAAGACAGATTTCATGTTTTTAGGCTTTGAACTCTCCACTCGCTTTCCCAGCATCCCTATCTCTGTGCTGGTAAAGACTTATTTTCATCTGCTTTGTATCTGCAATGATATTTTTAACAAAAGGCACACATTTCTTATGATGATAATAATATTCATTCACAACTCCCCATCATTTAAAATGATGTGTAGTCTGCAGCTCTGTGGCTCTCAGTCCTGCCTAACAGCCTTGGCATTTAAACCCTGGAAACTTTTACTTGACCCTTTCATTTACTTTTATTTTCAGTCTATTTTTACTGCCCACGTGCATTATGGACAACAAGTGATCCATGGTCTACTGAAGACTCAGTAATATCATCCCACAGCTTTACAGGAGTCTGCCTGGACGTCATATTTATACATTTTTTCCAACTGCATTTGAAGGAAGACAAGATCTATCAAGATCAACCCCGTGACTGAGTCAGTGGAAGAAGCGGTCCAGCCACTGTGGCAGAAGATACCCCGTCTTCCTGCAGGGGTCGGCTGGATTAAAGATCCTTTTAGTGCTCACGTATTAGAAACTCGATTAGCCAGACGGGATCAATGGCCTGCTTTCGTTTGCAATCTGCCCTCTGTCTGCGGGGCTTGCGAAGGTTCTGTGTGCTGTCTGTACCTTTGTGCTCAGTTTGCACTTCAGAAATGGCTTCTCATCTTTTGCAGCCGATGGCGTCTGCGCCCCGCGGCTGTAGTGCTGGAAGAAGAGAGGGGAAAACAGGAAACAGCCGTACGCGGAGTGGGAGGAATTCACTGACCTCACCGCCAGCTGCAGGGAAGAGAAGGAAGACAGAGCTGAAGGCAGGGGCGCTCCATATTAAATACAGAAACCTCCACACTGAAACGCACTTTGTTCACGTCAGGACAAATGCATTGAATGTTGAATAAAATGGATTCATTAAAAAAAAAAATTTGAATTCTAGCGTAAAATGGGCCTGCTGTTTCCAATAGATTTGAGAACTTTTGACAAATATGAGGAATCAGGTTAACGAATATAGATCAAAATACAGGCAATGGTTCCTTAAAGTTCCCTTTCTAGAACCTACTGTATCAGTACTTTTCTGATTTAACTCAGAGTACAGACCACCTGTGCATTGAAGAGCAGGTCTCATTTTTACAGTAGGTAAACGATAAACAAATGAGCATTAAACACAGTGCTGAATTAATTATAATGTTAAATTATAACTATAAGGTAATAATGTTGAAGTCAGATTTACAGTTCAACTTTCAAAATGAATTAGTTCCACTAAAATGGTTTACAATGTATGTGGCCATTTAAAGGCACCTTAAATCTGCTACACATTTTAGGAGAACTGATTATAAGTAGGAAACGTGAAATATATATCATATATACTATATAACAGAGGTATCCCTGTGAGCCCAAGAACACAACACTGAGTTTCAGTATTAGCTGTCAAAAAGCCCTATTGATACACATGGCTGATAACCCACACTACACACGTCTGCAATTCGGTAGATTTGGACAAAACCATCTCTGGCGCTGCAGAGGTGACCGGTGAGCTTTCTCTGAAAGATGAGCTACAAGACCAGAGAAACACTCAATAGTATTTTTTTTAATTCTGGGGAATGGTCCAGACTCGGGTCACTGTGACAGCACTACTTACTCCTTTTTCCAACGGGTCCAGCCACAGTTCCTCACCAATCCGGGCAAGGGCATGAATTGTTTTCCCAAAGACTGCCAACAGAAAAGCACGGGGCTTATACAGTATATACACCCATGAAGAAAAGATGTCAGGGAGACATAACGACAGATTGATTAATTATAGGTTATTTTGCGAAATAATTATAGCTTTTTATATTTACTTTTACCTGAATGAATGACTTAATCAGGCCCAATTAGCCCAATCTACCGCAAGCTACTGTACAATCACAGCCAAATGATAACTGAATAACCGTAATTTCTCAAGTATGACAGAACTCCTTCATAATTACCTTTCACGTTGCCTCCTGCTATTACACACTTCATTATGTCTCTAGGGTACCGTAATGGGTTTGAAAAAAAGGGTTTAACTTTCAGTGTCAAAGCTCGGCAAATTTACTGCGTCGAGAGTCCCGTGTGTGTTTCTGGAAAGATCGTGACGTGATGGTTACTATATCGGGAGTTTACCTGTGGTTTAGTCTATATTTATCTATATAATAGTACAATACCTCAAAGTAACATAAGGAACTCGTGAGGAATATAAACAGATAATTAAACCGCGGTGAGGTAGCCTGGCGTTAGGAGTCCGACTCCGATGGCGGGCCGGTTGTCTCCTGTAGTCCCCCGGATAGCCACTGGATCACCCCAGTGTCAGGAACGGGATGTATTCATGAGAAGCTTTGAAATATCAAAAACAAAACATCCATAATCTTTATATGGTGGTATATTCCCCCCCCCCCCTGCAGCACCTTTTGTAAGAGAAATCGTCTTTTAGGACGGAAACTATAAGAAAAACTAATGAGACGTTTGACATGCTGTCGCCTGTCGTTTTGGTGGGTTTTTCTTTTGGGGTTAACGAAATGCAATTTGCAGATTCGCCCACTGTTCGGACAAACGATTGTGCCAATTTTGTAAACATATTCCATCTAGAGATGTCCGCGTTTTCCCCTTATTACAATTCGGGTTCCTTTGCTTTTGTGGGGTTCACTTTTACTGTTGTGTAAAGCAAGAATATTAATTATACAGAACATCCTGACTCTTCGTTTTTTTTATTTATTCTGTTATTCCTGTTGATGTCCCTTATCTTAGTGCTTCCTTTCTGCCATGACCCCTTTCCTATGGTATATTGCACAGTTGTTGTGACAAAATACAAGTCATTTAGAAAACGCTATTTGTCAAGTAGGTGTGTCCGCGCTGGCTTTCCATACTGAGTCTCCCTCAGCTCGACGGTGATTGGCTGCTGGCTGGCCGTCACTGGGATAACTACGGTGCGGAGAAATCTCTTCCTGAGCTGTGGCGGATACTGCGGAAAAGATGGTAAGAGTGAAGCATTCCCTCAAAATTCCTATACTGGGCGCTTTTTAATGGAGGGAGTGGTAGTTGTCAGAACACGGAGGACCTTTAATATGGCATGATGCGGGCCTGGCGAGCTGGGGCGCGGTGGCGAAAAAGGCACAGTCTTTCCGGCCTCCCCCTTAAATTAATGGGTCTCTAGGTGGTGGACGATCACATGACGGTACGGGAAACAGGGACAGGATTGTCAAAAAGTGCTGTTGTTACTGGGGACTGCACGGGATCTTTGCATTTACTCATCCCACGTCCATTCCTCGCCGATTTCGATTTATTTTAGTTGGGATCTTTTGCCATTGTACCCCTGGCACGAAGCTTCAGTTTTGTCATTGAGCCCATTCTGATGTAAACGTTTTGTTTCTCGCTGAGCACATTGCAGTCATGCACAAGCACAAGGACTACTATCACACATTTGCACGTTGTAGTTAACTATCACGAGTATGGTCTTTTTTTAAATGTAAGTGGAACTGAACGCGGAAAAAAGGGGCTTTGGGTGCAAAGCAACATTAATCTCACATTGAATCCCGTTGCTTGCTGAAGGTCTTTAACCCTTCTGTAAAATTACAGTGACTGAAATGACACAGTCCAGACCCTTTTTATCATGTGACAGGACGTCTGTAGACTCGGTAACATTCTGACGAAATTTGCATTCGCTCATTTCTTTGTGATTGTTGTACTACAAATGTAGGTAAGGAGTTTCTTTATTAATAATTTTAAACAAAACTTGTCACTCTAAAGTCGAGGCTACTAATGCTGCTTCCCAGGCCATTTACCCTTTGATTCTCCGGAAGCTTTTAACGTTTTTGTCTGACCAGTGGAAAAACATGGAATGCTTTGATAGCAAGTCGAAAATCAATTTTCCATTATTCTAATTAAAATGTACGAATTGTGTTGTACTTATTGATTGACTGTTGCTGTGAAAACTGTAGCTTTAGCTTTTAAAAAATATATATTTGGGGAACATCACGGACGGACATCATATATCAATGGAAAACCGTAGAGAGCTGAAAGTTAAGTTTACTGACGCTCATTTGGATAATTTATTTCAATCTGTTATTTATTTTCGGCGTAAATCTGTATTAAAAGTTTGTATGTAAGGCCTGCAAAGCAGTATTTTAAGAAGTCCATTCTTCACTCACATTGAAAAGTAACAAGTACTAACCATTGCAAGCTGTTAAATTCATGATCACCTAATACCCTTCATCAGTCTTTTTGTTTACTTTTAATTCCATAATTTTTTCTTTCAAATCTCATTTCTCTTTTTCTTTTTGTTTTGTTAAACTTTGATCATGTCTCATCCTGTTCCTCATCCCTACCCCCTCCCTGTCTGCAATCAACCTCTTCATTGTGTTCAGGCTGGTCACAGAGTAAGTGTCCCATCTTCAACCCTTCTGACTTCCACTGCTTGTACGAGCTTCGCTTGCAGACTAGTGGGATGGCTCTTAGTAACAGCTGCACTTATACACCTGCTGCCAGAACAATCATGCATTTCAGACTGCAGTCCTGATCTTAAAGGTCCTTCTGGTGGTGTGTACATCTAATGGTTTCCTGTTGCATTTCTAATGCACAAAAACATGTATGCTACTCAGCAGGTAAGGTTGTCTCAGCTGAGACTTTTCTTATTTGCCTTCAATTAAGCAACGGTATTTGGTGCACTGGAAAAATGCTCCCATTGCACAGCAGTTTGATCCGTGTCAGGATTAAGGTTCCTGTACAAATTGTATTTGCTGAAGCAGGAAAGCAATCTTTGTTTAAACTCATACATCTGTCAGTGCAGCTTTATCCGGAATATAGTAAGAAGCTTCTAATTCCATTGCCTTGTGCTGGCTCATTTAGTCATGCTGTAATTAAAACTTTAAGTCGATCCAGCAGCTATTTGATGAGAATCTTATCCATCTACCTGCAAGTGTTTAAGAATTTAATACCTTCTTCATTTTGTAGGTTTTGTACTAATACCTAGTTTAAAACTAATGATATACTGTATTATTTGCAAATTCAATTTAAATATGCCACAGGCAAAGGGTGGTTTTAAGTTAACAATTTATGACCCTGTTACATATTTATACGCAGCTTAACACTGCTAATTTATCACATGGCTTTAGTACAGCACCAGTTATCTAATATACTAACAATAATGGCAGACAGAAGTCACTGTCCAGGGCTAAATTTTATGCAGAAAGATATATATTTAGTATTTTACATTATTGCTGAAATGCTTTTTGATATTCACTTTGTCGTATGGGTGTTAAGTGCCAGTCCCAAGTGCCTTTTCATATTTTTTCATTCAGTAAATTTCTTACTTTCTTGCAATTCTGTTTGTGTTTTTAAAATGTCAGTATTATTAAGATTTTCAGTACGGTTTGCAGTCTTGAAAGCATGGCCTGGAAACCAAGATTAAGTGATTTAAAAACTGAGAACATGAGGCTCAGATTTATACAGAGGGGCATGGGAGTCTGAAAATAACCTCTCGGCAGTCGTATAGTTGAAGCAGGTATCCTGGCTTCCTTCAAGAAACAGCTCCACAAAATTCTTAGTTCAGTAAACAGTTTATTTTGTTTTTTGCCTCTTTGTGCATAATATAAACATCAAAGTTCTGTCCTACGAATATCAAATAAAGGTAGCCGATGAGTCAGGGAAAATGGAACTTTCATATGAAAAAATATTAATTCAGTAGATAATGCAAGGAGGATATAGGACTCCACCTTTAAAGCCGAACCCGTGATTTTGTTGTGCGACTTGCTGGGGACCTCCCAGTCCCCCATATCTGTGAAGCTTGCAGCCCCTCTGGTGTGCTTGCTCATGTCTCCGCCCTTGCCTCTTCCTGCTCAGTTGGTACTGGTGCTAGGAGACCTCCACATCCCCCATCGTTGCAACACTCTGCCAGCCAAGTTCAAGAAGCTGCTGGTTCCTGGAAAGATCCAGCACATCCTCTGTACTGGCAACTTGTGCACCAAGGAGAGCTACGACTATCTGAAGACACTGGCTGGGGATGTGCACATTGTCAGGGGAGACTTTGACGAGGTTTGTCGTGATGCATTCACCAGTCACATGCATGTGGTCAGCACAGCCCTGTCCTGTGGATGAACAGATGAAAGGCTAGCAAAGTTCTGTCAGGTCAATTCACACATGTTGTAGCTCAAGTAACATGTTGACTACATTATACCACACTTGTACCAATGTACTTATGTAGTCTTTTCATTCTAGACCAAGACAAATAATTGCACAGAACTTTACATTTATTAGATTAGCTTAGATTTATTGCCTTTTAGTTGGGTATCCTATTTAGGGGACACTAAAGGACTAGTATTTAACTGTTTTTACAAAGCTGCAGGAAAAGCAAAAGTAGGAGCACACATTTACAGGAAAAAAATGTTTATTTTTCTGTGGTGCAATCTTCTGCGAGCTATAAAAGCAAACCTCTCGTGAAACTGATTCTTTTAGAGATTAATTTCAGTTAGAATGTTATGTTTCAGCCTTTGAGACAGGAGTTTGTGACGAATGGGTTTTCAACTGACATTGCAGAACCTAAACTATCCCGAGCAGAAAGTGGTGACAGTCGGACAGTTCAAAATCGGCCTGATTCATGGACACCAAGTCATCCCCTGGGGTGATATGGCCAGTCTGGCCTTGCTGCAGAGACAGCTGGATGTGGACATTCTCATCTCGGGACACACACACAAGTTTGAGGCATTTGAAAATGAGAACAAATTCTACATCAATCCTGGATCAGCCACTGGGGCTTACAATGCTCTGGAAAGGTGAGGAAAGTCTCCTATATCTAGTGCTTAACATACTGTATACTGGCTGGCAGACCACTGCCTGCAACTTATCGCTTGGAAACAGCTGTAGACTTTTAAGGTTACCGTGTTCAGTTTTACATCTTTGAACAACTCCTGGAAGACCTATCTCTACAATGAGTAGAATTTTCACAGTTTTGGATGCAATAAGGATATTTTAGAGAGAAAAAAAAGCTTTCTTAGTGGCCATTGAGGTAGGTAATCATCATATCGCAGACTGCACAGTAGTAAATTGTGTTCATAGATAGGAATAATTGAAAGGTGAACTCCCAATTGGATTGAATTTCATTTATTGCCTTTTAATTTCCTTTGTAATGCGTTATTGTGAGACTATAAAAGTAGGCCTTATGACAGGCTGGTTAGCACAACAGAATGCACAATTTCCCTTTCTGTGATTCGGTCACATCTCCGTGCTAAATTTTGAATCCAGCTTGCATCTGCCTCTATATTGTCTTTTGGTTACTTGGTAACCTAGTCTGTACACTGATCATTTGATCTAAAAAGTGTTCTCTCCCACTGGATGCTGAATCGTCTATTGTAAAGCACACCGAAGCCATGTGCAGTGATTTCCAGGGAGGAAAAACAATTCTTGTGCTTTCTTTTCCTAGCAACATCATCCCTTCCTTTGTGTTAATGGACATCCAAGCCTCAACGGTAGTAACCTACGTCTACCAGCTCATCGGGGATGATGTGAAGGTGGAAAGGATTGAATACAAGAAGTCCTAAAACAACTGCTGTGGGGATTTCAGCTGATTCATCTCGTTTCATTCCTTAATTCCCGCAAAACACATAAGTAGAATTCTGTAGCTGTATCTTAAATGTTTGGCTAACTTCAAAAAATGTATACGGTATATTCTGACAATATACCCTTACTCACCTGAGGTTATGAAGAGTATGCAATTAAACAACATCTTGCAGCTCAGAACATTGCTACATCACTGCTGTACTATAACTTTTTACAAAAATAACCATGGTATACAGTACTGTCTTTAATTTACATGTCTTTCAATTTACCGTGAATAAATGGAGTATGTATATAAATAAGCAACAAGGATTAACACCATTTCATTAATAAAGACATGGTGCCCCATTTTTGTTTAACAAATTTGCCATGTAAATATATTTTAAAAGCCATTATTAGTTTTGTTTTCAGACTATCATTGTCTCACCTCAGTGGTGTGATCTGTAAGGAAAATACAGTTTGTTTTCATTCATTTCCTAACGTTGTATCTGCTATGACCTCTTGGAGAAAATCACAAATTTAAAATCTAGGCTCTCAGGAGCATTACCCCAGAATGGAAATTGATTTGATGAATAGATTAACTCTGGTATAATGACAAAAAAGCATCTTAGAATCACTCAGAAAGAACAGATTTGCCATTTGGGATTCATTTGCTTTTAATTATGGTTTCAACGTGAAGATTCAATTAAAGCATTCAATAATAAAACCGGCCTACCACCACCTAATACTTCAGATGTTCTTCATTTCACTTTATATGTAGACAAATGTACTAAGGTTTTTTTTCTGTTAAACTATTTGAATTGTGAGGATTCAATTAAAGCATTCAATAATAAAACTGGCCTACCAACACCTAATACTTCAGATGTTCTTTGTTTCTTTATATGTAGACAAATATACTAAGCTTTTTTTTCTGTTAATCTATTTGAATTATAAATACTTAAACATCACATATCTTAGTTAACTTTATTTCATATCTTAACATATCTTAGTTATCTTTTTATACACTGTACATACAATACTTAAATAGAATACTGGTATTATATTTAGATATATAAACCTTTTACATTTAGAAGGGGACCTACACTGTCCTCTTCTGAAATGCAGCATCCTCCTCAGTGATTTGTGGCAGCTAATATGTGCCAGTGGCCAAACTACCCAGCTGGTCAGGTGGACAAGGGAGAAACTGCTCCTCCAGTTGAATTAGGAGGAATCTTGAGGTAGACTAGATTGAAAGTTAGCCAGGACAATGGGGTTCACTGCCTTACTCTTACGAATAGTGCCAGGGGTTCTTTAATAACCAGCTTTCAGAAGACTGGTTTAGCATCTCACCCAGAGGACCCCACCTCCTACAGCACAGTGTCCACAGTCATCATGGTGGGGCACTGCTGTGGAAAGTCAAAAATGGAAGTGGATCTAGTGCCCCCTAGTGGTCCCCGAAGTGCACAATGTCACTGTAGTCTATCACCCTGATTATATTACGTGGATCACTATATAAAATGAAATGTTATCACTGTGCATCACCATTTTAAAATTTAGGCTATGCTAATTTTATTTTCCTCAGATTTAAACATGTCACATTCAGACGTTTACCCCAAGGCATCTATAATCAGAGTATGGTAGACCGGCATTAAAAGAGCCCCACTGTAACACAACCACGTTAATTGTATAGCTATATTCTATTCTATATTAAGAGAGGATTCTGGTAACCGTTACAGTTTCTCTCATTTCTTGAAATCTCCCCATGTGACTTCTGACCCCCACCTTTGGAGCCAGGGCTGTTTTCTCTCTTGCCTCCAGACAGTAATATCAATTAGCAGATGGATTTTGTTCCTCCTCTTCAAGTGACAGTGAGCTTATGTTTTCACTGAGTGTGTCTTCTCCAGTCTGTCTTCGCTTCTTGCCAAGCTCCTTCTTTGTATCAGCATCTGAAAATAAGTCATTGTAATATTTAGCACCACGTATTACAGGAGCTAAAAGTGCTACCTGGAATGGGAAGGTGAACCATGCTTTGGTTAAAGAGCTACAGGAAGATGTGAAGAGCCTTGCCTGTTCAGAATACTGTCATTTCCTGTCTTTCACACTGCCATTACAGTACATTAGTTTCCAATGCTGTCGGTTCAGCTTTTCTGAAAAACCATTATACACAAGTTGTGCGTTACCTCTTACAGAAGTATTCTGTGGTGCACATGATTCTTTCCTGGATTTTCTAGGTTGATTTTCATTCGGAGCTGAAGTGCTGCATACCGCCCTATAAAATAAAGCATCACATTGTTCATCTGACTGCATTATTAAAATGTCCAAAGGTCACATATTTTTTAAAGGCGTATTTGTTATAAAGGTTTTTAGGATTATTTTGGTCATTTTTTCATCATTTTATACATCATTGTATCTGGGCGAATCTGGTTTCTTAATAAAATCCTCTAAAAGTTTTTACAAAATTACTTAAAACCTGAGCTGGCCCTTAATTGAGCTGACCAAGTTGGCATATTGTACTTCTACTGCAGGTGCCTCATAAGCCTTCATTATGTACTGCCCTTATTTTTTTTCAACGACTAGTTGACCAGCAGATGTCCTTCTTATTAAAAGGACTTCCTCACATAATATTAATCGACAGTGTAAACAGTAGTCATAGTGTTTGAAATATTATCCTCAGGTGACAGTGAATCCTTTCCCCTGAATTGAGATACAGAGACAACAATCATGAATTGAGATTTGAAGCGCATTCATTTGCGGACAGCATCCCTAATTATTAAGGAATTGTGAGAAATCCAAGAACAATAATAAATCCAAGTACATCCATGTACAATCATAAAAATCCTATTAAAGTAATCTGTCCACGTCACGCACAACCCCGCATTTCCGAGTGCCTGAGAAAAGCCTGCCGTGTCAGACCTGTGATGACCTGCTATCCTGGGCAGGACGAGCCTCTCGCTGTGAGCCGTGGCCGTGTTTCTGTCACTGGTGGGCTTGCACTTGTGATGGCAGACGGGAACGGTTTTACTGCCTGCTGCCGTCATCCGTGTCTGCTGGTGCTGTAGTTTCACACCTGGGTTCTGGTTTTCCCTTGAGGCATTATAACCTGTAGACAACACAATCAGCAAACTAATTAAAAAATAAATAAAAGGGCTGGCATTAAAAAGTAGATACTAATCTGCTGGATGACAATTGTACTGGGTTTTGACTTATTTAGCTGATTTATGAATTTATAGCAGCAGCACAGTCCAGCAGGAGTTAGCACTGCTGCCTCGCAGTGCTAGAGCCCTGGGTTCAGTTCTGGTCCTGGGGTGCTGTCTGTGTGGAGTTTGTTATGTTCTCCCTGTGTTCGCATGGGTTTCCATCCACAATCCAAAGACATACTTGTTCATTTGCTTCTGGGAAAACTGGCCCTGGTGTGAGTGCGTGCCTGTCTGTGTGTGTGTGTGCCCTGCGATGGACTCGTGTGCTGTCCAGGATGTATCGTGCCTTGCACCTCTTGCTTGCAGGAAAAGACTCCGGCTCCCCCACCTGTATTTAATAAAGAGTTTAGAAAATGGATGAGTGGATGAATTTATAGCGGGTAGGACATATACCTGTTCTCATGCACTGATGCAAGGTGTTCTGATACTGTCTTCTCATTAGTTTTCGCATGTGGTCAGTGCTGTAGATATTTGCAATGCTGCACAGGTATTTTTTCTGCCCAGTTGTCAAGTCTGGGTGCTACAAGGAAAGCAGATATTTACATACAGCGTACTACATACTCAATACTTGCAACTACATGCGAGGTTCTTGAAAATCAAAGGGACGATATTTTTTCCAGAATCTGTTTTGGCACAGCAACCGCAGATAAAGCTGTTTACGGTGCTGAGTTTCCTGGCATGCCCACCTGCAGAAAAGGAGCGCTCATCATCGACTTGGGTATATGCACCGTTTTCATCTGCTGAGCAGAGACATGTTGTCCCGAGTTTGTCCTTGCCTTCTGTGTCTCTGTGCTGACATCCTGATCAGCGTATGGGCTGCCAAATCCTGCAAAACAGACAAGATTACGTTTTCTGATGAAATACCATGTTGCATGCATGCATGTTGGGGGAACACACCCCATTTTAAAAAGGTAATTCCTAGAAGAGTGTTTGCATAAACTGTAGCCCTTATCTGATCTTTTCACCTGAGGCAGTGACAATGGCTAGAGATGTGAGTGGCCTACCTGTAACAATTTTCTGTACTGGTTTTCAGTCCTGTACTAAGCAGGACTACACCAATTGAAGTGAAATCGTTAAGCCAGCCTTCATGGGGGATGTGACATTAGCAGACTAGGCCCCAAGACAGAATACAGGAGCATACAAAACATAACCATAAACAGGTAGAAAGAGTAAGAACTAGACTAGAGAGAGCAGGAACTGCAAGAGAAAACTCTCATTCAACAGACCAAGAGACCACAATCTGTCCTGGTTATCTGAACATTAAAGAGAACTGGACTATATGCTTCAAGACAGGGAGTTGATATATTATTCCTTTGCAGCCTACACATGCTGATGCAGCTACCCACCTGAACCTATATATATATGCCTATTTGTGTTATCCCTCAGGCTGGAAGACATCTCTCTGTTGAGTAGCAGGTTTTTCTGAATAGAGAACTCAGTTCCATCTGGGTGTCAATTTAAACTACCTAAATTCAAGAGCAATAGAACTAAGTCATCTTTTATTCCCACATCAATTAACCTGTTCAATTTGGACAACTGATTGTATATTTTAATTTATATATAGATTTATGTTGTACCTCATCATACAGGTATATCTCTTATTTGTTACAGGGTCCACGTTGTGTTAAATGGATTGTGAAACGTGTTATGTCTTCTGCCTGCCTGCAAAGCAAATTTCCAATCTGGGTCAAAGAAGTAAAGTATGTCTAGTTGTAAATAATTGAAAATATCCGTCTGTCTCTTACTTTTGCCACCTTGTTATTACCATGTCACAACGCTGTACTAGAGAAACCAGGAAAACATGTGCTGTTTGGCACAATATTCCTTGACTATAGGGAATGTTCTAACTATTGTTTTAATAATTGGCTAGAATAATAAACTTGTGTCAAGAGGTGATATTTAGTGTCTGATTAAGACTACTTATTTAATGATATTCCCCAACCCATTACAAGCACTGGGTCAGCAACAAAACCCCATGCCAAATGTTGTGCAAAGGCAAAGCACTGCTTCATATGGAGAAACCCTTCCATCTGCTTGTTTCAAAAGCAGAACTTAAAGGTAATCCTAATGCTTTGTTCACATACTGTAATACAATAGCTATGACAAACTGAGGGATGTTGCATCATTAATTTGTATACGGCCCCTTCCATTTATAATACCATGCAAAAATGAAGTGTCCCGATGCTTCTGGTTGCCTGGCAACAGTCCTAATTAGTCCTTTCCGTCTGGGGGCGATCTGCTCTGCAGTGTTGTAGAAGAGAAAGAGGAGCAGCCTCTCACAATTGCAGCTATTCACTTGCATTGCAGTTAAAATGCATGCCCTGGGGTATAGAGTTTCACAGAAGACACAGGACACTGCCACTGCCATGTGGAAAAATAACACTGGAGTCTACCCAATTAGCTACAAAACTACACCTTTCTTTGATAATGCATTCATACTGGTTTAGGAAATTGTGAAGGTTACATACCAGTGAGTATATTTCTTCGTGGGTAGCAGTAACCTGCAGACCTTCAGGAAGAAGACAAAAATCATCGCTATTATTAAGATGTTACCTAATAAGATTCACATGCAGTGAGCATAATTTTATTGATAATTGTATTGATAAACAATTGTATTGATAAAATGTGCACTCTAACCTATGTCCACGTTGCAATTAATATTTCCTGTTTAAGCATCCAAAACACTTAATTCAGAAAGTGTTGATGCAATGCTTTGAAAGTACATTTTTTAAAGCATTGCAGTTTTTATACTTCTGTATTAACATAATAACATTAAGTTATGTACAGTTTTTTTAAGAAAGTATTTGTACAGTAGGTCTATTAGATTTATGAGTAGTATGTAGTACTATTTCATTATAACATATAATATTAGTCAACAGAGATAATAAAATGAAGCAAATTAAATTTATTGGGATGTGTGTGCCTGGTAAACACGAGTCCCAGTAAAAGGAAAAAACTTTCCATTTTCATTCCAACATGTCATGGATATCGTAGGAGACAGGTGTCCAGCCCAAACATTTTATAAACCTTCTTTTTTCATTTCCCATCCTGACCAACCACTACCCCCCAAAAAAAAACCCTTCCAACGAACAACTTTAAGAACTCCATTGAAAAAAAGTTAATTATTCACATGAGCATAGTATATATAAAACATACCGTTTTATGGATCTAACATACTGTTTTATGTATTAAACATGCTGTTTTAGATATATAAAACATACTATATCAGATATCATAAAACAGCTACTATACATATCACGAGAAAAGAATACATTATTAACAATAAGAAAAAGAATTCGTATCAATACAATTTTCACTGTTTCTGGCAACATGACCCCATATTCTATGGACGGTATAAATGATGTTTTAATCATCCTAATGCAAATTGCACAAACAAATGTAGGCATCGGTCATGTACTTTTTGCCATCATGTTTAAATGGAACAACATCAACAAACAAGCGGTGAAAAAAAGATAAGATAACTTTTTATCTGGCTTACGGTTTGGATGCAAGCCTTGTTCGGTGGTATTTACCTTGTCGCTGAGATACGACGGCCGCTGTACTGGGTTAAGTGCTCCCTTTTATTACCTTCCTCGACGAATGTCACTTGTTTTCTCATGTCTGCAGACCTTTATTCTAATGACGAAAAAGTTACTTTGTAGATGTCCAGTTGGAATATATCACCATATCGCTACACAGCTGCGGACAACGAATTCAATAGCACCCCGGAGGTCCTCACCTTCTTGTGCGCCTGCGTGTGAGCATGTTCGTTGCCATAGTGAAATATTTTTTTGTTGTTGGAGAGCGCCGTAAATTATTGAACTATTGATAGCTGCAAAAACAGGCTTGCTTGCGAAATGAAGGCAAAACAGCAAAGCACGCAGTAGCGCAGCAACAACAAAAGGCTAAAGCATAGCTGTTTTTAATGCGATATAAGAACGGCTGGAAAACGACAAAACAAGGTTGACTGCATAATATAAGCACGCCGGAAAACCGAGTACTGTACAATGCACATTTACAGCTGTGACCCCCTGCCAAGAGTTTATTCACAGTACAGTTTCTGCAACGCGCCCAGTCTCAAATTTCACGACGCTTGAGTTACGCTTCCATACAAAACGATATCGGGAAACTGTTTATTAGGTGGGTTAAATAGTTGCACTGAAAACAATCTGAATCACACCATATAACTTATTTATAGCAGTTCATTTTAAGAATACACGAGCTGTCTGGAAATTGGAAGCTGTTGGCTTTTAGCGGGAGCGCCGTTTGACTCAGTGAGGGACCCGTAGTTCTGAGGGGCGGAAGTTGTGAGGTGATGGGAAAGTGCGTGATACGAATATTATTTGGGGGTATACTTATTTTTACTGGAGAGCTAATTCGTCAAATGTTGTAAAAGAGTAGGGATTAAATAGCAAAATGCCTCGTTATGCGCAGCTGGTGATGGGTCCGGCTGGAAGCGGAAAGGTAAGAGAACCTACTTTCAGAAGTGAGGTGACGACACGAGTACATGCAGGATTTTTATTTGTTTTTTCTCTTTGAAATACAGTAGGTATTTTACAACTTAAGTATAGAACAACGAAATCATTTCCCCCATATTTTGTGTGCTTAAAATAAAATAATGCGATGTGTAGTTGAATATTGATCAGAGGTAACTGCTATAGTTGCTACTGTGAACTGTAGTTACTGACCAAGGTATTTTTAGAAGATGCATTGAAAAGCACTAACATTCCTTTAGTTATCACTAATTTTTCCACGTTAATTTTCTTTTACACTTCTCCTGTCTCGATAATTAACTGTTTACTAACACAAGTACAATCTTGTCATTAGTACAATGCGGTTAGAAAAAAAACTATAAGGTGATTATTTGTACTTTTTATGTTTTCCATCTGATTGGTTAGGAAAATTGAATAAACATATCTATTTCACGTGTAGTCTCTGATATTTAATTAAGGCCGATATATTGAAGACCTGAAGACAATAACTCTTGTAAAAGAGCCTATACTAAAATAGCACACCATCGCTTGTATTGCTGTTATAGTTCATGATATAGTAATATATACAATTACAACATACTATTTTTATGTTCTAATACTATATTGACAATTTTACAGAAACTGGTTCTTAACAGTACATAAGCCTCTTTCTTAATATGTGGTATACCCAGCACTCTTTCTAGAAGAAAGGGTAAGCACAGATGTTATAAATAAAAAGTATTAATTCTGAAAGTTGTATAATACATATAGATCTTGCTTAAATTGACATATCTCCTGTTTAGGCTTCAAGTCTGTGAAAACAGTGTTGGTGAGAACAAATATTAAGAGCTGTACAAATGGCACTGATCTACAAGTCTTCCATTTATATGTACTATGTTTTGTTCTTTGTTGCATACTGATTGTCTGTTTTTTTTTCCATTAGAGCACATATTGTTCTACTTTAGTCCAGCATGCGGAGGCCCTCAACCGCTCTGTACAGGTGGTAAACTTGGACCCTGCTGCGGAGTACTTTGACTATCCTGTCATGGCAGGTGAGGAAATACTGCCCTCCCTTCTGAATATCTTTATGTCTCTTATACCTTTACCTCCTTAGACCTGATAAATCTCTTAGGCATTTTACCCATAGGGCAGCATGGTGGGGCAGTTCCTGGGGTGTTGTCTGTGCAGAGTTTGTATGTTCTCCCCTGGTTTGTGTGCTTTTCTCCCCTCAGTCCAAAAACCTACAGGTTGGTTAATTGCATTCCGTAAAAACGGGTTCTGGTATGATAGTGCGTGTCTGTACAGCATGTCTGCCCTGCAGTGGGACTGGTGGCCTGTCCAGGGTGTGCCCTGCCTTGCACCTGTTGCTTGCCGGGACAGACTCCTGCTCCCCCTTGACCCTGAATCTGAAGAAGTGGTTATAGAAGGCATAGCTTTCACTTTGAGAACCATGCAGAAAAACGTGTAACCAAACTGTAGTGTGAAAAAGCAATGAAGCTGCCTTTGAGGCACGTGAGCGCATCAGAATCCTCTCCTCCCCAGACATCAAGGAGCTGATCCAGGTGGACGATGTGATGGAGGACGACTCTCTGAGGCTCGGGCCCAACGGCGGGCTGGTGTTCTGCATGGAGTATTTTTCCAACAACTTCGACTGGCTGGAGGAGTGCCTGGGTCACGTGGAGGATGACTATATCCTGTTTGACTGCCCAGGTAGCGCAGCGCTCTCCTGCTTCGTCTGCGGCAGGTAGCTCTTGCCGGTTGAAATAGCTGGGGATGCCAGCGTCCTGTACGATGCCCGAGTGACTCATCTGTTAGGCCTGTGTCTCGACGCTGTCCCCCAGGTCAGATCGAGCTGTATACCCACCTGCCCGTGATGAAGCAGCTGGTGGAGCAGCTACAGCAGTGGGAGTTCCGGGTGTGCGGCGTCTTCCTTGTCGACTCGCAGTTCATGGTGGAGTCCTTCAAGGTCAGGAGCCAGCACCGGGATACCAGCGCCCCCAGACTGCCAGGATCCCCGTGAAATATCACTGTCTTTCCTGCAGCTCTGCTACCTGCTCTTTCAAATCTGTGCACATTATGTGAAGGGCCAAATGGCTCTAAACCTGACAAAAAAGAGTGGAAGTAAACGGACAATAAAAGGATTAGCTTGTTAAAGTGGATCTTGGTTCTAAACTTTCAACACAAGTTTTTACCAAACCACCAAGAAACTCTCCATGTTTAACCTGTTTTGCTAATCTCAGATCACAAGAGTACCAGGATTTGAAGTGGTCTTTTTGACTGTCCCCATTTCCTGCAGTAGAAACATTCGGTTCCCTAGCTCCTGACGTAGCTTCAGAAATCCCGATGAAGATCATATATTTTAGAAACCTGGCCTCTGCTCTTTGTCTATCGACATGGCCGCCGGTCTTTGACAAGCACTTTCCCTCTGATTGCTTTTCCAGTTCATCTCTGGTGTCATGGCGGCTCTCAGTGCCATGGTTTCCCTGGAGATCCCCCAGGTCAACATCATGACGAAAATGGACCTGCTGAGTCCAAAAGCTAAGAAGGAAATTGAAAAGTAGGTTCAAGCCATGGGGAGCAGAGAGTTTTAGCAAGTCCTAGAGTCATGAAGAAGCGGTAGTGGTGAAGTAGAGCACATGTAAAGAAAAACTGTGTTGTCAAATCTGTTGCTCACCTGAGGTTGACAGGTTTTGTACAAAAGCGAACCAATACTGCGCTTGAGTCAGTGCAATCTTGGTTTGTTTTTATTCTTTTCATTCACTTTGTTAGGTCTTTAAGTGAGAATTTGCTTCAATGGTTTCCTCCCTGTGTGGGCTGCGTGGGGGTACAGTGGCCAGCGCTACTACCTCGTTGCTTTGGGGTGCTGGGCTCAGTTCCAGACCTCAGGTGCTATCTGTGTGTGTGTTCTCCCCGTGTTTGTGTGGGTGTCCTCTGGGTGCTCAGGTTTCCTCCCACAATCCAAAAACATGCTGGTAGGTTGATTGACTTCCTGGACAGCTGGCCCTGTGAGTGTGTCTGTCTGTCTGGCTGAGCCCCTGCTGGCTGGGGAAGGATTTGCCTCCTCCGTGACCCTGGATTGGAAGATGCACTTAGAGGATAGATGGATGATTAATTTTATTGTATAAAGGATTAAATGTTAAAAAAGAAAAGGTCCTTTACATAGTCATTCTTTTTTTATTGTTAACGTCAAGTCAAAAATAATGGAATTTTAACAAAGGTTTTGCTACCCCCTTTGTGTTTGTAAATTACTAATGTGTTGACTTTTCTAGCATTTTATTTAAGAATGGTAAAAAGGATTTGATATTTTTCCTTCCATGTCTTTTAGATATTTAGACCCAGATATGTACTCTATGATTGAAGATAATTCTCTCACGCTAAGAAGTAAAAAGTTCAAGAAGCTGACTAAGGCTATCTGTGGTTTGGTAAGAGCATTTAAAATTCTGCATATTCAGTGAATAATGTATTCAAATATATATATGAAGAAAAGTTAAATTTATTATTAATTCATAATTATAATTAATTTACCTTCACAATAATGATCTGCCAACATTATTTCCCTGAATTTGTGATGAAGGAATTGGGGATCTTCCTCATTTCAAATCCATAGCTAAACAAAAAACACAGTTTTCCTAGAATCTCACAACCTAAAACTTTTTGGCTTTCCTTTTTTAATTTAAACCCTAATAAATGTGTCTCATTTCAGATATTGTTATTGATAATACAGTGCTTTCTGCATTAAAAGAAATAGAGGATATTCGATTATTTAAACAATTACCCACATGTCCTTTCTATTTGGATACCACACTTTCTCCTCTCATGGGCAGAGAGTCTAAGAAGGGTTACAGTAAACTGCATTACAGTAGTAATAGCAAAGGTACAAAAGTGCTTTGAATTACTGAAACAAGATGCAGATTTGCCAAGCATCGGAGGCAGAAAGACTGGCACCTAAATGCATTAGATGAGCAGGTGGAACAGAAAAGGAGCAGAAAACATCTGTTTGTCGGACAGGAATGCAGTGAGATGTCAAATAAAATCTGTCATTACACTGGGTGGCGGGTGTGTCTGAGCTGTCCTGGGGTCTCTGTGTGCAGATTGACGATTACAGCATGGTGCGGTTTCTTCCCTTCGATCGCACAGACGAGGAGGGGATAGGCATCGTGCTGCAGCACATCGACTTGTCCATCCAGTACGGGGAGGACCTGGAGTTCAAGGAGCCCAAGGTAATTGATGCAGCAGTCACCTGCTGCTTGGAGATCCGTGTTATTTAGCGTTGTGAGTTGAGCTCTGAAGTAAACACTGTTCTCGAGAAATGCATTCTGAGATATTTACAATCATAATGAACCTTCAGGATTAATTTTGGAGATTGTGTTATTCATAATATGCATTTTTTGTATTCCTCATATTCAGTGAAATCAAAACCACTTTTAGATACTTTTGTCTTAGGTCACAGTGTAGGTTGTGTGCCCTGCTGTTTTTTTGGAAGCGTGTATCCAAGTTTAACTTCCCACAATTCATTGAAACTGCATTCAAACCTCTTTAAGTAACAAGTCTGTGCCCTTTCTGCAGTCTGATTGTGTGGGAACCTTACTGTTGTCCATTGCAGGAGCCTGAGCCTGATGAAGACTCCAGTCCCTACTGTGATGAGTTCTTCCACGACAAACTGGGGGAATAAGATGAAGAGAAGGAAGGAGAGGCAGCAGATGCCGGCCAGTGACATTCTGCTTTGGCTCCTCATCTCCTGAAAGACTCCGAACAGGACTCCCGCACTGAGCCGATGCCTCCGTCATCTTTTAAATGTCCTTCTGTTTTATAGAAACGGAAACCTCTGATATCTACTGCCTATGTAATGCCGGGTTGCCCAGCACGAGTCTCATGGTCCTTACCTGGAGTAGCTTGAAAAAGGTCTTCAGTTATCTGATTCATTTCGTCCGCTGTCAACCTGACAAGCCTGGTAGGAAGAGGAGGACTAGGGTCTCAAGTGAACACACCCTCCTGCCCCCAGAACTCTTGTTGCGTTGTTGTCAGTTCCTTGGCAGATTTTATTTAGGTTATTTATTGTTTCACGGCAAATAGGGACTTTTTTCTATCCTTTTACACTGAACTGAAACTTTGTTCAAACCAACCAAGATGGATTTTTAAAGACATTTGTCTTTCCTGTTATGTGGGCGTTCAGAGGTACAAATGTTGTTTTGCATTTTATTTTTTAATTAGATGATTGAAATGTAAAGAGTTGTTTAATAGTAATGCTTTTTATTACTGCAGTAGATTCCAGCATTGGCCCTGGGGTGCCCCAAGTCTTTCAGACATCACAGGACTCATTAACCATGAATATTCTTAATTATTCCAGCAACTGGTTGTGTTGTGTTGTTTGGGAACCCTTGCATGTCTTTCTCTCCAGGATCAGAACTGGACTTCTGAAGTATGAGACCTTCAGCTTTGGCACAAGGGTCTGGGTGGAGAGCTATGGGCCTGTGGAATGTATGGATTTTTTTTTTTTAGTGTGGGAGTTCATGGTTAGTAATTTAATTTAATCTTGAATTGCGGTTTGGAAATTTATATTTTATTAATAAAATAATTGACATTGAAACAACCTAGAGGGTGCAAATGGTAACTGAGGGGAAGTGTATTTTAAATCAGGGGCCAGATGGCACTTCTGATGTCAAGGTTTGTAGGAGTCTGGTACAAGCTACCCAGCTGCAATACCGAAGCTGAGACACTGGTTCCCTTCAGAAAACAGCTGCTTGAGATTCTCTCATCAATTAGCTACTTGCAATGATCTAGCAATCAAAACAAGACGGATGGACTGCAAAGCCACCTCTTGATTCTAGCATTGCACATGATCTAGAGACGTGTTTCTACGTTTTCTATTCTGAATCACACATCTTAATTATCCTGTATAATGCTATAAATGAGATATTTTACAGTACATTATTTCTTTAGAGAAAATCAATTTCCAGCTTCCTGTTTTTTCATAGAATGGTTTTATGCTGAAGTTACTTTCGGTGCTTCTTGCACAGTTAACTTAAGACCTTTTGGAAGAATACAGCATCTAATCTGATTAAGAAAAACACTGCAAAACAACTCCCACACATTATCACATGCTCTTTATTTTAAAGGATAATAAAACTAATGGATTAATATATATTATGACTCAAGATAATTTAAACACAATGTCAAAAGACAGCACATCTTCCAGTCGTGATCAAATTCATTTAAATGGAAAAGACAACATCACTTTAATTTCTATTTAAATATATTCACATAAAGCCCTTTCCAAGATACGACAATTCTGTTAACCACTGATTTACTTTTAATTGAACTCCAGTAGGTGTTCAGTCTGCCAGTCTTGGTATCGTCTCTGTATGTCATAAAGATAAAGGGACCCGTATTATTAAGCTACACCTGTCACGACTGCTGTGACTAGAGCAATTTAAAGATATGGGTTGTCAGCAGTGTATGGTGTCCCAGGCCTTGAGGGTGGTCCAGGGGTGTAAAACCCGAGCTCCTGGAAAGTCTCAGTTGATTAGGTCTCGCTAGCCAATTAAACAATTAAGCTGATTATTTTCTATATAATAATCCAACATGTTGGATTTTATTTTCTGTTTATCCGTGTACTTAACTGTATAATTCGCAAATCGAAAACGAAAATCAGTGAGTTTATTTTAGCTCAGTGCTTTTAAGGATTTCGATACAATTGATCTTCTGTAAAATCTCACGTTTTAAGAAAACGTACATCGTGCTGCGCGCCACCTTGTGGCAGTGCGGTGCACTTACAGCTGGACGGTGGAAGCGGTTTGTCACTTCCTGCTGGTGCAGATTCTGGGTGGGACAGCGGAAGTGTTGTGCGCCGGGTCTGACAGCATTTTATCGGTGTTAACAGGAGAAAATACAGGTTCAAAATGCCGGTAAGTTTTGCTAGTTAATTTAGTTCATGTTCGTAGGTGTATGAGCCTGCTTTTAATTACTGTTGGTTTATTCCATGGCTTTTTGTAGTTAACCAAACGGATGTGAAAAGGCACTGGGAGCGACTACAGTAGTCAATCTATAGGTTTTTTTTCAGGAAGTGAATCGGGCCCAGTAGGAATTTTAAATTATTCAACTTAACATTTTGGTTTTTAAAAGTAAAAAATAAGCTGCGTTGCACACAGGGAAACGAGGCACGTTTTGCACAGGGCAACGGAGGAAAGAAGTACCCGCACTTCAACGCATAGAAGCTTCATCTTACGGGTGTTTATTTGAAACACTTCCTAATCCCCAAGTATAAAATGCTTCTTTTTCAAACAACAGTCGGGGGTTAAAACTGACTTCCGACGTACTCGAATAACTTCAAGATGTATCATTTTTTATCCCACCAAAATATGTAATTTAGTTAGTTTGACGAATGTTAAATCCTCATTACCTTCAGCTGACAGGGCTCTGAATTGTGGAGTGATTTGTTTGTGTGCGGGGAAGCCGATCGTGCATGTCTGTTCTGTTCTGTGCAGGCTTACCATTCGAACCTGATGGACCCCGACACCAAACTGATTGGAAACATGGCTCTGCTGCCCCTGAGAACCCAGTTTAAAGGGCCGGCTCCCAGGGAAAGTGAGTACCCCTGAGCCTGGGTGGTCTGAATTACCCTGAAACCTGGAAGGTAGCGCGGCATGTGAACAGTGCGTCTTGTGTTGCTGATGGTTTTGCTCAGCTTTACGCGATGTTTACTCCTGTTCTCATGTCTTCATGTAATAATAATAATAATAATAATAATAATAATAATTGCTTACACTTATATAGCGCTTTTCAGGTAATGGGGTCTCCCCTCCACCACCACCAATGTGCAGAATCCACCTGGATGATGCGACGGCAGCCATAGTGCGCCAGAACACTCACCACACATCAGCTATTAATGTATATTCCAGGTTTATCTTGTGGACAGGTGGATTAAATTATTCCAAAAAAAAAAAACAAACGTCGATTTTACATGATCAGACTTGGCGACTGGACTGTCGTGTGTCTCTATGCACGGGCAGATATTTTCTGTCCGCTTGACTTTTCTGCGGTTTGGTCGCGTCTGCGTGTCAAAACCAGACCTGCATGGTTGTGACGTCACGACCCGAACGTCTCTGGCTTCCTTATTTGGAAAGTTTGCTCTTACTGAAAGTTTGTTCTCTGATGCGAAATGTTAAGATTCGCTGCTATCATCATCGTTTGTTTGTTTTTTACCCATCACCATTTGATTTTTTAAATTCAGTTCGCTTAACATACACGCATTCTCCCCCATCTTAGCCAAAGATTCTGACATCATTGACGAAGCCATCTACTACTTCAAAGCCAATGTCTTCTTCAAGAATTATGAAATTAAGGTAAGTGAAAATACCCCCCATGTAGCACATGAGCACACACCACCTTTGCATTTATATTGTTAACGTACGAATAGAAACAAAACGCGTTCTTCTATTGAAAAGGAGTTTGTGTAAAGCACAGCAGTACGAGCCTGTTAAAATCGGGAACGATTTCTTCAAATTTTCTTTGATCCCTTAAGATGTGACGTTGTCCGTCTCTTAAACAGTTTTTAGTGTTCAGGCAAGTCGTCTTACACAAATGAATAGAATCATGAAACGTGAAGTTTCATTCTGACGGAAAAAGAGAGGGAAGGATCCTGGCTACTTGTCTGGTTTGACTAGTATTGCACTCAGAGAACATGCAGTCTGTGCAGTAAAATCATTCAGCTGTAATTTGTGCTCCATTGTAATAATGCTACATTATTTAATCAAACAAGATGATTAACTTTCCTAAATTAACAATTTTCGTGTGGGTGTGATTACCAAGACATTCTGTGGTCTGACTCGTTTTTTACGTTGTCCGAAATTGCTCATGAGGTACTGCTGCATGATGGGGTAACTGTTGCAGTACCCCTGCAGGAAGTGGGGATGGTGTGTTTTCCTGTGACCAGAGCACAGCTCCGCTCAGGAGTGGGCGTTTCCCTCTGCCCTCGGCTCACAGCTGCTTCTTGCCTCCTCCAGGAGGGAAAGGTGCCTACCTGTCTGGGCCTGTCTCAGTTGCAACAGGACCCCATGCCTCAGAGTCTAATCATAGCTCTCCATCTGGGCCCCACTGCAGCTCCTCCAGTGAAGTTCAGAAACTATTCTCCCTTCATTAATGCCCTGAGCTTGATCAAATAGAGAGACAAGAGCTGTACTGGGTATTTACCACAGTTCTTCCTTTCAGAGTTACAGCACGCTGTACTGTTCGTCTTGAATGTATATATTGGGGAAAAATATTCCTTTGATGTTCAATTACTGGTTGCCACAGTCAGGTTGGAGGTGATTTTGTCTATAAGAGGTTAAAGCACATTGTTTTGGAGGTTAGTAAAGTTAAAAAGGTTTGGACTTCCTAGTTAAATCAAAAGACTCAACTGCTTGTCAAAGAATGGAGCCAAGAAACACTGCTTTGTTTTTTAAAATGGGTTAAAAAGTTTGTTTTTGATTTCCTTTGCAGAATGAAGCTGACAGGACTTTAATCTACGTGACTTTGTACATTTCGGAATGTCTCAAGAAGCTTCAGAAGGTGAGAGAGGCACGGATCATGCAGTAACTTTCTACTGTAACACCAAACCAAATCTGGAACTTTGTTTAGGACTTATTACTAATAATTTTCATAGGTTGGACCATTTAGTTCATAGTCTTATCCTCTATCAAAAATCTTCAGAAGACATTGCATGTATTGATCGTTGGGTCATTCTTTGTGGGCAAGATGGGAGACTCCTCTACTGGAGTCAAATAGACTATGGATTGTTAATGGGAACCTGGCCTATAGCATTAGTCAATCAGGATCAGAACTGCCCAGGTGAATGCATGCAGTTACCCAAGTGCTGTCCGAGCTAGAAGAAAGCCAGGTGACTTCTGCATCACAGGGACCCCTGAAACCTGCTGGGCTTGCAGTGCCAGTGCATTAAGGACAGCGTCTGTTCTGTCAGATGCCTAGTTCAGGTACTAGCACTATGCAACAGAAATACAGTAATGACATTGCACGAACAGTGCTTTTATCACTGAACAGGTGGTACAAGGTGTGGAGTTGGATGCTACAGAAAATGTCCAATTTCACATTAGAAAGAGGTACTCCGTCCTCTTATCATAATACAGACCTATTTAACATTCCCTTGTGGGTCCTCCAACCGGGTAAGGAGAAAATATGTGTTGCAAGAGTGGAGTTGGCTGGTTTTCAGCTGTTGATTGTGACCTGGTTGCGGTTGTCTACAGTGCAACTCCAGAGGCCAGGGAGAGAAGGAAATGTACACGCTGGGAATCACCAGCTTCCCCATTCCAGGAGAACCGGGTTTCCCTCTGAACGCCATGTACGCCAAGCCGGCTGACAAGCAGGAGGAAGGTAGGGGACAGCACCAGCCTGCAGCAGCAGCCCAGTGCTCAGACCTGCTTCCCAGAATCTTGCTTTGCTGGGATGCAGCAACACTGGTAAAATCCCACAGAAAAATCATTTCTAAAATCAAGAACAAAAGTCTAAAACGTCGTTAACATTGAAAGACAGTTTTTAACTATAGCATTCATAAAAGTAGAGACCTGTATTTCATCTGCCATTCTTTATTAAAAACCTTCCTGGCACAGTGATGTGGCTCTTATAGGAATACATTTTAGTAGGGATTAGACTTATAAATGAGCTGCCTTATTTACACACACATCGTATACAGGATATTTGTATTATAGGTATTTATTCTGGAAAAATTAGGGCAGGTATAAATTTGGAATAAAGGCTTTACCTGACCTTTTGTTTAAAAGTAAACAAATAAGAATAATGTTCCCTGTTGAGCTAGCAGTTGTCTTTGTTGGGTAGAGCTGTTGATTCTTTCCTGGGTACCTTTGAGGTTTCCAGGCATTCGAGTTGAAGCCCCTCCCTTTAATCGTGTCTTAACCTCCACTGTCCGTCAACCTTGCGTTTCTGTTCACAGAGACAATGAGGGCGTACTTGCAGCAGATCAGACAGGAGACGGGCTTGAGGCTGTGTGAAAAAGTCTTTGACCCTCAGACTGATAAACCCAGCAAGGTGAGGACTATTCGTCAGGCTTTGCAACAGCCTAGCACTTGCTATACTGGGTGTGTGTAGCTTCATGCATGACATGTACTGTAAACTTGTAGGTTACTCTTCAAATTGGCACACTGGAAAAGGAAGGTACTGAAATCTGTACCTCTGACCTGCATTTTAAAAATACTAATTCAGGAGGTTTAGGATTTTTTCTTGTATCCAGCCCCTCTTAACATAGCACTGACTGGCTGGCCATGTAGAGTACGCAGTTGGAAACTGAAAGGCATGGGGAATGATGATTTGTATACCATGGGCACAGATGACTAGTGTGGGGGAAGTAAAACTGTCCCACTGTTTGTGGTGAGAGTACTCATTTCAATACAATTAGTTTTTTTACTGTATTAATTATAATACTTTTTCTAACTGCCACACGCACACACCAGTGCTCATTTTTCCAGATGCTCATTAACAGTATGCTTTTAGACTATGGGAAGAAATGAATGCAAACACAGGGAGAACATAAAAACTCCACACAGACAGCAGGCTAGGAATTGAACCCAGGGTCCCTGGTGCTGTGAGGCAGCACTGCTAACCACTGAGCTACCCAGTATCATTCTCATAATGACAGTTTGGCAATGGTTGTGTGTCGTCCAGTAATGCACTGTTCTCTTCTTGTTGCAGTGGTGGACCTGCTTTGTGAAGAAGCAGTTCATGAACAAGAGCCTTTCTGCTCCAGGGCAGTAAAACCCACTCTTGCTCTCTGCAGCTAGGCTACAACTGTGTGTGTGCATATTTGTCCTCCAAGATCATTTTTATACCGTGTATGGATGTACTGAAATAAAAGTGTATAACTCGGGCTTTCTCTGTTATAATGTTGAGCTGGTGCTTAACAAGAACAGGATACAGATGAAAGTAATAATTCAAGTGTTTTAAACAGCTTGGTTAAGAAATTGCCATTTTTTGTGCGTGCTAAAATTCCCAAATGCTGTTTCATACCTGTCACTCATATAACATCTTATCTCTACTGCTTCTGAAAATCAGATGCTATGCCCTTCAACTTTTAAAGTTATACGATGACTGTATCACATGCTCTTTGTTCTTGATTCATTTCAATAAATATTCTTTTGGATGGTCAGATTTCCATGGATGACACTGAAACAGTACCCTTTAAAAAGTCAGCATTTTGTGGTCAGAGTGATACAAGGTTGCTACAGTCCATGAAGATGACCATCTTTATGAAGGTTTAAATCCATTAGAACATCACCCCATCATTAATTTAAGACTGTCACTTAAGCATGGATTAAATCAAAACAGCAAGACAGAGGTGTTAGCTGTTAGCTTGCTTGTAAATGAAACCTACCACCTGATTCTGGGTGTACAAGTGTTGATGGCAGATGGGCTGGGCCTATGCTTTTAGATTTATAATTAGATTAAATGCAACAAAAATTACTAAGATTATTAAGCAGTAATAACCTGCTCCAGGTGCTTAAAGAACTGCACGCAGGTCTGCCTTTCCAACACTGATCCCAATCAGAGGTAAAGACAGCAATAATCTGTTGGAGATAGTAAAAAAGGGGCTGTTTGTTACAGCTCCCATCAGGAAGCACTTGAAAGTAAGGGCTGAATGGAGGAAACATGTTTAGAAAGCCAGAATGTGGGGTTTAATTTCAAATATAATAACCTTGGTTTCCCAAAGAGAGAATATAAAGTAAAATGGGCACCACCAGGAGCTCCTGTTACAGCACAGCAAAGAAACTGCAAGTAAAGAGGTTTTACACATTTTATTGGGCTCAGATTAAATACAATTTACACAAAAATACAACAGGAAAGGGGGGTAAAGGAAAAGGTAAAATTTATCAAACCAGAGTGACCAGCAAACAATTAATCTGGTGGGAGAACAAATAAGATCACTGCCCCCAGTAACATTAAAACTTAAAAAGTAACAAAATAAATGCTGTTGTTTTTTTTAAATTCTATTGCTTTGTGATCTTTCAAACGCGTACAGTGTAGACCAGTCTGTAGTGGCAGCCAATGTAAAAAAAAATACTTTACAACATTAATTACTTTAAAGTGATATTCAAAAAATAAGAAGGGGTTGAAAACAGCGTAAAAGCGATTTGTGAAACGCAAATCAATGCAAATACCAGCTGCCAGCATGCAGACTTTTAAACATCCAGTACATCATCTGATCATTTACCAACAACCTGACATCTTGGGAGGCTTCAGTGTCCAAAATCAAAATAAATGCTGGTGTGTTCTCTCTAATCCAAAAACAATGAAAAACAGCTAAAGACCTAAACCTGTCAGTATGCCAGCTTTTTAAAATACCCGATATATTGTATAGGAGCATGAAGCACCTCTGAAAGCAGTTATTTCCCCCCGCCATTGCTACAGGTTTTCTTTTTGCTGGATTTCTTACTTAAAATGGAAAATTACAATGCCCCGTTGCAAGGCCATTCAAATGCCTGCTTTTCATTTCTTTGGCACAACCTGCTAACTAATTATTCGATTAAATTTGAATCAAATTGCAAGGTCTTATCTCAGCAATGGGAGATGCCAAATGCACCGTTTTGCAATCGCCCCTTCCGTTTCACAATGCAATAGTACATTGAATGCACCCGGTCCACAGAAAATTGACTTCATAAAATGCTTTTCAAGATGATCACCATGAAAAGGCATTCTGTAAAAGATCTCCTGCTCACTATTCCTGTACAAATGACACCTCTAAGACTTTTCAAGGCTCTACACCAGACCTTTTGCAAACACTGTAGTGCAGTAGTACACACCTTGACCTGCATTCTGCTCTTCCACTTTGAGGTTTCCTTTGCTAAGCAATTTTTGCTGTAGCATGTCACACACGCATACAGAAAGAAAAACATAGCAGTAGACACAGGGTTTAAAAAGAAAAAGCAGATTACATAGCCAGCTTTTAAGTGTAATTACCCAGTGAGTCAAAATCATGAAGACACGTCACTGCCGTGCTAAAGTGTGCTTCTGCCAAATTTGGGAGGAAAAAAAAAACCCAAAACGGAACCAAAGTGTTTGAGCTTGGAGAGACACATTCCTGTGCAAGTCTAACCCACACTCATTTCAAATGCAGCAGAGAAAGATGAACAAATCCCTTCATGAATGCACAAGAGAAGCTCAAGGTGAATCCATGGAGGTGTAAAAAAAAAAAAACTCAAGTTCAGCATTTTTTGGGGCTCATCTGCACTATTATTTTTGCTCATCTTAAAGTTTCTTTTCTTGGACTCGTTTTTCAGAGCCACAGAGGGAAAAACTGGTTTGACAGCAGGGGAAAAATCTAGTCTGTTTCCGTGGTTACCTAGGGGCTGCATTTTGACAGTTTGGGGCCTAGTCTGACAGCAGAAGCACACTCTAACTATTGCCTGGTATTTTTACAGGATACCTCCCAAAAACAAATTAAGGCAGCTGTGAGTAACTGAAAATGTTGCAGCCTTGGTGGGAGAAAAACCAATGCATTTTGCAAGAGTGCCCCCTGAGCAGTCAGGGAAAACAAGCAAAGAGTTTGAGAAATTGTTTTAAATCTGTTTCACAGTCTCTTCAAGCACCACAATTGAAAACCCAAGAAATTGCATAAGAAACCTGATATAAAGTAGAAACGGTTTAGTGGCAGATAAAAAAGCAAGTTAATTTACAGAAGTGATATCTTACACGGTTTATAACAATCCTCAAAATAAATAAATTAAATGTACAATTCCAGGTAGGAAAGCAAAGATATTCAGCTGGTTGCTTGCTTTCTTCACAATGCAAAAAAATATTTCAGAACAACCAGTGTGGCTAGTTTCGAATTGCCCTTCCCAAAACAGTGAAAGTAAGGGTGCAAAACACATAGCCTTTATTGAAGATCAAGATAATTTCTTCAGGAAGAGTAATTTCCTAAATCTGTTTAAAAGAAAAAAGAATTCTTTGATCCACTAATTCAAAGCAGACAATCATGTACAGTGAATTAATACCTTACCCTACCTCGGTACACAAAACACAAGAAGGACAAGCTTTGTAATGACAGATTATCCATCCCTTCTTCATTCCATGCTAAAGGTTAAAGCGCACAATGATAATGCAGTAAAGTACTGCCATTCCTGCTAACACAGACTTGCTTATTCTGAAACCTTAATGAAATGCCATGTTATGCTGTTAAAAGCAAATCAGGGGGTGTTCAAGAAATAAAACATTACAGAATTGTTACTGTGCCTTTAGCTGCTAAACCAAGAGCCTGAGTTTTTATAAAACTGTTCTTAGAGTTACTCACCTTGCATCTCAGACAGTCAGGAGACGAGACTGGTCTAGTCGAAGGCCATCTCCTGGCTCTTCCGCACACAGCGCGCGACCTTCCTCTTGAATTCGCCATTGGGGTCTTCCCTCCATTCTTTCTGCAGAAGGCAGACAGCACGGCGATCTTACATTTCATCTCAGCCTTCAAAAACGAGACATTACCCTGCTAATGAGGGAATTTATCACAGGCTAAGCTAGAAAAAAAAAAAACTTAAGGGACCACTTTAACAGTCACGCCCACCCCTTCACAAGTGTTTAGCGTGTTTGAGCGCATACAGACAGCAGCGCATACTTTGGGGTCTGAAGATTTGGGTCAAAACATGCAAGACCCATAACTCCATCCATCCACTTTCTAACCGTTTTATCCAATACAGGGTTGGAGTATGTCTTCAGGAGGAAACCCATATGAACACAGGGAGAACACACAGACTCCACACAGATAGTTCCCCAGGAATTGAACCCAGGACCCCCCAGTGCTGTTAGGCAGAAATACTAACCACTGTGTCACCTTACTGCCTGGAATTCAAAGCCACCCAAAGGTCTTTAATTGCTTAAATTATCACTGGCATGATCACTGTATTACTACTAAACCACTGGGCCTATCATGCTTATTTGTCTGGTTTCTCAGCAGTGGAATAGGAATAGTGGTACTGGGAACAGCCCTCTCCTCCCAGAAAGAGACTCTTGAGTGTAACCAGTCAGACCTAACTCACATGGTTTGGGGACATGGATAGCAACAACCCACGTGACGGAACAAGAGAATTTCTCCCATACAGGCACCCCAAGCTGGAATCAAGCTCGGGACCCCCGGGCTGTGACGCCAGGGCCGGAGCTCACCGCGGCGTCCACATTGGCTGGAGAGTCGCCGTTGGGGTCGGCCAGCATGGAGATGACGCTGATCATGATGGTCTCCACCGTGTGGATGGGCAGCCAGCGCTCCTCGGGCTTCTCGTAGCCGAACTTGTCCTCCCCGGGCTCGTGCAGGATCGAGATGCACACGTCCCCGTTCTTCGCCACTGGGCCGGGGGGGGGGAGAGCATACCACAGTGAGAAACCCAGCGGAACCACCCCCCTGGGGCAGAACTGGGACGGGTGGAGCCCTGCGAGACACTGGATCCGTCATGCGGAACACACCAGTCAGCTCCCTCATTCACCGGCACAGAGATCAAATCCCTTAAATCTGACAACAGCCTAGTGGGATCAACTTCTTTGTTCCCTAAACAAAGAAAGAATGATGAAATAACGTTCTAAAACCAGCAAAAAGTTTAGACTTAAAAGGGTGCTCTTCCTCGCAGCTAAAGACGGGTACTTCTGCAAAACCGTTTCTCATTGGGATCAGTGACAGGTGGTCCGTTTAGGTTCAAATCCAGGATGACACATTAAAGGTTTTCCGAGGTGCCACCAGCTCTGACCAGGAGCTGTCGTGCAAGAATTCCACTGGCGGGCGATTGCTGTGGTTGCCTTTCCAAGTGGCCGCGACGTGAATTTCAGGAGCTGAAAGGGGTCACCTGGTCTTGGCTACATCAGCAAACGGAATTCACTCCTGACACCCACCGTCTTTACTGGTTATCAATACATTTTATACGGTGCTGCTTCAGAGTTTCAGTTTACCACAATTAATCTTAACCAGAAACCAGCTGAGAGATTTCCATAAACAGATTCAAGCATGCCAACCATTTAGAGTTACTGGGTAAGAGTTTAAAGGATCAGCATGTTAAAAATGATAAAACAGTATAGTACCATCAAACATCGGAGCAGTGAGAGTGTTGAATCCAATGCATGATGTCATTCCAGTCCAACAGGCATTGTCTCTGAGTGACTGAGAAACATCCAGAATGGCAGCTGAAGACAATGCAAACCAGAGCAGGAGGGACAATACTCGTTTCTAACGGGTCACTTTGTAGCAATAGACTTCACTATTAGGTCTTGAGAGATTCACATGGATTTTCAAGACGAACCTTCCCAGAGTAACACTACCAGTGTTGGTAAAAGACATTTCAATTAGTCTGTGCTAATGAGTGTTATAAATTGAACCTGTAAGCTGGACAGTAAGTTGTTACTATCCACCTCTGTATCTGAGGGTGCTTTCAATTGTACTGTTCAATCACTCCTGCCTGATAGTTGCACTTAACAAAAACAGGATGTGGTACTATTAATATTTTACAGTATGTTCTTTCTTTACAAGAAATGTGCAAGTCTCTTGGACAGGTAGTAAGGTAAATGAAAAAGAACATGTCCATAAACCAATGCACACAGCACTTCCACACACAATCGATAGATAACTAGTAACCTTACCGTTAGGATGCCAGATTTCAGTAATGAACTTCATCTTTGGAGGCCGCAAGGGATAGTCATAAGGAAACGTCAGATAAGCCTTGAAAAACCCTCCTTCACTGCATTAAAAGAAAGATAAAGATGGTGTTGGCCATCTGTAGGCAATCACTACTGATGCAATTCAGCTCATCTTGTCATGTGGCCAACAACATGAAGTTACAAACGAAGATATAACTGTGTGTGGTTGCACCACTCTTTTCATGGATGGGTGCTACGGTAGCAATTTTCCAGTCAGCAACTACAACCCCTGTCTCGAGAGACTGATGGAAGAGATTTGCTCATGGACTATTAATAACATCTCATTTCCTTGAGCAGACTTGGTAGAATATCATCAGGTCCTGCAGGTCTATCTCAGTATTTAATATAGGACTTTAGTCTATCTTCAGCCTGATGCACATTGTCTGATCGTTCCCAGATAAGCACGAGTGAAATATTGCATTTTACATCTTTTAACTGGATCTAGTTTTTTTTTTTTACTGCTTTAAAAAGTTAAATCATTAAGATTTTTTAATTAAACTATTTGTGCCACCACTTCCCTGACCAATTTAGAAGAAGCTAGAAGCAGAACATCTTTAAGTTGTTCCATCAATTTTTTTATTGGAAGATTGGTCACATTCCCAAAAATTGGAAGCCTCAGAGTTGAACTCTATCTTTACAGTTTCAAAGGAAAATAGAGTTTCCTTATTATAATCACAGCTATATTAAACCAATACATACATGCATGCCCTCTAGTAAATCAGTTTTTCTGACAAAGAGTGTAAGAAAGCCATCAACTCCAACATGAACCACCTCATTTTTCTTCTTATTATAATAAACTATTTTAAAGAGCACCTTTAAAGGTGCCTTCTCAAAGCCCTTTACAGAATGACAACAACAACAATAACAAATACACAAGATATTCACAATGAGAATACACAGTAAATGGAGGTACTGAATACAGTAGGAGCAGAGGGATAAAGAACAGAAGCAGTTGAGTAAAGGCTCTTCTAATTCCCTGTTTCATCCAAACAACGATCAAACAGGTTCCATTGACCACTTTTCCCATGGGCTTTTAAATACAGTAAAAGACACGGTTATAATCTTTTGGATGTGCATATGATTTCAAAGCTATCCTGTTCTTATTCTATGACTAGGACATTTCTAACTGCATGCACTCTCAGCTACTGTTCTTCCTGGATTTTTAGGATCTTCTCCCATTAGAGCAAACGGATAAAGAAGGAAAAGTCTGACATCTGTCCAGGTTTCTACCGCCCTCACAGCACCAGGACAGCCACTTAAAATCCACACTTACAACAGCGTGTCCTGTGGCCCAATTATGACCACCTCCCATTTGTAGATGTCATCATCTTCGATGAGCCCTGCCGAGAAGCCTTCCACAGGGTTCTTGTTGAGCTCTGAAATTCAAACACAATTTTAAACACTTCCCTCCAGTAGGATGGAACAGCTGGTTACACAGTGCAAACAGGATAAACTTACCAGACAGTCAACAGGATACATATGCAGAGTAAATGAGTCAAGCAACCTGATACACGTTAGATCGCTGTGGAAACTGTACTGGGGCATATACTACCCAGGAGCATAAGATAAGGGCACCCTGGACAACCAGGAGCCAAAGGAAACAGTACGAATAATATGCTCTTATTATTTCTCAGAGAGATCACATTCAAGGTTTAAACTGAATATCGGCATACTGCATACAGGCAAGATCTCAGGATCCTCTATCCTAAGTCGAATTCTCTGTCATTGCAGTTCATCTCTGCAACATCGCATCTCTCAATAAAAAAAAAATGCTGAGTCAAAGCCCTTCAAAAGGAGGAAAAGTAAAAAACTGGAGGTGCGCAAAACGAGTTTTTGCTCGGCTGTATTCAAGAAATGCAGGAGACGGCTAATTATTGTGCCACACTTGCTCCCAGGTGGGGGCGGTACTCTGTATTAGTCATTTTAAAAGTTAATCCTAACGTCAGAATCACAAAACCAAAGAGGAGCAGACCTGGAGGGGAAAGAGCTACAAGCCGAAGACTCAGGGTCTCAGTTTTCCACCCGCAAAAAAACACACTCGGAATTCTGGGAACGGCGTAAATTGCGCAAAAGCCAAAAGATCAGCTTTCGAAACACAGGTCTTGACACAAAATAAATAAAAATTAAACAGCTAAATCACATTAGAATTTAAAAAAAATGAGCAACCGCAATACAGAAGGGCTGTGTGGCTTTTACCTGTGTGTGGGAGAGTTCTGGTTGACTCGGATTACGCGATATTTTTTTTAAGAGACACATTAGTATTTTAAAACTATGTACGGATACGGTGAAAGTGACACAACTCGGCCCCGTTGTATACGGTAGCTGTAACAGGTAATTTATAAACGTTTAAGTACGTTAAGAGGGAGTCCAGCCGAGCAGATGATGCGGTTGTATCGACCAAAAAAAAACCCCAAAGTTTAGCTAGTTGCCAATTACTTCCTTGCATCTGAACCGCTTCTACATTTCAATGGCACGACGATTCCAGCTTCGTTTTTAAAGAACCAATTTTGTTGGGGGAAAAAAAACAAATTGGAACTCTTAAACAACCCAATAAGATTAATCCGTCCTAAACCACGACCAACGTGCAGCCTGCTAAAGAGAGGGGCTAAATCTCACTACTGTATAAGATACGCCAACCAGCCACATTTTTTTAAAAGGAAAAAAAAAACCAACAACCGAATTAGGTCGTTATCACCCGCTACCGCGTTACACAAACACTTTGGCACTAGCAAAGAAAGCTTAAAAAATAAAACTCATCCCTCACACGAAGGAAAAAGCTGAAGTTCAAGAATAACTGCTTCTTGTAAACAACACATCCTGCTAAAACCTCGATCTCGTCTCCAGACCGAGTCGCTCTCACTAACCTGCCAGCTGTTTTCGAAGAAGCAGCGCTGATTGTTCAGTCATGGTATGTGGGGCTTGTTTTAGATAAAATATATATAGATAGAGACGTGGTTATCTGTAAGAGAATATCGACAAATAAATAAAAAATGCTATGAAATCCGCCAATTCCTTCCTGCCGAGTCTCTGGCTGCCTGTCTGACACATTTAGGGCTCCCGGAGTGATTTAAGCTGCTCACACCGCATGCGCGCTGACTCGGGAGAATTGGGGTCGTCCAAGCTATCTCCTGCTTAAAAATATCCCATATCCTTCTTTCATTTGTAATTCCTTTAAAACTAACCCAACAACAAACAAAAAAAAACCCAAATAGGCGTGGAAACAAAATCGTATAAAACACAGACTCTCATTTTAGTTGTGTGTGTGTTCCTTCAGTGCTGTTTGAGATCGTGTTTTTGCGGAGACCCAGGGCATCAAATGAAGAGGCACGCTTCCAGAATTAATAGGCGACCACCTTGACACTACCAAAATTGATTGAAAGGTTTTCAGTGTTATCTTCTTGTGGCGAGGAAAACAAATACAATTTTAAAGAGGCCAGTTGAAGGCAGCGTTTGAAAGGACCCCCCTATTTAAGACCTCAGAGGCGCCATATTTGATGCAATAAGGGAGAAGTTTTTCAGGAGGGTTTAACGAAAGCTGTTTTGATTATTTTTGTCGATTGTTTTGTTTTTGGAAACCACAATTACAAAAAAAAATGAATGTTATAGATCACGTTCGAGAGATGGCAGCCGCCGGACTCCACTCCAATGTCAGGATATTGAGCAGTTTGTTACTTACAATGAGTAACAACAACCCGTATGTACCTTTCGTTTCGTTGACAGGTTCTGGACCAACTCCTCTGCATATAATATGTAGTATATGTGGAGCTTTTATCAATACAGTTTTTTGAAAACGTGTTTTAAACCCTTAACGAAGATGTGTGAGCTCCATTAAATATGATACCTCACTATTATAGTGTAACGGAAGTGCTCAAAACAAGTGATGAAGTGGTACGCCGTATGCACTAGTGCACTCATGCAAAAACGATAATAGAATATAGGTCGGACGTAGACAAGGGAATGAGTACATCCATTCACAAGCAAATCATTTTATAGTTGTAAATAATTTATGCAAACTATTTGCAAAATCTCCGGAGAGAACAGAAGAAAAATTAATGTAAATGTTGGGATTTACTCAACATAGAGTACAGCACCAGAGTAGACCAAACTCTTTTCACTGCTTGTGTTGAGCTCTTTTGCAGAAGTGTCTATAGTATGCATTACCTATATTGATGAGCTATTTCCTGCAGCTGCATTTTAGATTTTGTTAAATCCATGAATTGTTTTATGTGCATGCAAATGTTTTTTTTCCAGGGAGCTGTTTTCCCCATCGCAGAAATACCAGCTGCTGGTGTACCACGCGGATGCCCTGTTCCATGATAAGGAGTACCGGAATGCAGCTTGCAAGTACAGCATGGCTTTGCAGCAGAAGAAAGTGTTGAGCAAGACCTCTAAAGTAAGGACCTCTGCTGGGAGCAATGCATCCTCTTTGCAAGGACAGGTACATACTGTTTACTTGACTAAGAGTTTTAGGTACCATTTAACTGGTCACTCAGAGATAAAAAAAAACCTACCCAGGCAGGGTGATCCATTTGGTCCCGGTAATCACATGAATGCTTTAAAATCAACTGGATTTTTAAGTTTGTATTATAGTGAAAGATGGGTCATATATATACTGATGCAAATCTAAATTGTGCATGAGGAACACAGAGGTCTTGTTCAAGTATTTAGTGTGACAAGCTGAAATTATTTGCTTCTAAAATAGTCATTTCAAATTAACGTGGTATAAAAGGTGAATTGACTTCAATATGACAAATGCCAAAAGGCAATCAAAATAAAATCTAGAATTTTTAGCCTCCAGGTTAAATTGAGAGTGATAAAGAGTCCACATATCTTGTTTTTAGAGCCTTCCGTCTGAGATTGAGGTGAAGTATAAAATTGCAGAGTGCTACACCATTCTCAAGCTGGATAAAGATGCCATTGCAGTTCTGGATGGGATTCCATCAAGGCAGAGAACGCCCAAGGTTAGCTGTAGTGTTGTGCTCAATAAATGTCAGTATATACTGTATGTATTTATGTCTTCTAAGTTTTGTAAACTCTTTAATCTTAGCAAATGGTTATTTGTATTTCTGTTAGTAGTGTAGTATAGTAGTGTTTATTTCTAGAGCCATAAAAACGTCTGCATGCAAATCAGTGCATTGATTGTTTACTTCACCTATTATTTAGGAATGTTCTGTTTTCATAAAAGAGTGCAAATTACCTACACTAAACATGCTATTTAAAATACTCATTAGAATTGGTGTTTGATATGTTGTATAGCTAAGCTCAGATGTTGAAATCACTCAGCAGTGTGTATTTTTTATTTTCAGATCAACATGATGCTGGCTAACTTGTACAGGAAAGCTGGGCAAGAGCGCTCAGCAGTAACCAGCTATAAAGAAGTTCTGAGACAGTGTCCTCTTGCTCTTGATGCTATTATCGGTACATACTTTTAATATGTAGTTTGTTTTCACATGGTATCCCATTCCATCTCCCCTAGATGCTTAAAGATATTTAGCTTGCAAAATGTCTTTTTTTGCAAGTTAGAAATGGCCCGTTTTTGAGAGGGAAGTTAGTTTTGCAAGCTTTTGCACTAGTAAGAATTCTGGAGTGTGTGTGTGTATGCTCTCTGCTTTGACTGTATACTTTTTTTATACCTAATGCACATTTTCCCTTAGCTTTTAAGGCTGAAATTGACCTAAATAGAATTTAAGATTTCAACTCTAGGTTGTATTGCTTTTCTTTGGTTTGAAACATAGTACCCTTTTTAATTAAAACTATGTAAAAATTGGAGTAGTTTACATTTTCAGCCATGTAAAGAAAATGTGCCAGTAATATTTTCAGTGCACCCTTAAAGTCAGAATATTGATGTAGTGCATTGTTTTTCTGTATGAAAAGTATATAACTCCCAACTGTAATGCTACCCTAGCATGCTACCATTTATTCCTTCTAAATGAATTATTACCGATAAAGGGTGCTTAGGTATACTGCCACATTGCAGTCCACCACTTGCCAAATTCCAGAGCAAAGAAAACTTAATGCAAGGAAATATAGGACATCATTTTTTTACAAAAAGGTAAACTAGACCAAAATGTTAATCATTTATGGAGTTTTTATATGAAGATGGTCAAATGAATCCTGCAAAATATCTTACAAGATGCCATTAGTGTTTTGCTTTAGTGGAATACTGGAACTCTCCTTAGATATTATAGTTGACACTTGCACGTCTCCAGCTCGAGGAAATCCATCATCTTTTTTATTTTTTAAAACATCGGGTAATGCCAGGTTATAACTAGAGTCAGCGGCGTACGTGGTCCTGCTTCATGTTGTTTCCTGGATTAAAGGTCGGTGTGTTTTGCAGGTCTGCTGTCCCTGTCTGTCAAAGGAGCAGAAGTCGCATCAATGACCATGGACGTGATTCAGAGCATCCCCAGCCTGGACTGGCTTTCCGTGTGGATAAAGGCCTATGCTTTTTCACATGCTGGGGACAACCTGAGAGCCATCAATACTATCTGGTGAGACATAAAAAAGTCCCAAACTAGAGGAGGTCATTCAGTCTATGAAGCCTGCTTGGTAGTTAACTGATCCAAGAATCTCATCCTGCCATTTCCTGGAAGAAGCCAGGGAACTCAATGTGACTGAGTAGCTTTTTCCATACTCCCACAAGACTTTACGATAGGCAAATTCTGTTCCTTTTAGATTTTAGTTTTAGATTGTAGTGATCTTCAGAAAGCAGTGCTAACTCTTTCCTTCACTAAATAAAGAACTGCAAAACCTAGAAGCAGTCTTAGCCTTTATAAACTTGTTCCAGTATTGGCAAAACAGTTCATTTTATTACAAATGAAAAAATAAAGTTGGCAAGTGTTATTTAGAAAATAACATTTGTAAATAACATTTGTTATTTTCTGTGCCGTTAAAGTCTGATTGCCAGTTGTTTTCCGTAAAATGATTAAATCCATTTACTGAAAGAAGATACTAGGCAAACTGCCTTTAAATCTCATTTTCCTGTTAGCTGTCAAAGATAAATATATGGTGATTTAAATTCTCAATTTAGAACACTTGTACAGAACCAGTGGTCAAGTATTACTATTACATATCAAACAGAAGTAATTCAGTTTTTACAATGTATGTTTTTTCATTATGAAGAGATTTTGACAAACTTTGCTTGAATTCTTGAGTTGTTGTTCTTTAAAAAAGTATTAGCATTGGTTTGGTTTGTTAATCTTTCATGGCATTTTTCTTTTCCCATCTTCATATTTAAAAATCAAATCCAAAAAGTGTCAAAAGGTACCACCTAGTGGCCATTGCTGGTGGTGCAGATATAGCCCCTAAAGAAGCAATGTTAGTGCATAGTACTGCACTATTGAGATACTGCACTGGATCTGATAGCTGGTGTGTGGTGAGCATTCTGGCACACTTTGGCTGGTGGGGGGAGTCCCCATTACCTGTAAAGTGCTTTGAGAGTAGTGTTAAGAAAAAGCTGTATAAGTGTAAGGAATTATTATTATCGTATGCAAAGTGCTACGGAAGTTCAATACACAATTCCTTTATATTTAGCAAACATTTATTAGACATAGGGATTTTAGTGAAGTAAAGAATGAGTTAAAGTGTGACTCATGTTGATTTTCTGTTCAGTGAGCCGAATATCTAAAGATGGCTGCATAAAGAAGTTTGAGTCACATTTTCAAGACAAAATGTAAAGATGCAGGATGTCTGAAATTTGTGTGATGAGAGCATTGGCATTTATTTTTTGCTGATGACACTGTACAGCGTGTACCATTAAAAACTGTAGGCTATGTTACTAAGCCTTCTAATGATACCCTTTCTTTTGCTAAGCTCCCTGGAGAAGAAATCTCTGTTGCGTGACAATGCTGATTTGCTAGTGAGCCTGGCAGATCTGTACTTCAGAGCTGGGGACACTAAAAATGCAATTCTTAAGTTTGAACAAGCTCAGATGTTGGATCCCTACTTGATAAAAGGTAACGGACTGTACTCTTTGCAGTGCTACGTTTTGTTTCTTTTAATAGAAATTTTTCTTTTTGTGCTTCCCCCAAATGATTCCTTAATCCGTTACGGCTCACCTCTTCAGACTTCAGCCCAACACAGGAAAGGTAACCTTGCAGACTCTTCCTCTAAGGCCATCCACTTCACACTCTCGCGTCGTTTCTTTAAATATGCATTCACATGCTCAAGGTTTCTTTGAGATGAGCCATAAAGCACTCACACCCAAACCGTCTCTCACATTTACACTTTGTAATTGCTGTTCACATACAATCTCCTGCAACTATCTGTTGCATTAGATGTTAATTGCGGCGCAGTGTCTCAAGGCTTTATGCTTGTGCATGGAAATGTACATGTAAGAAAATGTAAGACATTCTGAGCTTGTTTCCTTTAGAATGTGACGTACATTAGTTCCAGGTATTTATTCTCTGTTACTTTCCTTTTTGGCCATCATGTTGTTTTTCTTATTAGGGATGGATGTCTATGGGTACCTAATGGCTCGTGAGGGACACCTGGAGGATGTGGAGATCTTGGGCGGAAGACTGTTCAATATCTCTGACCAGCATGCTGAGCCCTGGGTCATATCTGGGTGAGTGTTTTGGGAAAGTTCAGCACAGCTGCAGGATCCTGAGTTTGATTTCTAGTCTACAGCAACACTGTGGGGGCACTTGACTCTTTATTAGCCAGTGAGTGGAGAGGCTTTGTTGCCTCTCTCCCCTACTGCCAGCTCTGGTTATAAACTATGAAGAGATGTACTTGAAACAGGACATGCTTCTTAACTGGTCACACCAGTATTGTAATGCCACAAACACTGTTTTGGAAGATGCAATTGATATCAACATTGATAAGGCGTCTTCTGTGTTATGATGTACACCTGTGAGAGACAAAACGTACAGTTACTGATTTTACTTACTTTTGCAGTCCTTTGATTTTTCTTTTGATTTGATCTGTTGTTTGAGTAGAGTGGGTATTTCCTCCCAAGGGGGTGGCATGGCGGCGCAGTGTCTAGTATTGCTGCCTTGTGGCAGCTTGCCTTGTAGCACTGGGGCCCTGGGTTCAATTCTTGGGGCTTTTATCCGCATGGAGTTTGTATGTTCTCTCCCTTTTCGTTTGGGTTTCCTCCAGGTGCTCTGGTTTATCCCCACAGTCTGAAGACATACTGGTAGGTTAATTGACATTTGGGTAAATTGGCCCTGGTGTGAGTGTGTGTGTCTGTGTGTACCCTGAGATTTGACAGGTGTGTCCCATCCAGGGCCTATCCTGCCTTGCGTCCATTGCTAGCCAGGACAGGCTCCGGCTTCCCCCGACGACGTATCGAATAAAATGGTTTAAAGATGGATGAATGGATTTACTCCAAGAAATACTTTGTGATCAAATTTCCACTATTAACCTCCTGGATGATCAGTACAAGCGTACCTGAGTTACGGCGCCCAAGTTGCTCCTTGGCTGTCTTGCTGTGAATAAAGTCCACTGATCAGTGTTTTCTCTGTTCTGTGTGAATGTAGGTGCCACAGTTTCTACAGTAAGCGGTACTCGCGGGCACTCTATCTGGGTGCCAAGGCCATCCAGCTGAACAGCAACAGCGTGCAGGCCCTGCTGCTGAAGGGGGCGGCGCTGCGCAACATGGGCCGTGTGCAGGAGGCCATCATTCACTTCCGGGAAGCCATGCGGCTCGCGCCCTGCCGTCTGGACTGCTACGAAGGCAAGGCCCGTTCGCTACTGCTGCCTGATTCTGATAATTAGAGGTTATCTTCAGACTTGAATCTGAGTATTATACAATTTTAGCTGTCTTTATAGTGCATGGACTAGAACTGAAAGTACAGATACATTTCCTTAACGGACACACAATGACCCCAGAAATCAACGGTTGTCTAGTGAACAGCACCGATGACCTGTCTGTCCTGTCTGCGTGTAAACAGCTTCAAATTCTTTATTTTCAATTTTCATTCTTTATTTTAAATGCGGGTGCTCCAGGTTTGATTGACTGCTATCTGGCATCGAATGGCATTCGGGAAGCAATGGGAATGGCCAACAACATCTACAAGACTCTTGGTGCCAATGCTCAGACCCTGACTATCCTGGCCACAGTGTGCCTGGAGGACCCCATGACCCAGGAGAAAGCCAAGACACTGCTGGACAAGGCTTTAGCCCAGAGACCTGATTACATCAAGGCTGTCGTGAAGAAAGCAGAGCTGCTGAGTGAGTGTCAGCTAAAAAAAAAACCCTTTCAGGATGGACTGTGAGTGTGGCTCAGAACTGAGGTAAAGAAGGAGGAACTTAAGTTTGAAGTGCATAATGTTACTTTCCAGATTGAGGTACTGTCTACATTCCTCCTTTCTGTTTTTATTAAAACAAATTTTCTCAGCAAAGTGTTTTGCCATCGTGTCACAATTACAGAGCTCTGTAGCAAAGTAACGCAGTACTGTGTAATGACTAGACTAAAGTTTTCAAAACTGCTAGAGTAGTCAAGAATGCTGAAAGTAGATTGTCATATTAAGTTGTTCATCAGTCTTTTTTCCCTTTGTTTTAGGTCGGGAGCAGAAATACGAGGAAGGTATTGCTCTTCTGAGAAACGCCTTGGCTAATCAGAGTGACTGTGTGCTGCACAGGATTCTGGGTGACTTTCTGGTTGCAGTGAATGATTATCAGGAGGCTATGGACCAATATAGCATTGCTCTGAGGTAAGTAGCTCTAAAGTAATTTTTGTTTGAATTTACATTTTTATTGTCAATGTTTGAACATTTCAAACATTGCTGCTTTTAGCAGGGAATACGTTTTTCATGGCTACTTCCTTTATCGTTCTTATCTGTTCAAAACAAGGTCACAGGGCGTTTGACCAACACATCTCTAAAGAATAAACGTGCCTGTGGTGCTTTTTGTAATTTTGCATCATTTGTTGTTGCACGTCAGGCAGTGTCCCCTAGTGGTGGCCTTTCACAATGACACCAGAGGGAAATGACAGACTGTGGAGGCATTTCCTGTGAACAAATGATGACTCTGAATCTTAAAATATTTGTTTCTTCCACAGGATCAATATTAAATGTGCTTTTTTTTCTTAAAAAAGTAACCAAAACTGGATCTGGTCCCCTCATACTTGGATAATACTGTTAAAAAATAGGAGACATTTCAGTACAAGTGATCAATAGTGCATGATTGGTACACTATTCAGATTCTTGATCTTGCAGGTAACACGGCATGGATCATGCTTTCAGGCTTAGGGCCTTTTTAGTGGAGCTGAAGTATATGAGCCAGTAGCTGACGTGTGGTCTGTTTGTGTGGGAATCGGGCTCCGCACTCTTGAGCTTTCCCCGCAGACAGCAGTACAAGAGCATGAGAGAGCCCGCGCTTGTGTGTCCCTGCAGCCTGGACCCCAATGACCAGAAGTCCCTGGAAGGGATGCAGAAGATGGAGAAGGAGGAGAGCCCCACGGAGGCCACGGCCGAAGAGGACGTGGACGACATGGAGGGCAGCGGGGAGGACGGGGACCTGGAGGGCAGCGACAGCGAGGCGGCGCAGTGGGCGGACCAGGAGCAGTGGTTCGGCATGCAGTGACCCGCCTGCGCTCGGTGGTCGAGTGCGAGCTGTGTGCGTCTCTGTCGGTGTCTGTGATGAGAGGGTGGCTTCAGAATTACTGCCCCCTGGAGCAAAGAGAGTTGCCCCCCCCCCCTCCCCCACCTGTCTCACAGGGGGCTACCACCACCTGCTCAGTGTCAGGCGCACCAGTGGCCTTCCTACCCAAGTGTACAAGCGGTCCAGGACACAGACAGAAGGGCAGTGACATTAGCTTGCTTGAAATGTTATAAGGTTCAGGTCAGCTTGTTCAGTATTGTTCAGTTTGAGAATCCAGCTTATTCTTAATTAGGTTAAAGATGGGAAAGAACTATTGGATAATGACCTCTGAACTTCCCGTCTCTAAGGAATTTCTAGTACGCTTTTCTTGATCTGAAATCGTGTTTTTGTTTTCTTATGATGGGGCAAGGAATGTGTTAAGCCTTATTATGAGAACAGTCAGAAAAGGCAATCCTATAGTTAGAACTGTGAGAACTGATTTGGATCGTTCCTCATTTTTTTTAATTTATGCCTGGCTTGTTCTTTGTAGAGCTGTCTTTGGTAGGTCTGAACTGAAAGTCCCCAAGCTGTATTTCACACCATAAAGAGTTAACCCAAATGATTGTGGCTCCTAACAGGATTTAGCAGGTGGGAATGGTAGAGAGGCAAAGAACACAACAAAGATGTGTAGAGTTGGGTGATAATTGATAATTGAGTGGTTGTCTTTTTTTGGTGTGTTTTCATTGAGCTGGGATTATTTTATTTGAGATTTAGTATGTTTTTGCATTGTTGTGAGAGGATTATATTTTTAAAATGTATCAGAATATTTTTTATTTTATGTGAGTTACAGGAAGACGGCAGCTTAGTGTTGCAGTATTTATGAAGGCAGGAGTTTTTTTTTTAATCATCCTTAGGTCCCATCTTCATCCAGAATCCGGACAAAACAATGGTCATGAGCAGACTTTTACTGTATCTCTGTGACCGTTTCACATTTCTGTGATTTGCAGGCATGTGTAGGGTTAATAAAAAAATTAAAGTACAAAATTTGCACATATCCCTGACATCTGTTTTCCATAGCCCCACTTTCTCCTATTACATTTGCTCCTTTATACATAGTTATTTCCAGAGAATTGAGCACACCCCATTCGTTGACCATTATTGTGCAATTGATATATAGGCTGCTTTTAAAGTTAGTTGACTTCTGCGGACAATGCCAATATTCACCAGCCCTTCAACTACAGTTGTCCACCAGACTTGATGAACTAAGGATGTATTGTGCTCCTTCTCTTGGACAATGGAGATCACAGCCATCTGTTGTAATGGTTCCCAAACCTGGTCCTGGACGGACCCTGTCTGATGTTTTTAATTAATTCCTGCAGGGCTCTAAATTGATGACTTACTTCATCACTCTGCTACAAGGTTCATCAATTGCCAATCCCGTTTGACCTTTTAAGATGAGAAAGCGAATTTACAGGTATGCCCCCATTAACAAGCCTTGTGATTAAGAACTTGTCTGAGTACAACCCCAAGAGAAGAGGCTGCTCCTCCAAGTGGTTAGGAACCACTGCTCCAGTATGTGTGCAAGGGGAGTGGTTTTATTTATGCATGTGTTCATGTCACTGTTCCAAAGTGCAGTATTCTAAGTGTGCATCAGAACCCATTGCGTCGGTCTTCTGGTTTTACAACCGTAGGATTGTTTTATTTGAATAAGTGCAATCAAGTACCGCCCCTTCCTGCTCCACTTTAGGAATACCATGTTCATGTTTGCATGCAGTCATCACAGCTGAATGGCTGACCTCTAAAACTTGCCCAGCTCCTGTCATCACGACAGAAGATCAAACCTGTGCAACTGTGGCCCAGCCACTACAGCAGCAGGGTTGGTCATAGATTACACTAGGTGTATCTATCTAAAACCGAGGTGTGTCTCGGTTTCACACCTACCACCCACTCTTGTTTTCTGCTGCTGTGCTAGGTACTGAAAATCACAGTTTGGTTTCTAATTGGAGAAACCGTACTGTGGGTGGAATTGGTCTGACCGATGCTTATAAACCTGTCGGAGAACCTGGACAGAAATAGATTTCATTTTTCTCATCACTGTTAATTCTTTTGACAAGTAGAGCGTAGGGCTGCTTAAAAAATGCATTTAATATAAATGTCTTGGCCATTCTGACTCAGTAACTAACAATCAAGCCGAAGAGAGGGAATGCTGATTTCAGGTGGTGGATCTGCCATTAGATGTTGCCTAATTAGAGTGTTCGTGATGAAAATGATGCTCCCTGAAACAAGCTGTCCTTCTAAAGCATTAATATTCACTTCTGGTCCTGGAGGGCCAAAATACCGCAGGTTTCTCAGGTAACTCATAATCCTTCAGATGGAAAGACCCAGTGAGTGAACAATTGGAGTTATTTAGAATCCAGGGTGATAGATTGAAAATTAGACCAGGACCAGAAGTGAATACCTGTTCTAAGGCACTGGCGTACTGTAGCTTTAGGTGGAGTTCTATAATTAATAACGTGGGATTTTTTTTTCAAATTGGTGTTTAATAAATGATTTAATAAATTGTCATACTGTATTGTTTGATGTGTTGCAGTCCTGGTATTCTAGTGGTCTCCAACCATGGTCTGGGGTTCTATGCTTCTCAAGAAACTTTAAATAGATCATGGTCAGTCACCTTGATTAAGTTATTCAATAGGTAGTTTAGTTTAGTTTAGTATACCCCTCCCCACAACAAATGTCTTAATGAGCTGCAATGCAGCGTAATGAAAGAGAACCTGGATTTTTGATGACTACCTTTCACACGTGGTTTAAGATGTTGATGAACACTTTTGTCATATGTGAAATATAACCTCTTAACTTCTGTATGTTATAAGAAGAAAAAGTTGAAAGAAGGACGTTCATTGGAAGTAACTGGCTAAACTATGTATGTGTAACTTTGTGATGTTTAAAATAAAAGTGCATTATTAGTAGAGTAAATTTATATTACTGGGATATCTGGCATCAAATCCATATTTTAGTTCTTATAGACACAGACTACCTTCCACATGTTCTTTCACTGCTTAAAACAGATGTAGATTTGGATAAATATTGCTGCAAATTTGATACCTGATTCTATACAATCACATTACCTTTGGTGGGTGTGAACCTTAAGGACTGTACTGTAATTAAAATCAGAAGTTCCTGTTGCTATATAGGAGTGGATTTGAGCCTTCTAGGCTAAACCATTTTATCTTTTGTTTAGAAGAGAGAGCAAGAAACCAGTCCATATTCTGTGTACAGAATGCAATCGCCTTTGTTTAAATGCTGTGAATTGTGTTGTCTGTAACAGTGCAAATGCGATTGAATTGGATTAGGGCATCATGAGGATCCATAGTCTCCACCTTTACTGCTGTCTCATTTTACAAGTCATGTGTGGTGCATACTGTAGTGACTTTGTCCCCATGCCTTTTTTGGCATCTCATTCATAATTATAATTAAGTATGGCTATCATGTTAAGCAGCATTTGATTGCTTAAGTTCTCTTCTGGCAAAGGTCCTTGCTTATGCAGGGGGTGAGATCTATGCTCACGGGTTCAAGCCACTAGCCAACTGTGCCTCTGGTTCTAGAAGTGGAGTCCACTGGCAAGGTTACGGTGGGGTAAGTCAGGCAGGGTTTCTTGGTGTTTGGTGTCAGAGGGACCCCTGCAGTCTCCTGTGTGCTGGTGGGCTTGTGCTGCCTTCTCTGAAGGACTTGGTAACGTGCTGTTAGAGGATGAGTGGCAGGATGGTGGTGAAGTCAGGGGGGGGGGTCACACCTCTCTCTCCCCCAGGGTGCAGGGTTCATAGTTCATAGTTGTGAGCCGAGAGGAGAAACACCAAACACTGAATATTTCAAAGCGGTTGGCTGTAACAAGAAGTGATTTTTTTTCTCACTTAAAAGTTCTGCTGCAGAAACGCATCAAACACCACACGCAAGGGTCTGGTAGAATTCTTTTATTTACCTGAAACCATAAGTCACGTGATGCATTTTAACAATCATTACTGAAAAAAACAGCACTGCCTTATTACAGTCGCTCAGGGTTCAGACTTGCCGTTAAAGGATCTGACTGCTTGTTTCAGTATGTTTGCACCACAGTTCTGTTGCACCAATGCCTGCCCAGCTATTGCAATATCTTATTTAAATAATAGTTACATTATTACAGTGCAAAACAAAAAAAGGCCTAGTCGGTTATTCTGCACACTCGGAAAAAAGCTTTCCTTAGGAAAAGTATCGGATCATGAAATGAAATAATGGTTTTGAGCTTTAACATTCAACATCTGTACTACCTTCTCATGGAATTTTATATATATAGCACTTAGCGATATTGTACATAGCTTGTTATAAACTTCAGATAAAATACAGTTTTTGGCTACTTACAACTGGAGAACATGCGTTACAGTATATTGTACAATTATATAAAACTATGACATTTTACACAGAAGTGTTTAAAAAGTTGGCATGAAAACTCCTTACATCTTCGTTAAGGTTTTGAGGCTAAGCAAGGCTTCGCCTTCATGCAGTGATGTCCAAGGGCTTCTCCTGAGAGTTGCCCCCAGTTCTTAAAGATGATTTGCACAGTTTCATTTCTGCGTCTCCTATGTAGTTACACACCTTTTTTGTCCATTAAAAAAAAAACAGTTTCCATTTTTAATGTATATATTTTTGTTTGCACATATTATACATGCAGGTCTTGGTAGATGTGGTGCTGCTCAAAACACACATGCACAACACTAAAACAAAACCTTACATTTCTGCAAAGAGTTTTAAAAGAGAAGCTGGAGTTACACCAGTTCTCTTGCTGTAGAGAGAAAAGAAAAAAGATGAATCAGTAGTGTAACAAGCAACAAACATACAACAAGCCTGGACAGAGTTCTGAGTCAATACAATTCCCTTTTTTATGCTTTGTGAACCACTGTGTGTAAATGCTATAGATGGGGGGAAAAAAATCTTAAATGAGCTAGTCACCCTCTACTAAAAAGCAGTATTTAAACAGAACGAGTCATTTATGTAAAAAAATAAGGTTTCCTTTCATGTGCCACTTCTTGTAAAGTTTGGGATTTGACTGATAGAACATTTTAAAGTAATGATTGTTTGCCGTTTCCCGAGATGGTTGATTTTAGAGACTTTAATATCCAGCTGCTTAGTGTAAAGGGGTGCATTAGATTAGGAAGGATTAAAGAGGAGGAGTAAAAAGGGAAGTTTTTTTTTTTAATAGGAAGGATAAGTTATGCTGGGAATAAATGGTATTTCCTGCAAGCAAATGTGGCACTGCTGGGGTTTAAAAGACCAACATCTAGCTTGTGCATTTCCAAACTGCAAGCAGCTGCAGTTCAGAAAATGCTGTTGTGATCATGAAATTCTTGCCTGATGTTTTAGCTTATTTTTAGCAGTTCCCCCTATCCAGCAGCCTTAAAAAGCCTCAGAAACAGGGAGAACTACTCAAGGGCTAGAATGGATTTTGCAATAACACCATGCTGGGAAACGCAGGGAAAGGGGAATACCGCCATGTTAGTGACGTCTGAACTACAACCTCTAGTATAGGTGTCCTGAATGAAAACCGATCAGGTTTCCAGGCTGGTTTTCTCCGAGTGTCCATTTGAGCACTTAATATAATTCCATTTCTTTGCTTTGGGGATGCTGTACCACAATTTAAAGCTTCCAGCTATAAAAGAGTAGTCATTTGATCTTGAATCAGGCTTTAAAAATTTACAATAGATTTTAGAAAGTGAAGGGTAGGTGCTTTTACCATTGATTTCCAACAGGCAGTAGCCTTTACTGCATCACAACGCTATAAAAAGAGGGTTATCTTCATCTAGAATCAGATTCACTGAAATCACACCCGACATGACATTTTTAAATCCATTTACAGAAACTGCTCATTGAGCTGTGAGCAACCAAGTATAGGCTATTTTTTTCTTGCTTTGGATTTAAAAAAAATGCAATAACTTGTCCTCAAGTACAAGTCCTCACCCCTGTAACTGTAACTGCACAGTACTTTGAATTTGTTTTCAATTATTGGGGGGAGAACCAGATTAAAGCTTACACAAGTAACCTCCATTTCACTGGTGTCACTCCAGCCTTGGACATTCGTCATGCCGATGTATTAAAAGACCTCATCAAGCCCCAGATTTCTTTTCCCCTAGAAATCCACTGTCGTATACTTAAACCAAAGCCCTTTCCACATCATGCACCACTATTGCAAAACTGATCCAAATTCCAAATGGTTTCTAAATACAGACCAGTGTCTGTTTCCACAGCCACATGACTCGTGTCAGAATTGAAAGACATCGATGGTGCCTTTACCATCTCTTCTCTGGCCTGGGTTGTCTGAACAGCTGAATGTCACGCAACCTGAGTGGGAGTTTTTTTAATCGGCTCTATTAGCAAGGTTTTCTGGCTTCATGGAAAACGAACAGCATCTCTGATCACTCTTAAAATAATGTGGTCTAATATGTGAAGCCATCAGCCTTTGGCAAAGCAAATATTTCATACTTAATTATCCTTTTAACGATTAAATCTGGGCTGATGACACTTTTGTTGCAAGGTACTTAAGTCAGACCCTGACCTCAAGGTTTAAAGGTCCAATATGGTTATCAATTTAAATATAAAAATGAGTCAAAATCTGTCAATAACCAACAGGGGGTAGGGGTGAGGACTGTACATGCTTTTCTCCATAAGTATGGCATGTCCACTCCGGGTGACACTGAAACTTCCACAAGCTGGCATGGGATGTTTGCATGGCAAACTATGGCCAACCTGGTCAACCGAAGCCCAGAACCAATGGGGGCTTTTAGCAGCATGTTTACCAAGACTTGAATCAGCGATGTCTGGGCTATAGGATGCAGCCTGCACTCTACATGTGCACCTTCATGGTACAAACACTGTTTTTGCAATAGCAATGTCACATGAGAACTGAAAGACAAGTATTAATTAATTCATTAAGCTTTTCTGGTGGGTAAGTCATCAAGACCTTCAAGGAGCTCTAGGTGGTTTATTATTTTAACACCACTGGAAAATGCAGGGACCCAATGGACACACCCATACTGGCAGGGAGCTATGGAGTGAGTGAGGTGGTGCTTTTCGGGCATGCAGGCAGTGGTACTCACTTCGTTGGGGAGACGTTGGAAGGCATTGGAGGAAATAGCACAATTAGGCTTGTTAACACTTGTGAATCAAGAACACAGCAGTACTGGCCTGATATTGCAGGAAGCATGCTTCAGAGGTACAGAAGGTTATCATCTATAGCACACCTGGTGTAGACTAGAATTAGTGGGATGGGATGGGCAAGCCTTAAAACTTTCCTATTATACACAAAGATAATATTTGGTAATGTGTTATGTACAAATTTACAGTCCTCTAACAGAAAGCCTTTTGCCTTTAGAGTTCAGACAAGCAAAAGGCTACTGATTGAGCCCTGGACTATGGGAAATCAACAGGCACAATGAACAAGGGCCAAATCACAGCATTGTTTTTGTGCTCAGCTCATCACACAAGTACCCACTTATTATATATAAATTCAAGTATGTGCACTAAACACTTTGTATAGAAATGATCACAATGATATGATGCATCAGTGCTTCTAAATTAAGACAAAAGCCTAGTTAAAGGTTCAGGTGTGTGTGTATTTTTCAAAGAAAAAAAAAGACAAGTTAGATATTCTTAAAAGTCCACTTAAAACAATGTTTTAATTAAACGTAACTTCACCGGGCAATTTTTTGTTCAACTTCTGAATTAATCCCAACTTTTAAGAAACTGGTAGCATTTACATCTTTATGTCCATCCCCCCCCACCCAAACAAACAAACCATGAATGACCATTCAGATAAAACAGACAGAAATAAATATCCTTAAAATGATATGAAAAACATCTGTGAAACAGAGGGAAGGACTTGTTTTCTGCACGAGCAAGTATAGGCATACCTCAAACATTACCAAGATGTAAACTTAAGAACAAAATGGGAGGGGTGGGATCTAGAAAAAAGCAATATCAATTGTGTTGAGGTAGCTGTGCTCTGCCTGGTGCAGAAAAACTGGCTTATTTCATACAAAAAAACAGTGACACACAACAAGCATGGCAAATGTCTTCAAATCAAAGAAAAATTACCCACGAGCTGTTCATGCAAGAACAGTACATGCAGCTTTCATTGTTGGTTTTTGTCAACAATAAACATTCATAAAACACTCGTGATGCATCACTTAAATGGTGCATGTCCGTTGGCTCAAAGGGTTTCTGAATTTAAACCAAAAAACGATAAAACATTAGTACACAGAATCCTGTACCTGCTCTTTTCCCCCTGCTCTCCTTTTAGAACTACAAAATACATTTGCATAAAATAGTGTTAAATCTCTATACATGTCAATGCACATTTTCTCAAACCAGTTGTGTTGTGGAAGGGAGGGGCGAAAAAAACACTTATTGGATTCTACTTGAAATGAGACACCAAGACAATAAGAATCTGAAATCCATAAAAAAAAATAAAAAAACCACGTCACTGACAAAGCAACGATAACTCTCCAACCCATGTCAGCAGACACGCACAGCCGATGGAATGGTGAACTTAGTTTCTCTTATTCAGACAAGTACAAAAATGGTGGTTTTATGGGTTTTAGTTTAGTACGGTTTTGTAAAATTCACCCACAGCAGCCTGTTACAACAGTCATGACCAGAACATGTCAGAGACGTTAGTGTCTGTACTGTACAGCCAGACTATCAGAGGGAAGAAAACCAGCACAAACGGCCAAGAGATGCCCTCAGTGCATGCGGACAGAGTGCAGCTGCCACTCGCAGGCTTGGACAGCTCTTTACCGGGCTCCAGGTAGTTGCGGGCTGTGAACTTGAGCAGCTCATCCAAGAGGATGACTGGGAGGGAGATTTTCAGCACCATCAGCCACTGGATCACGTTCAGGGGAGTGATCTGGAAAATGAGCTGGAAGACAAAGAGGAGGAATCAAATCAACAACTGCACTACACTCTCTGTAGCTCATATCACCATGGAAAACCCACATTCTCCGATGCATTCCAGAATAAAACCACCAGTGCTCACTACCACTGTAGCCATCTCATATTACCTTCTGTAAAAAGAAAACCTACAGTTACTTAATGGTAGCTGCCACTTTTTAACTGTGTGTTATTTGACTCCGACGCTGGCAGTGTAGTCGCAGCCCGTGCATGGCCTTGCCCAGGCCTGACACACACGCCCCTGCCACCAGGGGTCCAGCTCCGCTCCTTCATTGCCTGAGCCCACTGGTGCAACCTTTACCCCGACAGGACGCGTCGAGCCACTCTCCAGCGCCGCCTACGTGCAACGCCAACGGCCCACGAGTGATACAGAACACTGGACGTGCATTTCCAGTGTGCAGCAGTCTGGAGCTGGCCCGCCACTGCCGTTTGGGTGGATGGCCCAGGACAAGGCTGGCATGGTGAGTGAATGATGACGTGGTCTTGACCGCTCAAAAGAGCCCAACAGATGAAGACAATGAATGGTTGTTCCCCAAAACATACAACTGTCAATGCCATCACGCTACAGGCCCAGAGAGCAAGCCCTGGGCAGCTCTGCGTTTTATCATTGTTTGAAAACCCTGAAAATCTATTTAGAAAGCAGAAGATTGCTACAGCGGAACTTTTGACACTTTGCTAAATTCTGGCTCAGTTTGCATTAGGCGCTCCATTTACTGTCTTCACTTCAGGATAAATACAGCTGTTGCTGATCCCGGTTCATGATTTGATGCACTGGATTACTGCCAATCCTCCTCTCTCCCTGCTGTAGTAGGTGCATTAATTAAAAGTTTTGCTGTTCAGCCAGCTGATCCATAAAAGGTTACAAAAAGAGCTGTGTCCAGATAACGTCATTGTGTACAGGTACATTACCAGCTGGGCTCGTGCACAGTGGAGGACAAGGCTGGGAGCCCAGAGGAAAGTGATCACGTGGGTCCCCACCAGGTCTGTGCGCTGTTGTGAGTCTGCAAGACCGTGGGAGCCTTCAAGATCAGTGGAGGAGCCCTCAGCACTCTGCTAGAGCCACCTATAGGACCAGGAGCAGAGACTTACTGGAAGAGGCTCCACGTAGAGGATGAGGAAGTGTAGGGACATGGACAGGCAGATGGCACCCAGCAGCCAAATATTCTCCCAGGGGGGCATCCGGAGCAGGGACTGGTTCTCAGACAGACTGCAACGAAGACACTGCTGTTACGGCACTTTCCCACAATGCACTGCAATAAGACCTGTCTGGAGTCCATGCTTGACAAATGCTGTCACTCATAATAATAATAATAAGATGCCTTTACAAAGTGGCGTTCTGTAATGTGTTGGCTTTTGTCAGGCATCATAATGTTAATAGACCCTTTTGTAATTGGAAATAAAGCTTGGTTTCTTGCTAAGATAGTGCCAGCAGAACTTAAGTGTAGCAGTTTCTATTTAGCAACATTTTAAAATTTCTATTAAGATGTTTTATATCAAACACTTTTAATGCTAATGGAGACACACTGGCTTACGCAAATTAAGACAATTCCTCCCTGCCTTTGATAATTTGATGGGTGTAAATGTTGTTTGCATAGCTAGTACCTGCTCTAATTCCTAATTTTGTTTACTGTAAATGTCAACTGGGACATTTAGCCTTCCGCGTGTGCAATTTGACACGCACGCGCCTGCCGAGACTGGGTCCTCACTGCTGTACAGACGAGCATGTAAGGAACACGCATCGTCGGTCCCCACAGGTGTTCAGGGTGAGAAAACGGACAGCCACAAGACGGGACGTCCCGGGAAGAAGGGAGGGGAGAGAATGACCTGTTGAGGGCGTTGCACATCTCGATGGTCACCAGCACAGACAGGGCCATGGTCATGGGGTAGGGAGACTCGAACACCTCGCAGTCCACGTCCTGGAAGTCCGGATTGTCGGGAGCGCACTGCAGGAAGTGGCTCTGCGCGGAAAGAGGTCAAACGGAACAAAGACAGGGCTCGAGGATCGTTCACAGAGGTGGATGAAGCTCCCGAAACTCGGGAGTCACAACCGCTACTGGAGACATCTCTGAAGGTAAAAACCCAGCCAGATGGGCTGAGTGCCCTCCTCCTCTGCACCTGTTCAGAGCGTCAAATTTCACACAAAAAAAAACTCCCAAGGAAATCGGACCGAATAAAACCAGCTGGACTCACTTCGGCAACACAGCCTTTCTCATTGTCTCCAGTCCAGAATTGTTCTCCAACCAATCCCTTAATTCCTTAACTGATAAGCCACAGCATCTATATAGGGGTAGCCCTGCTGTACCCCAATGTCTCGGCACTCTTACGAATTTCCAATAATATTGCCTCACAATATGCCTCACAGAACAAAGCTTCATGCAACTCTTAAACTGTGGAGTGTGTAACAGCCAGCTGAAGAAAAAATACTGAGTAATGAACCCCTATAAATAATAAAGCCCTCTAAAAACTATGACCATCAACTCTTTGAAAGGTTAGCTGGCAACGGTAAAGATCAAACCATAAAGGAATGGGGAGCAGACATTGGACTTGATGGGTCTTTTTTCAAACTGTAGGCAGAAGAATCGTCATCAGAATTGGAGCAGAAGTCTGTGCTGGCGCTGCTGTAGCATTTTACTGGGGGGTCCTTTCGGGAGAGGGATGGCAGGGCGCGAGAGGGAGGGACGTGCAGTGGGGAGAGTGAAAGGAGCAGTCGCTTACCAGCTGGTAAAAGGTGACTCGGGGCCCGTCGTCTGCTGCCATGAACCACCAGGCGGCCGCCCCCACAGTGGCAGCCCCCACGTAGCCTGCAGAAATATTCAGTAACGAAGGAATACAATTAATTTCTGTATCGGTGTTGGTACAACTGAGGCTAACAGTCTGTATCATTGGGTTTAAGAATCACGGAGGGGTCAATCTTCATTAGAAGAGCATTTAGAGGGAGAATCATGGAAAGTCATGGTCAAGAGAAAAGGGCTTGATACAAGTGGTCCCCCTGTGTCACCCTGGGCAGATTTATCTAACCTCCTTCAGATGAGATAAATCCATCGTGTTTTAAGCCTGCAAGTTTAAGCCTGCCCTTCAGTCCTTGCCCGCGGGCGTCAGGACCCCACACGTCTCCGCACCGAGCCGACGGGCACTCACATCCGATGGCCAGGTATCTGAAGAAGAGCCAGCCGGAGATGAGGGGCTCGCGGGCGTTGCGGGGGGGCTTGTTCATGATGTCCAGGTCGGGGGGGTTGAAGCCGAGGGCGGTGGCCGGCAGCCCGTCCGTCACCAGGTTGACCCACAGCAGCTGCACGGGGATGAGCGCCTCAGGGAAGCCCAGCGCGGCGGTCAGGAAGATACTGGAGAAGGGGACAGGGACACACAGTCCATCACGTCTCCCGCCACTCAGCTTCTATTCACTAGCGCGCAGGAAGACCGCGATTTTACAATGCCACAAGCTGGGACACAGAATTGAAGGAACTGCGGTTCCAATTTCTAGGACCAGTTATTAAATTACTGTAACACAATAAATCCATTGACGTCGCAGGAAAATGTGACAAACTTCAAATGGGGCACAAAATCATGAACTGTCATGTTTGTTCCACAAACTGCACTGTGATCTTGCCCTTCCTGCTCACTAGTCACCGTAACGTGACGTATGAGCAAATACAAGTCGCGCAGCCGACATTTCTACGCAGAAATGCTCCAGCATGATCTGCATGCAGAGTTAACGAGTCGTATTTGTCGGCAAAGCCCCTCGAAGTCGAAAGCAATCTCTCTACTGGATTGAGAAAGAGGTATTCGCAAGCCTGTTTAACCAAAGGAATTTTAACCATGTTCTGGATTTTTATCCTTGGCGAAGAGAGGATGATGCAAATGCTAAACCAGGTTTGCAAATGCAGCGTGGTAGCTCTGTGCTCTCACCAGACGACCTCGCCCACGTTGGAGGAGATGAGGTAGCGGATGAACTGCTTCATGTTGTTGTAGATGGCCCGGCCCTCCTCCACCGCCGCCACGATGGTGGAGAAGTTGTCGTCCGCGAGCACCATCTCGGAGGCGGTCTTGGCCACGGCCGTTCCTGAGCCCATGGCGATCCCAATCTCCGCCTTCTTCAGCGCGGGAGCGTCGTTCACGCCGTCGCCCGTCTGCGGGGCACAGGGGGCACAGAGTGAGGAACGAGAAACGCTTCCCCACAGGGAAGGCCTCCAGACTCGAGGTGGAAGGACAATCCCCCCCCCCAGACGGTCATGCTCACCATGGCAGTGATCTCGTCGAAGGACTGGAGGAACTCCACAATCTTGGACTTGTGGGAGGGCTCGACTCGGGCGAAGCAGCGCGCGTTCATGACGGCGTCCCGCTGGGCGGCGGGAGACAGGTCATCAAACTCGCGACCCGTGAAGGCCATGAGGGACACGTCGTCGTTCTCGCCGAAGATCCCTATGCGACGGCAGATGGCGACGGCGGTGCCCTTGTTGTCGCCCGTGATCATGATGACCCGGATTCCCGCCAGCCGGCACAGCTTGATGGAAGCCGCCACCTCCGTCCTGGGGGGGTCCAGCATGCCCACGCACCCCACAAAGGTCAGGTCCGTCTGGGCACAAGAAACAGAGCCATCAAGTCCCATTCCACTCACTAACCTACCTTCTCAAATGTCCCAATTAGCTTAGATTTCTGTATTCCAATTATGAGGATTTCACCTCATCAGACAGCAGATTGTCTGCCGATAACGGTTTGTTTTATTTTGAAGCCCTTACACTACAGAAACCATTTCCATCTCATCTGGAACGAATGAAGGGGTCAAGTACACGACCCGAACTTATGGTATGGAGCATGTCATTCTTTGAAGCTGGTTAATCAAATTCACAAGAGCAAGGAAAATTGTTACTGAAAAAGAAAACATCTGTTTAAGTTAATCTGCAGCTGGTCTTTTCTACTTGCAAGCTACATAGCACTGCATGCAAGGTGCAAGCTCTTTTCCATGGATGAGAACGGACTACAGACCCTAATGCCCAGAAGAAGAAATTCCCCAGAACTACTCGGCCTTACAGCACAGGTGCAGTCCTGCCCTCAAGTACTCTGCAGTGAGAGCACCTGCAACACGTCCAGAAGGGCGGCGCTCTTACCTCGTACTCGATGAAGCGGGCACTGTCCACCAGCACCAGGTCCTCCTTCCTCAATGGGTTGTCTCGTGTGGCCAGCGCCAGGCAGCGCAGGGTGTCCTTGCCAGTGCCGTACTCCCTGATCACAGACATGATCTTCTCCTTGATGCCCGCAGTCATGGGCACTTTGGAGCTGCCCACTCGAACATGGGTGCACCTGTCGAGCACTCCTTCAGGGGCACCCTGTAACACGCAGCAGAGGCACTGAGGAAGTACCCTCATACACACCTACCACACATGGCTTTCAAAATGGACTGGTTTCAACCCAACACTTCAGAAACTGCTGAATCAAGACTACATCAGCAGACGAACGCAGTACAGTCTGGTTTTAAAATTCATTATGAAAACATGCATCTTATGATTCTGGATGGTTATGTCAACTGAAGAAAAGCCCTTCTGTGGAAACGCTGACAGAGACCAGAGAAAAGAGAGGGGCAGCACGCGAGGGCTCTGGTTACCTTAACAAACATCTTTCCAATGGAGGAGCGAGCTTTGTTGGGCGTGCAGTACACAGACATGGACTTTCGGTCTCTGGAGAACTCCAAGGTGAACTCCTTCTTCATCAGTTGTTTGATCACCTGACGATTGACAAAGAGCATTCTTAACCACCTTCACACAGTCACTTGGGCTTGAAAGGCAGCCCCACAGAGGCCAGGCTGCATCTCCAGAAAGGACTTATTCAAATGACGCATCTTGGCACTACCCGTCACTGACCTCTAATGTGCACAACACTCAGCGGATTTTAAGACATTTTGGCTACAGAGCACTGGAGTGTTAAACTTTCAGGGACAGAGCTTCGGAGCTTGGAAGGTACGACAGACAAGCTGACCATTCACCACGTCAGGGGACAAGGAGACTCACCGAGTTGCAGGCATTGGCTTTCTCAATCTTGGTCAGTCCTTTGAGTTCAGTGTCAAAGACGTTCATTTTCTCCACAAGGCAGGTGAGGGCGGTCTCGGTGGCCTCACCAACTTTCTCATACACCCCTTTTGTCTGCAGGAGAGACGGCACCAAACTTAGAGGAGTCACTCAAGGAACAATCTTGTGGTGACTGACGTTCCTTTTAATGCTTTAAGAGCATCAAAGCATTGGGTGCTGACTGCATTACTCCTAATGCTTTAGCTTCAAACAAAACCAGGGCTTCATCTCCTCATTCCCTGGAGATTTAGTGACCATGGTCTGCTGAAGTGAAGTCAAGTCGGTCACGATGTCACTAACCCCATCAGCTTATAAATCTATAGGATCATGTCTATTCTGCAGCAGAGAAATTACAAGATAAATATTGCTGACTTTTATCCACAATATTGCTCAGAAAGGGGGGTATAAAAACCAAAACACACTGTTTTTCAATTAGTTATCGAACAAAGACAAGTGCTGTGGATAAAACACAAACACAATGTGAAGGCAAATGTAAGAATCTAGCTACCACCACCTTTAACATGGGAAACATCGAAGCAGGACTTTCATTTACTGCACAAGGAGATGTAGTCTTAGAATCTCAGAGCGCATCATGGTACTGACACTGTCAGTGACTTTGCCCTCAGTCACAGCTTTATCAAACTGTTCGGTCACCTAAGGACCTGCTGGAGAAGCAGGCTGTTGCACTGACCTCATTAAAATCCAGGGAGGAGTCATTGCAGAGAGCACAGATAGTTGCCAGTTCCACTAAGCCATCATACTGAGAGGTCCTCACCAATTTTCCATCCTTAAACCTGTAAGAAAGAGGACACTGATTTTGCCAATGGTAAAAGAAACGACAAACTCTGGATCTGGTCTTATCCAAGTCTGCATCTGCTCCACTCTCATGGGGGGGGGGGGGAACCCTCTGTCTTAAAATCTGTGACACAGCTGACCATCCCCATTTCAGAACTCCAGACGAGCATCACCCTGAATACACCCGGAAATCCAAACTCCTCACTCCAATGCCATGGAACTCTCCAATCACTATAGGACTTCACCAGATTAATAGGACATGGATGGACAATTTTAATCAATGTCAAAAGGACCTTACAAGTGCAGGTCTTCATTCAAAACTAGCAGGGAGTATCTTGTTCCCGAATTCTTAGAAGCTTTATTTTATTTACAGTTGACTTATTTTAAATGTTGAGGATGTATCTGAGCCATTAATAATGGTGTTAGCTCTGTATAGAAAATACACTGTATAAAAAAAATCAGGAACTGTCTTTTAGTCCCTCTATGACCTGATGGGAGCCGAGAACTGCTTATGAACCAGGAGCCCAAAGACAGGGCTTTCTAAAAACAAACCAGAAACGCAGAGGTGGCTTTGAAAAACAAACTGCTCAAAGCTCACATGCCAAGTCAATGCAGAATCTATCCATAACCCATGCCTAGTTTACAAGAAGATCCGTCATGAATCCTCAGAACCTCTAAACCCCAGGTACTATATAAAGTCCATATATATTGTACTACATAAAGTTTTAGACAAACGTCCAAAGGGAATACGTCTAAAGTAAGGTTAGCCAGTACCAACTAGTCAACACAGGACCAGCACATTCATTTCATTACACAACAGAAATAACCCAACTGAGTCCAGTAAACAGTGAACAATCCCCACAAAATGAAACGTATTAAAAAATACCCCCCTGTCCAACATCCCAGCTATGGTTCCAACCCGATGAACTTTCAATTCACAGCAGCCTCAGCCATTTATTGCTTCAAGGGTCAGGTTTAGAATTCCAGTTAAGCCCTTTTAAACAACCCATTTGAGATGAACTGGGAATTCAAGTGAACAAGGAATGAAATGGTCTAGAAAATATTAGGCACGCCGAGTATATTCGCTTTGTGCCAAAGCTATAATCTTGGATACGTTTTCAAAGCAGCAAAGACACTCCCACACACTCGACCTGGATTTCAGATTACTAGCCCACGCGAGCCGATGGCGAAATGGCCATGTGGACGCCGCTCACAGACACAACCCAGGCTTGCGATCAAAGCTCTGGACAGACCCCGCCGGAGCTGCCTCGCACCTCGGTGAAAGGGCACCGCAAGCAAAGAGGCGGGCACACTCACACTTCTCCCTCGGGGGCGTAGGTAGATCCGGTGATCGTGAACTCGTTAAGAGAGCAGCTGTCTCCCTCGGTTTTGTCAAGAATGAACATCTGAAAGAAAGATCGGAATAGTTGCAGCCAAACATGAAACATCCTCAGGTTTTTATTCTGATATTTGCTTTAAAGGGGATATCATTTACTTTATGAAATTCAAGGATATTTTCAGGATACGAATTTAACCAAAAAGCTCTAAAAAATGAATATATAAGTTGCACTATATTGTATTTAATTGCAAATTGCATATACATTTTCATCAAGATAAATAATTTAGGCCTATTTCTAATCTACAACACACGTGTGCTATTTTACTTCTAAAACGGAAATAAATTGCATTACATTGAACAAGTGGTTTCTTTTATTAACACTTTGGACTGTCTATGGCTACAGTTCTGTCACACCTAATTGAAATTAAAGACATTTTGCATTATCTGTTGTGTCAGGTGTGCACATCAGTTTGCTTTTCTTGACAATGACCTTAGAATTAACAAAAACAGTTTCTTTAGTTATTAAAGAGCATTCTGTTCTTATTCAAACAAACTGGAGACCCCGAGATTTTTTCTTTTAAATCATCCTTAACCTTAAAGTTGAAATCCCAGAAAAATGCAGTCACTTCCAAATGAACGGGACAATTTTTTTATACTGGTTTCTTTCACACATTTTCGGACAGGATGGCGTGCACAGAATATTCTGGAAGGTTGTACATGCACTCGGAATCGGCAGGGGAAAGGGAAAAACTATTCCGCACCAGCAAACGGGTCCCTCAATTGTGAAAAGGCGACGGAGGAGGGAGTGTCTTCAGGTACATTCGAGTTGAGGGGAGGAGGTAAGAAATGTAGTAACCGGCGGATCCCTGTGCTTTTCTAACTAGGCCGAGTCTTGATGTAACCTGTAGCAGCAGGATAATGATCCAGCATGAAGTCTCACGCCCACCGAGAACGGCACTTGTTTCAGTTCCTGGGGGAAGCCAGCAGCAGGGCTGTGTTTCTACTCCCGCAGGAAGGCAGACGGGCCTGGCTCTTTCAGCCAGCAGTACGGGCTGACAGGGGACATTCATCTTCCCGACATCGGCGCTCGGCGGAGAAAGGCGAGATCCGTTAAGGACAAAGGAGCTGCGAGGCTCCTCTGCCGCCGCAGGGACTGCAGGGCGGAACTTCAAAGAGCCGAGACGTCATCTGCTAAAAATGTAAATTCGATTTTGCACAGGCTCGCTAAATTTAGAACTGTCTATTTTTTTTTAAGCATCACGACAGACTGGCAGCCATGTGAATCGGGATTTCACACGAAACCCAGTGCTCACAATGCTCATCCGTGCCGATTGCCCTGCCTTGGATCAAAGCATGCTGAACAAATCAGAACGATTTACAATATGTAATGAGAAATTACACATACTTTTAGCCACGGACAAAAAAAAAAAGTGGCTTAGACGTTTGAAATCTCCACACTATTTGAATCGGGATTCAGATATTACTACTTTTACCGTTCACATGCCTTACAATCTAACTGATTTCTGCAGGGTACAAAATGCAAGACTGTTCAGTGTTTTCTTCATATATTGAGCTTTATAACATGACCTGAATGTTTTTTCAGCCGTTCTATTTAAATTGACGCTCTTAGTTTAGCGGTACCTCTGCTTCCCATCAAACCGAAAAAAAAAAAACACAACAAAAAAAAGGGGAAGGAAAAGAATAATCTTGCTCTTCTTGGAGAAGTCACTCCAAGTTCCAGATAGCTGCCAGCTCAGATTCCTCTGAAGCGAGAGGTGGGGAGGCGCGGGGCTGAATGAACGCCTGTTTAGCACAAGGTCAGTTACGCAACACCACTGCAAGTAACCTGGCTGCTGAATACAGATTAGTCACAGCGCCGTGGAGCAGTGCGTTTCTCCTGCGCCAGCCCAGGGCAGGCCTCGTGCCTCAGCACAGTCCCCCCAGGACGGAGATGGTACGTCCTGCCCCGCCTGACCGGGCAGCAGGACTGCCAGCCTCTCGGACAGCTCGTCATCGGAACGGAGAGTTCCTTCTCAACTGACTTATCTGGCTAAATAAAGGATTATTTTTAAATACCGGATTACAGCGGGGCTAAACCAGCCAGGTGGCTCCAGACAGGGCTCTGTCACCCTCAGATGCAGGTGTTTTGTGGTCACAAACACATGGACATGCAGCACAGTCTGTGGGTCAACTGCCTTTTCTCAAATTTATCCCGAGTGCTAGCGCATTTTCAATCTGTAAAAAGGCACATGGATGTGCAATCCACTCTTCTTATACCTTTATAGCATGGTCAGATGAGAAATAACCATTCATGAATAAAATGCAGCTTTTGCTCACTTGTAATTATCTTATTAAATAACAAAGAGAAGGACAAGAAAAGAGTATCCATTCTTGACTACTGAATGGCGCTCTTTAAAATCAAGTTGTGTTATGCTGTACAGCATCATACAGCATTCTTTTTCCACCCATCTATTCTGGAATTATAAACTGGGACTTAACCCGGGCAGCTCTAAAGCAACTCGGCAACCTCACTGGAACCTGAGGCCAACGCCACATGGTCAGTACCGAACCCTACTCCCACCTGGCTTTGTCAAATGTGTACCGTCAAGTCACAGAAAGGTCACGGCAAGGGCCCCAACATCAAACCTCACCCTGCACACGGACATCTGGTTGGTGGTGAGGGTGCCAGTCTTGTCGGAGCAGATGACGGAGGTGCAGCCCAGGGTCTCGACGGAGGGCAGGCTGCGCACGATGGCGTTCTTCTTGGCCATGCGGCGGGTGCCCAGCGCCAGGCAGGTGGTGATGACGGCGGGCAGCCCCTCGGGGATGGCGGCCACGGCCAGCGCCACGGCGATCTTGAAGTAGTAGACGGCGCCGCGGATCCAGGAGCCGCCGTGCACGGGGTCGTTGAAGTGGCCGATGTTGATGATCCACACGGCGATGCAGATCAGGGAGATGACCTTGGACAGCTGCTCGCCGAACTCGTCCAGCTTCTGCTGCAGCGGCGTCTTCTCCTGCTCCGTCGAGACCATCTCGTCGCGGATCTTGCCGATCTCCGTGTTCACTCCGGTGGCGACCACCACGCCCACCGCCTTGCCAGCCGCAATGTTGGTACCCTAGGAAGAAAACGACTGTCGTCACCACCACTCCCACGTGCCCACTTCTGCAGGCAGCAAAGCACTTTGGGGATAACGTCCTACTCTCCTGATTCCATGAAGGCAGAGAGTCCAGAATAGAACACAACGCATCACATGAAAACACTGCAAGGACAAACCAGGAAATAACTGATGTGCAGAACCTTAAAAAAAGATCCCATTCCTCTCTCTGGGATAGCAAAATGCAACGGGGTCACAACGAGGCCAAAATGGATAAAATACCAGCACTGGACTGGTTATTTAGGGAACAAGGTCTTGAAAGTTTAAGCCCCTTGCAACTACAAGAACCCCACAGAGAACCCACAGAGCTACTCATCTGCTAACAGGTCTGTAAAGTTTTGGGTTTTTTACAGCTCTCTAAAACAAACCAAAAAAAGTTCAATTCTTCAACTCTAAGGGGCATGCCCCAGGAGATACGTACGGAGAAGAGCATGTTCTTCTTGTCCTGGTTGACAGCGCGGGGATCAGGAACAGGGTCGGTGTGCTTGATGACCGAAATCGACTCTCCTAGAGCCAGGGAAGGAACAGAGGTGGATGTCAGTCGGAGCGCCGAGAACAGACAGCTTCACTCTGCACTCCCCTGCTCTTTCAATTCAAGATGAGCAATTTACATCCGGGAATCCTCTCAGGAATATACATGGGCTAGAAGAAGTCACTGTGTAATCTTACATACCACATCTCCCAACAGAAAGATATGCATGCATAAGAAATAAAGAACAAGAAAAAAACTTTTCGGACTGCTACCAATTATAGGCAACAGCACAGTAATCCGTTCAAAGTGCTTGTGTTGATACAGTGGGTGGACCAGAAGTCACTGACGTCTTCACGAGGAGAAATGAAGTGAATTCCTTACCATCACTATAAGCTGCATCAGCAGACCATGTTAAAAAAAAAACCTCAATTTCTTTGACGTTTTATTGAAAGAGAGCGATTCCAGCATTTCACAAAAGAGTAGCCCAGGGATCACTAAAAACATCTGTGATATCATTCGGTTGAATTATAAATCTAATTTGGATCACTAAATCTGAAATATAATTCAGGAACTTGCAAATAAAATTAGTGTCATGTACCAATTCAAGTGAAGAATTCTTCAAAGGCAAACACCATCATTTGGACAAAGCATCAAATTACTGACTTAGTTCATTCTTTTGCGGTGGCCAATGTTTGAAGGAAGCTGCAGGAAATACTGTGGAGTATTTCGGTAAAAAATCAGCTACTGCAGTGAGATCTCCAACGGGTGAAACGCAGTACCTCAACAGGCCTCAAACAGCAAATCTTCAAAGTGTGCTTGCGTTAGGTCAAAATAGGACAGAGACTGGGGCCATTTTACAACCCAGCCATCCACACAAGATCTGGCCTTTCAAAAAAAAAAAGGCCTGGAAGAGTAACAGCATTTAAACGAGTAGGAGGTACTAGGACACTTCATCCTGAGCATAGTGGTGATCTCATGATGCACCTCACTGATTTTCCATGGATAATGAGAGGTTTATATGTAAGCTTAAAATGGATGTTAATAGCTCATTTAAAAAAATGAAAAGCTTAATCCTGGAAAATGAAAATGTCAATTAATGAGGGTACAGTGGAAAAAAAAAACCCTTAAGAACAGTGAGTCATAAGTCACCAGTCCTTCAAAACTTTACAAATGTTATCAGGACTGCCATTTGTGGTGCCTGAGAATTTTAACAAGCTTCTATAGAGGCTCCATTCAAATCAATTAATGCAATGCAGCAGCTCCCTACTTCAGCCTTCGATTTTGATGGGACCCAAAATCCAATTCCGGAATCTGCACTGGCCCTCGTCGAATACCATGCGTGGGTGAGAACAAAACATCGGGGAAAAAAAATCAAGTTACCTGTCAGAATAGACTGGTCTACTCTCAGGGTCGTGGACTTGATCGAAGACAATCTAATGTCAGCTGGAACCTTGTCTCCCACTGAGGGGGAAAAAAAACATGACAGAACAGTTAGGGGTTAAAATCAAATTTTAAAAGAAAAACACGCTCCTAGAAAAAAACAAAAAATCAACCCATGCAAAAGTAACAGCTGAGGTACAATGGAGAATTCATGGAGAACCCCTACTCCAACCTGTCCTCCAGAGTGCACCAGGTCTGTGGCTGCCCACAGGCTGTACTGACAGTCACTGAAGGCAGTGCATCAGGCACCTGTTCAGCCCTGTCTGCTGCAGCAGTCTCTAGCTCTAGATCGGCAACAAATTAAGAGTGATCACTTCATGAGCTTTGACAATAACTACTTGACCTGCCACATTAACATGCTTCTGAGGAGCCACTCCGGACATTATGATGTCTCCCCCTCCTGTGCACGTTATATAAATAAATGGTGCCCTTTCACAAAGCCCCGGGGTCGTGTGGCTGTCTAAAAGACAGTCAGGAAACCAAAAGGGATCATTTAAGTATTAACATTGCTGTACGGGAAGAACGGTTGGGAAAACAGGTTTCCCTGATGAAGCAATCAATCCGTGTCAGAACTGAACCAATTCTCCGGATTGAGTTGGAGCTGGCAGATGTGTTATTAAATGTACGTTGGACAGATTATTTTGTGCAAAGACTTAAAAGCTCAAATGGTTAAACATACACAAAACATGCAAACAGGATTCAAAGTAAGGAAGACCAAAGTGTTTTCTCAATTGAAATTCACATGCAAATTCCCCAATCGGGAACATGCACAGCTGCTGTGGTGATCCGTCGATTTGCCTTCCTGCCGTTTCCGAACCTTAGCCCTCAGCTTCAGAAGACAAAAGGCAGCCTAAGAGATATCCTCCATTTCTAAACGTTTTCTGTGCATCTTAATTTCCCACACCCTTGCAGGATGCAGTAGGAAATACATGGGGAATATATCCTTCCTTTCTTTTATGTACAAAGAAGGGTGTCCTGTGTAAGACACAGCGCAGATCTACAGTATGTATACATCACTTCCTACACTGTACATAAGAGGTGAAACTTCAAAAGGAAGAAGTGACAAAGCATTAGGTATACAAGTATCAAAGACAAAAATGCTGACTATCACTCCTTTATAAAGCTCTCTTTAAGAGGCCGCCAATAAGATCAATAACACTGCAAAATAACATTGAGCAGGTCACACTTATTCAGAATCTGATGGGTGCTTTCTGCTAGCAGCAGAACATCAATAAGAGGTCACAGGGCGGCACGCCCTTGACCAGACAGCTTTCTGAATTCTGCTCAAACTGCAGGGGAGGTCAGGAGGGGATTTCATGTATCAAAGCAATGTGAAAGGCGGGGGAGATTCACATTTATTGGAGATCCTTCACTACCCACAACAGGAACTGCATGGGTTATATGGATTCAAGTCCCCATTCTCCAGTCCTGAGTTCAGGATTAAACGTGAAAGAATAAAAGACATTCTTGGAATACTAATGCTTTATTAATCTTCCCCCCTCCAGCCTGGAGTGGCAGAAGCGAAGAGAAATAGCATTTTAAACAGATTATATTCTACCCAAAATATGTTACCGATGCCAAACAAAAATGTGTATTTACAGCATTAGTTTCTAAGCTACGCTGTTTAACTATCATAAAATAGATAAACATTCAGGCGACACTCTTGATTTTCTAATCAAATCAAGACTCGTTGGACAGTGGTTTGATCCATTCCAGGTTTCTTAAGCCTCAGGTTCTTATGCAGACTGTAATGCCGCTCAATCGCTCCTGTATGCAAACTCAAAATCAAGCTAACAAACCTGAAATATCCAGTGCGCGGCACTGAGTCGCTGACTTAATCAAGGCTTAAAGGCAATATTGGTTCAGATTCATCGTGATTATGTCACAAACAACGATGGAACTTCCCCTGATGAGGAACGAACCCATGCTGCCACAGCCCTTCCCCAGCCAGGCCGTGTGCACATAGCCTGGCGAAACACAGCTCTCCTTGTCCCTGTCGGGATTCAACCGGCACAGCACCCGTCCTAGAGAGCAGATAACCAGTCCCGTGCCGCTGTGCCGCGGCAGTTTCACAGGAGGCCGACGTCACGGCTGGCTCAGTGCACCAGCGTGACGTTCAGACCAGCGGGGTCAGCACCTTCCTGAACTGCCAGTTCATTCAGATTCTTGGAAGCGTGTCGGAAGTTCACCAAAGCTCTGTTGTTTCCCCATCAATCAAAGATCTTGACTGTGAGCGGCGACTGACTTGAAGTCAGAGTGGTGCAAGTCTTACTAAATAATTGCCTGGTACATTCTAGTTTTGTAAAGGTAGCATCCAATGTCAAAGCCACTGTAAAAGATGTATCCAATACAAAGACTGAAAATTAAAAACATGCGAAGTTCTCACAGAAAGGGTGCAATTGATACCAAATTCAGGAATTTCATGATTTCCTTGCAAAGTCTCGCAACAGCACAGCAGCACCTATAAAGTCAGGGATCCCATTTCAAACCGAAATCACTTCTGCTACCAAAAGGGGGAATAGCTAAATCTGAGCCTGTTCATGAGCATTGTTCAAACTCCGTGCTGTAACGACAGTGCAGAAAACGAGGCAGATGCAAGAGATTTCAGGGGGAAGCTTTTTTTTTTTTAATCAGTACGGCAGACTTAACACCTTCTGCCAGCCAAGCTTTAAAAGAGGCATTCAGCCGAGTTTTGACAAAAATACCTCCTCACTTTGAAAAACGTGGATCATTACACATCTATAGTTTAAACTGTGGGAAGTAAAGTGCCTTTTTGCAGCAATATCCTTCAATTACTCCCATTGCTTCATGCCAAACCTACTGTGGGGTTTTTCAGGACATATTCTTGCTATGCTAATCACCCATGAAAGACTTTAAAAACTGAAAGCAGGGGATAACGCAAGGTGGTCTTTTCTGCACATGAGGCTATTCCTCTTTTGCTCATCCTACTCTCCCAACTGGTCATCGGCTTTCCAGAAACAATGTCTTGCGCTACTCGTAAAAATGGTAAGCAAAGTTATTCACCCACGGATAAAACGGGAGCCCGACCTCAGAGGAAACGCAGCCACAAGAAAAACAGAAGTCAAGAAATACCATTTCCTTCTCCCTCAAAAACGTTCAACATTAGATCTTCAGAACCAAATATATCCAATAAAAAAATTGTTTGAAAGTCAGTCTTTAAAATACAAAATACACTTGGTTTCAGTGCTGGCTCTGTAGGACAGCCATGCCTGTTGTGCCCCGTTTCTATTTTTTCTTAAAAATCCCAGTAGTGGCCACTGCTACCTGAAGCACGAGCCAGTGAAAACGCTGGGATCTGTCTGAAGAAAACTACAGCTACCCTGTCTTGCCTCTCCTGGACACACAATGAAATACGAGTTCCTGTCACGTGCTTTGTTGAAATACTAGACACCATTATACAATCGAGACATCTTGTTAAGGCAGGCATGTCAGAACCCAACTGCACAATTAAAGCTACGGACTGAGGGAAATGAAAAATGTTACTCTCCCAGGTGAAACTGCACAGTACTTGTTCCTACGTGGGTGAATTCAGGTGCAGGTTATTTCCATGAAAATGGAAAACACTTTCTAATGGAGGTTAGGAGGGCTAATGGGGAAGGAAACTGACTTGTAACCACAAGGTCTTCGGTTCAATCTCCTGCACAAACCCACTGTGTGCCGCTATGAGCAAATTGTTTTAAGATCATGTCCAAGACATTGAACAGGATATAAAAATAATCTCCAGTTAGAAGTAAATCTGAGACAGCAAGTGGCAAGACTTGACCTCTGGTCTTTCAGTCAGTAAATGCCATGGTATTGTTCTGTACTTAGTTATAAACATCTCCTTTTCACCCCAAATGGCAGGTTCTGTTGGAGAACCGAATAAAATCAATTTCTGTGTACTGACACCCGAGCCGGGAGGGGGTGTGACACATCACCACCTTAATAACAAAAAAAATTAGGAGCTTTCAAAAACAATTTTAAAAAGGTTTCAGCCTGGCAAAAACACCACCAAGATTTCTCATTTTCAGGATCTGGAAGTAATTTGTTATTTCAAATTCCACTGTCTGGTTCAATGCATGATCCCTGAACATATTCCTGAAAAACTTGTCAGAACGCAGCCTGAATTTTAAAATCTCCCCTCTCCAAATACTGATAGTGCCGAGTCTTTTCAACACCTACTAGGCACTGGGGGGAACATTTGCATATTCATCTTGGAGAGTGAACAGAAAATGGTCATAACAACGACGGTTTAGTCAGAGCCAACATCCAGATCATTTCCACAAAAAAGCCAAGCACTTGAACTACAGTTCTAATACCAACCAGAGAGGAAAAAGTCGGAAAAGCTACTGCCGGATTCCCTTTTCAGGACCGAGCAACATGAAAACTAATCTAAGCCCTCATGCCCTTGAGCAGTGAGAAAATAGCGTTAGACAAACAATGAGCAGGGCCAAAAATGGGAAAACTATTTCAATATGTTCCCCGATGCTGTGATCAGGTTTAAATGTGGACACACGATAGCAGCTGGCTTCCAGCTATCACAGTTCCACGGGAACAGCGAGCTAATACCACAGAGCAGCGATCGTCAGGGTGCACGTCAATCTCTGTGCACACATTGGAACCTTTTCCACTGGCTCGACAGCTGAGCATCCACAGCGCTGCGCTTTTGTCATTACACGACTACCAGGCACAAACTCGCGCACCGCAAAGGAGACTCTGCTGGGTCTTCCTCAACACCGAGCGGGCTTCCCCCCAGAAAGCAGACCCCACTGCTGTGGAGTCATACCCCCACAGATGGGAACTCTCTTCTTAGTGCTGCAGAAGTCCCCCCAAATTTGACCAATTTGAAAACACTTATCCATCTGCCCCACAACAACTGTAAGTAAAATCTACCGAAGTTCCACATATCCTTTACATTGGATGGAAATTCTCTCTCTTCCAAAGGCTCGTTTGGAATGGGGGTGGTGCAAAATAGAAAACAAGCTAAATTTAACCAAAGCTATACTACCGCGATATTTCAG